TACAGCGGATGTAGGAATCCTTTGCTCGCAATGTTTTATAGAGGTTATACAAACACACTCAACGAAACTATGTATGTCTATGCGGACCTATAAAGTATAAACTATACAATCTACCTTCGGAGAAAATACCGTTTTAATTTTACAGAGTTGTTCATAAAAAGTTCGTATGATTTTTGTGGATAGCGGTTGGTTTTCCTTAATATATAAGTAAAGTAAGAAAAGTTTTAACAAGTTAGAACTCCTGGAGTAAAGGTGCACTGTAGAAATAATATTTTGTATCCCATCGATTAAGAGGAAAAATATAGTGAGTTTAATATAAAAATGTCCATCTATATGGATTAAAACAAATCACAAATAACTTTATTAAGAGAAATTATTCGTTATAAATGTTTTTTAATCACTTGATTCTTATTAATAATCGCCTTAAAACAATCATTATAATATTTTTCCATAAATAACTACATTTGCATTTTCTAAACTGATTGTCGATAAAATGAAATAACAAATACTTTTTAAGTGTAATACCTTTTACTCAAAAAAATATACATTTATTTAAATTCTTGAAAACTGCAAAAAACATCATAGGTTGAGATTGTAAAAATTGATCCTCATAAAATATCAATTTTACTCTTAAGTAATTTTTTTTTACAGTAAAGTATTTGTTTTTTTCCAACTAATGGTCTAAGAACTACAATTTTCAAGAAAATATTCTACGCATATACAAACTGTTGGCATAGTCTTTTTCCATTTACTGCTGCGCCTAACGGAAAGTATTACTTCCATTTTTTACTTCTATCATTGTCGAACAACGTCTCAGCTGTTTACACACAAACGTGCGTCCATTGTAAATAAATAGGGCAAATGATTGTAAAACCTATTTATTTTAAATATAACAATCAACAATTTCTGATTTAAATTGAAAACTTTGGTATTACAATATCAAACGACCCATCAGATAGTAAATATTAATCGAACACTAAGTTCACTTAGTGCATTGCACTTGTAATAACTGGCATGTCCCCAGACTTTTTTCTTTCTTTGGTCGCAAGTGCTAAACAATAAATACAACTATTTGAGGGGAAGCCGCGGCGCCAGACACTGAATAATAATAATGTTTCCTCCATGCATGTGCAGACAATATAAGATGTGACGACGACATTATTCAAGAAATCACATGAAACCGACATTAAATTTGTCTTGGATTTCAATGATTAGGATACAGAAAATTTTATGTATGTTAGAAATAATTCTAAAAAACTATCAGTAAAAAGGGTGCCACGATCAACAATGATATTTCAGAATTGAACATAACAGGTAAATAAGTCTGTCATATCGGCTTGATACACCCGACATATGTATATTCAAACGTCTCCAAAATAATTGTTGACAAATAAATCTAATAGACGGTTGCTGATATACGTTTGCACGTTTTTCTGTTATCGATCGTATTAAGGTTGACTTTTAAAAGGCGCAAACACACGCTGTATACGACGTGCCTATTAGTGAAAAACCAGTAATGGCACGTTTTTTTTTTTTTTTGGAACGTCATTCGCGTTTTTCCAAAACGATTAATTTAATAAACGTCGAAAACGTTTCCACTCTTGTACAACGTTCGAGTGCCGTCTAAAAGGATTTCCCAACTTGCATAATATTACATACACGAGAAAAGATTTTGTTTGAATGTTGCTTTGTTTTAAAATCATTCCTTCGCCATCGCATCGCCGCCGTCGCCCTACATCCGGCCTGCGTACTTAAGACCACCGACAAGACGACAAGTTTATGTCTGGAAAGTAAAACAAAAGACAACATCAGAAGGCAAAACTAGAGAACACCAAAGCTTGTATTTTTTTTTTTGTTCATTCGCATTCGATTTTTTCCCCGCGGCTACTGTTCTTTCTCAGTAAATAGAAAAAAAAAATTGTATTCGGCCGGCTGCAAAACAAAGACTTTTTGTCCTTGGTAAGAGAATAGACACCCCATGCGTCTTTATGGAGGGGGTGGGGGTGACAATGCCGACGTGTAAACCCTATAGAAGAAAACGAAACCGACATTTTAATACCGCTGTTGACAAACATATAAACTTACACGGGGCTCGTGCAGTCACGCGGTTGGCTAATGGTCAGTACGCGTTAGGAATAACTCCGACATTGTATACTACTCCCTGTGCGTGCATTACAATCGGTATGGGGACTTTGAGTTTTCTTTTTGACCGTTACTCAGTCGTGCAACGCCGCCAAGAAAGCCCTATGCCACACAGAACAATAATTGAACTCGTAGTAGACACTTGTTTTTCGCGAAGCCATTAGGCTTTTTTCTGAGCCCCACGATTAAAAAATAGAAACCTTTTCATGAAGGATTTTTTTTAGAAATTCTACCGAGACTTTCGTAACTTTAATTCGGTCCAGTGCCAATGTTATAACTTCTAAGAAAACGTAGGTATTGCCCGTGAATGTACGTATAGAGCTTGCGAAATTCCTCTTCGCATGTATTTTTTTTTTTTTTTTTTTTAATAAAACTTTAGAAAGTATCATAATATACTCGAGAGTTCTTCAAACATTTAATATTTAATGGTACGCCTTACATTTAGACAACGGTTTCGATCATTGTCAAACACGTATCTCGCATATTTTGAAGACTTTCTGCACAGTGGAAATAATAAAAATTCCATTGTCGTCGAATCGATATTATCGATTGGAATTCTTATGGTTTAAACGACTATGAATGCTACGAATATTTAGTTTGCTCCTAGTGATTATATTATGTATTAATCCAATTTCAAAACCTTCTTCGACATCCATAAAAACGAATGCGTTTTCCCTCATTAATAATGTATAAAATTTGATCGTGCTATGGCCTGCAATCTATTGATCCAGAAATCGTAGAACAAGTAATTTAAAGCGGTTTTGTCGTAAAATTCACATTTATTATATTATGTACTCGTGTGTATGCTCTTTAATAAAATATAATAGATTTGTTTATTTCATGTTCATTCATGTAAACAGATACCTAATATGAATAGTCTGTGTAAAAACTTTGGAGCAATTAAATAACAAGGCAGTCAAGTATAAAAAAAAAAGGAAACTAGCGTGGGTATAAATTAAACTTACTAGTTAAATAATTTTCTCTTCAAGTGTGACAATATCTAAAAACAAACCTCAAACATTCTCATAACACTGATGCAAACAGATATAACAATATTAATAATTACTCATCTAACAGCCAAATTTTCTGTTTTTCAAAAAAATTGCACGTAAATACAACACTTAAATAGTATAATAGTTAAATAACAGTTAAATATTATAAAGATCAAATAATATTAATTATCAAGATGATTATTGATATTATGTGAACTGTATAAAATATGATCTTCAAACAGAGATAATTTATTTTAGATTTATCGTACACAGTTGTTTCATCTGTTATCGATATAGTATTTTTTTTTTTCAAAAACTCAACAGTGTTGGAAAACAAATTAAACGCATTCGTATTTAAAATCTTAATCGAATCTTTTATTATGGGTAATCATTATAAGATGGGACACTCAGCGTTCACGTACTACGTTATCTCTGTTTGACACACAAGCGGTAGTATAGTAAAATCGCATTAGCAGTGCTACGAGTTCCTGTTTAAAACATAGTATTATTATTTATTATTATTATTACCACGTATAAAAGGCAGCCTTTTGTATAAGCGTTTAAAGCATTGCGCATTTCTTGGCGTGGACATTTTTCCGTACTTCAATTTTACATCCCAAAGATTTATTTTATGAATCCCAACGTACACACACATATACTGATAATATATTGTTATAGTACGGAAGAAGATATAGGTATCACAACGTTGAAGAGGGAGGAAATGAGATAATTCTAAACGTCAACAACGACTCGAAGCTATTCTCGCTATTCAATTTATGATTGAAATGAATTAAGCTGTGTACACATGGTAGTACATCCGTTCACAGTTTACACACATAGTACATTTTTTATTTTGGAAGCAGAGTGTAAAAAGTCAAAACGAATGAATTTTGTTGTCAAATAACTGTTAAAGTTGATCTCGGACGTCATAGCTTATTTATTTATATTAATTTTTACTGACTTGCAGTAGTACCGATATAGCTATATTATAAATGCCATTTTTTTTCAGTCCTATTTCAATTAGTCGTGCAGATACAATTTCGACTTTACTTAATGTTCACAACATATATAACGATTTAAAACATTTTTATAACAAAAAACCGTATTACGGGATTATCACAACGCGCGTTTACCGTTCACATAAGACCTGACCGTCTGTTATATACACATTACACACAGGATATATGACATTTTTTTCGGATATAAACTACAGTCATAAATCGCAATCATCAACAGCGATTCGCGGCCCAATGTATTGCCGTGTCACAAAATTGTGTACTTTAATACTTGGTTATATTTTAAAAACAACCACATCGCCATTACCTACATTGTATCGAAACTAAGGTCACGGACAATTAGAATTCCGTTCAGGCGCATACATATTATGATATGAGTAATACGTGAAGCATAGCAGGGGGTCTATATAATGTATAAAGGCGAAACGGGAAGCGATCAATTTTCAAAACTGTCAATTCGGTAACTCTATTGGGGGATCTAGTTTGAAAATGATTGGACGGAAACGACGTGACCGTCAGAGTAGTTGTACGATTTAAACAAATATTATAAAAGTTACACAGGCCATATAATATTATGCATAGACGTTGCCAACCGAGTGTATCGTATTGTACATTTAAAAGTTCAATATAATATTATACATATATATTATCCTCTGAGAATTTATTACGGATAAATCATAAACGTAATTTTACACAAATAAGAAAACTTTATTTGTTTATAAACTTATATTTACCAACAACCTCGGTCTTTCTTGCGGTTAACGAGCAACGGCGGCGCTCGTCCGTGTTGAATTTGATTTTGTTCACTGATTGCAGTGTTTCTATACTTGACATTCTATGCTTGTTTCAGTCGCAGAAAAAAAATTCGGTGACAAATGCGAAGTCAACGAGGACTGCAATTTCAATGGGTCTATGTGCACGATGGACAGAAGCAATAGGAAAGCCACGTGTCAGTGTCGTCCGGAGTTCGCGGTCACAAATCACATAAACAAATGCGGACACAGTAAATATTGTGTTTATATACATATACATTACACGTATAATATAATAGTGAATTCAGAACTATTGATTTTTATTTCCATTAATATTATTCCTTAATCGACTCTCTTAACATTCGTGCAGAAGTCCATTACTCGCGACAAAAGAATACTAAGAGTTTTAACAAAACAAATATGCGAAACTCACCTTTCTTATAACAAAAAAAAAAAAGATATAAATACCTAAAACTCTCTCTACACGTTTAAAAAGTGTAAATACACGTGACATGACAGTTTTGGACTTATTTTTAGTTTATTTGCAATATTTTGAAGTAAGTGTTTGTACATAGACACTTACTTATATCTTTTCCTTTGTGCAATGTAACGTGATTATAATGATGATGTTCAAATATTAATATCGATGAAAAAAAATTACCATAGATTATATTTTTAAAATATTCAAAAGTTATTACTTTTTGCCCTTCGTTTTTTTTTTAATATTTAATATCCCTATTTATTATACATACAGCTTTATGGAACGTGATCTGAATATTTATTCTTGATTTTGTTCTTTTTTTCCGTTCCAAGTATTTAAAAAAAAATAGCAAGTATGCTATTGTGTACTTATATACTTCACACCTATAAACGACGAACCATTAAATATAATGTTACCATTAACCGAAAAACCTAAATTAACTTTTTGGCTTTGCCTTCGTCTCTTAAATTCATATTAAAATTTTTATACGATGAAATTTTAAGCCAATCATTATGATTTATAGGGTTAATACACTACTCATCGCCTTACATATAATATGACCAAAGTCATTAAGGCTCTGTGTTATTGTTTTTACAAAACTCTTTAAAATGTTTACCATTTTTGCCCTAAAAGTACAATAGCGAAAAGCATAACATATAAATACTATTATTAACATTATCGGCATTGAAGTAGTCATTTGTTTTATATCTTGTTTACTTTTGGAATATAAGTTTGTACGATTCAACTTGACAAAAAAACGGATCTGCTAAAACAAATAATAAATGTAAGTAATGTATTCGATAAAAATATGGCGGTTGATGTTCATATATATTATAGAAAATATGATACAGAGATTTTACACGAAAACCTAGTTGGGCATGATTAATTGCCGTACTACATGGCATGCGTGGCATTGCATTTAGGATATAATATTTACATTGTTGTTTTTCTCATACACGTATTTTACGGTGAATACACAGTAGTGTATATAGTACGTAGTGCTCGAATAACAGATTATTAAAAAAATTCAAATAACGATTCTTAACGAAACGCATTAGTGTAATAATAATAATAATAATAAATGAACATCGAATTCGTGCTTTTTCGACAATGATACGCCGCGCCGTGCCTATTATGTATGTGGCCGTATGTCAAGGCGCACGGTGTATGCAAAATAGGTGCATGAATGCGTATGAAAAATATTTTTGCGTGCACCGCTAAATAAATTATTATACCTACAACGTCATTAATTTCCATTGTTGAGTGGCGGCCTTTTCGGTATAATAAATGAGAAGTGCAGGGTCAGTGCCGCCGTTGCTGCTACCGTTGGGTTACTTAACACAAAGGCGCGTAACACTATTCCAGATAATATATTAATACATCCAAGTCGAGACTAGCGCTGGCTGCCATATTATTATTCCACTATGGTCAAATACGTTGAATATTTCATGTTTGTTTTGCGTTTAAAGTTCTCAGACCTCGTTAGTTACAACAGTCCGCCATGGCGATTGCCAACAATTTGTTGCTGTGTTGGATTATTGTCTTGTGTTACATCAACACACACACACATACAAACCGTATACCGCCCGGATTGTTATGTATGATACACAGTTTACTTGTTATTTGGCAAACGGTTAAGTCTTGAATACGCTGTTTGCTTAGTTTCGAAATGTAGTTAGTATACGACCGAACAAAGAGACGGTTATTGAGTTATGCAATTAACTTGATAGCTATTTGAATGTTCGTTTGATTTTAATAGCACAAATGCGCATTACCGCAAACTTCATATTTATAACGGGTTCATGTTAAATATCTTTTACAGTATATTTTGTATACTATTTAACGTGGCCCGTGCATGTGCTAAATTAATCTTTTTTCGCTTACAAAGCACGTTTTAGATATACTATAAATATATAATCCAATTTGATTTGAAAAGCTCATACTATTATACCGTCGACGCGACTTAAGTCTGTTGCTTCGCGGAGGATCAATTTAACATGTTTCGCGGTCTTGTCGATGAGCAAAGCGACAAAATATGCTATTAAGTAAACCGTATAGGTACGCTATGAATGCATTTGATTGTATACTTGTTTCCCGTTTAGTGTACCGCATGACCTCGGCGAGAAGTTTGCGTGAGGAATGCAAACCCTTTGCAGCGACTACCGCCATTGCTCTAATGTGTAACCACTAGTGTATACATTTTTACTACAACATTGATCCAACTTGAACCCGACAAGTTCTACAATATAATTTTTTTCTTCGAAAGAAATTACGGCATTAAAAACTGCAGTTTTTTCTTTTTTTAACACAACAAAGTAGTGCTCCGCCGTTGCAGATTTCACCGCTTTCCGCAACACAATAACGTTAACAAATTATTTCATCTTACCTTACATCGCTCTCTTGAACTCGCAACAACGTTTGTTCTCTTTTAACTACAGAGTGCCGAATGCTTTTGAACTTATTTATTACTCGTTTTATTTGTTTGTGTACAAAGTGCAAAACCGAGTAAAACTTTTTTACACCGAACATCAATATTGTTTATTATAATACTATAAAACTTTTTATAATACTTGAAATATTCATACTATTAAACGTGTTTACTGTATAAAAACTAAAACTGGGTTGCAACACTAAATTGCTAAAATATTTAAACGTTTAATTAAATTTAAAACTGTTGATTCATAAAATCTTCGATGGACGCTCATAAAATCCGGCGTTAGGACTTAGTTATTTTTTACTTTTTTAAGAATTATGTATAAATGTCTTTTTTTTATCATATTAAACTTTGACATACGTAATTGGTCTCATGTCTGTGATAACAATTTTCTACATTATACTAAAGCAGGTACCATCTAAAAACTAACCCTCACAACTATAAATAATGTAAACAAATTCGCAAACGTTCCATAATACCAATATAATTGTCATTGAAATTAGAAATCATTAATATTTTATTTTTTAGAAACAAAATATAAATAATTTATAAATGACCGCTTCCATGGAAACTTGGTGCAATAGTACTGTATTGTATTATAAAATTCAACTTTGATATTATAACTATGAAATGTACTTGGAAACACATAATTATATTACAGAGGGTATCTACGTATAATAATAACCGTAACACGACAGCCTAACGCAAGGGGTTCTGTCAGGCGCACACTTCTAGTAATTACACCGACTGTTCTAAGCCACATAATATTATAATATATACTACTATATTGAAAACCAGCGGTCACGCGACAGCCGGTGTCGATCAGATAAACCCAAAATTGCCAACACCTTAATTATGGTTTCGGGATTTATTCGCTTGCAACAACGTCGGTTCGGTTCTGATTGAATAAGTTCCTTTGTGAACGTGACGATTTTTCAGCTTCAGCGCTTCGGCCGAATTAATTGTTAATTACAAAGTTTGCGTTCAATTTTGCTGAATTCGCATTAGCCCGGGTGCGTGTCCCTTCAAAGAATAATGCATAATTGTACTTTTACCAAACTTCTTATATTCGCTAATAATAAAGCACACCCAATATAATATTGTGTAAAATTCCTAGAAAACAAAGTAAATCGAAAGCGATTTTAAAACGTATGAATTATTTGTACGGTTTATTGTATTGTATTTTGTAAATATAATTCCACTATTATATTGTTCAAACTTTATTAATCAATTGTTTGCGCAAACACTTCGGTTCCTTATTATAACTTGATCGTGTACTTTGTGTAAAAGGCAGGCGCAACTCTTTAATTATAGTTGATAAGGTCACCCTACACTAGTTACCACAAACCCATAAAGTTTTAATGGGTTTAAAACAATGACTGACAATCACAGCTCCTGAAAGCGTCTTGACCCTAAAACAAGGGTGTAACTCTGAAAGACTGCTTTTCTAAAAACGTCAAATTGTTTACATTTTCGTTTACCATTAAATAAAACAAATGGATACATAAAAATAAGTGCTCGATTTCAGGTTTATTTTTATCTTTTCAAAGAACTACCCAAAAATACTTAGACCCTCCTTTTGGTCATATAAAGTGTTTTATCAATTATAAGGCTACTTTTACGGTACAATTAATTTGATTCCATGACGTATATTATGTATGTTTTATTTTTTCAAACATATGTACAATATATTTTGATGATTGCTAAACAGTTTGAATTTTAATCGGGTTTTATGTATTGTATAATATTTCAGAAGCAGCCATAAACCAACCTTGTTTTTTCAACGAGCAATGCGAGGCCAGTGTGTTTCAAACGGAGTGCAGGGACGACTTGTGCGCTTGTAGGTTTGAGAGAACGCCAGTGTTGAACTCTGACGGAATAACCGAGTGCATTGGTAAAATATTTATAAGCGGTTTAATTTACTAGACACCAAATGAGTAATACCAATAACCTGCAAACAACATACAAATAGGTAAACTCGAGTCGATAATAATTTCCATGTACATTTTTTTAGCCAAAAATGATTCCGGTTCAGAACCGTACACCGATCCTGCCATGCTGTGCGTGTTGGCCGGAATGTGTTTGATGTTCATCATCATATGCGTTGTGCTCAGATTGTTCAGCAAGTAAGAGACTTGACTTTATCTCGGTTGTCGCACGCCATATTTTAGTAACAACATAGTGTATTTAGAAATATCCGACTGGTCGCACTACGCCTAAAAACCGTTTTCTGAGTTGACCTTTCGGCGATTTGTCTGTGCCAAATGAGAAAAACATGAATTATTATTATTATTGTTATTGATTTACAGGGCTCGCTGGAGGGAAAACCGCACGATATTCAACACGCCCAACCCGAGATTAATGAACGTATCTTTACTGAGAGATAACAAACCACCACCAGGAGCGGCCGGCGAACGTAGAGGTAGCAAATCCAGTACAAAGACCCATACCCCTTCGAGACAACCAAGCATGGCCTCGTTGAAGCCCCATTCGCCTTCTTTAGGTTAGAAACCTCTATCTCTATCTATTTAAATGCTTCGTCGTCGACTCCGTGGAGATCTTGAGCCACACGCGCACACACTGTTTAACTAACATTTCTGGCTTTACGACGTGTCTCGGACATCAAAAATATATTTTTGTCGACGACGCGTGACAATAAAACTCTTGTGCGACAACTTATACCGATAGTTGGAATAAGTTTTGAGAGTCCGAGACCGTAACCATACTAAACCGTTTAAATTACTTCATCGAAATACCATATTATTATGCTTAAAGTCGTCGACAACACCGACTTGGCGTTAATCGCGAAAACAATCAAACGCGTTTCGTTGAAACGACAAGGTGGGATTAATAGAGTTATAGAGTAATGCCACACTATCTACCGCAATTTCGCACATAGGTACTCGCTGTACTCTTTAGATATATTCGCACTAATATTATAGTCAAATCGTTATCAGCTATAATAGACTAGAAGGGTACATAAAAAATTAAATAACAGTACCCATACGGCACAACTAAAAATATAATAAAAATGTTTTTTTTTTAATATTAATTTTATAGTTTGCTGAATGGGACTTTTATGACTTGTATTTCAATAACGATAGCTGTACTTATGAAACACAGCCATTTTTTCTCTGCCATTCAATCGTCTCCCTCATTAAGTCATAATTAATTTCATAATTTCCAACCGTGGCTCTCCACTAATGAGTTTGAACATGATGCGAAAACTCACAACGCTTTTTTATATTAAAATACACATCCATTAGTTCTTTGTTGTCCGTCTTTTTACACTAAAATCGAATTAAAATCTTCTAGCTAGATGAAATTTTGCACAAGTATTTTATGCATTTGATTCCAATCAAATAGATATGGAAATCCTACAATAAGAACACAATACAATATACTTATAATATCACTCGTAGAGTTTAACAAATTGTCTATGCGCTAAAGTCAGATTCGTTAAAACTTAGTTTCACTTTTATTTGTACAATAGTGACCTTTTTTAAATATTTAATAAACATAGTCCAAAAAATCTGAAACCTATTTACGTCTTGCATGTCTTTTAGAGAAAACGGTTCTTTGACACCAATTGTTTTTGAAAATTAATTAATATTCTGTTAAGTAATCTTATCACTTAACAAGCTCACAAGTTTTGAGTTTTGACATAAAATACAAGGAATGATCAAATAAATATAATACCATGGGGGAGAGTTGGCTATTTGTTTATCTATACAGTAGCAGCTTGCCCAGAGAAACCACGATGACCTTACCCAGCCAAACTATAGACTCGATTTACCAAATTAGTTTATGAAATAACTAGACACCTGACATAGCAAATAAATATAACTGCCACTATAACTCAAGATATATTTATTTTCCTTAATAGCACTGTCATTCATTAGGGTAAATGCATGTTTCTCCAGTACACAGTAGGTATGATTTGTTCTTCTCTTCCGTAGAAGCAGCTATTCTAATAGTAACTGGGCACAGTACATGCGTACTATTTTTCTGAGAGAAAACGTATCAACCGCAATAATAAATACATCATTAATACAATGATAAAGCACGCCGACGCAAGTCAAACCGACTAACGAATGATGATTTTAACCGTGGTCGTTGGCGGCACTAACATAACAACGTGTGATTATTAGGCAATGGGCATTGACCGCATATTATCACGTTGGAAATATTTCAAATTTATTAAACCGTGCTTTTTTTCTATCTATCTGCCGTCATCCGTTTAGGTCGTGGAGTCCGAGGCAACATCAACGGTTCAGAAAGCGTTAGGTCCCCTACGACCAAAACGCCGGCCATGACGCTACCCCAAGCAGCAACAGAACCCAAGACGTCCGCAGTGGTCGACATTCAACCAACTGTGTGAAGTGCAAGTCCGCAACCCCTGAACAAAAGCCATAAAATTGCTATTATTTTACTATATTAACTGCAACATCAATTGTTTTGCATACAAAGCTGGACGCTATTTGTTCATCGGGGTCAAAATATTGCATTGTATTATTGTACTTTTGAATCTTTATCCAAATGGACTCGTTTGCTTTTGGGACCACTTAATCGAGCAAGATACATACATCATAATATACAGCTATCGTTCTTATGCGTTTATATTTATAATAATATGTATTTTAATTTTTCTTATTTTAACATAGTAGACATTTTTATTAGTATCCACGAATACACATTCTATACAATATTATAATATACACATATATAAAATTATAACATTTTAAAATTATATTAAGTATAATATAGACAAGCTTGTCAGTAGTCTATATATCTATTATAATGATTCGTTCTGTGGAACGCTTGATAATATCTTTTTGTTAATTATTGCCACCACCTTAATGGTGTATCATATAAGTTATAACTATATAATATAGCTACAATTTTTTACATTATTCGATTATTTTTCAACATTTTTAGTAATTACAATAACATATTTTCAAATATTTTAACCATACTCACGAGATTTTATTACATTTTATTACTTATACTATCAATTAAACCCCCTCGTTTCAAATACTAATATGCTATAATTTATAATTATACATCCATGTTATAATACATTATAAAACTAATATTAAACAACTTATCATCCATCAATTAACAATTTGTAAATGTATAGACTTAAAATTAAGGGATTTTTTTTTCTTGTTTAGTATAATATTATATTAATACCTTAGCGATTTGTACATTTTTTGAACGTAAATTACACTTAGTTATTAATATTAATTATTATCATTTAGATGCGAGCTGCAAGCAAGCGAGTTGGATTTTTTTCTTATTTTAAAATAATAATAATTGTACATTTTTCATACTCGTATACACATTTACAAAGCGTATATACGTGTATACTTAATATTATTAAAAACTTAGATCGTAAATAATAAATTGATATTATTAGATTAATAGTAATGAATTTAGTTTTAAGTTAAGTCTGTTTGCGTTAGCGCAAGTGAAAGACGATTTGGACTAAACATTGTTTTTAACCGGTCTCGGGGGTCTTAGGTGGGTCGGGACTTGAAAAAACAGAGGGAAGGTTTTCTCTAGTCTATTAACGCCCAAGAACCCGTGAGCGGCAAATAAAAACAACGTCTTTTGCTCATCGCCTTTCCAACAATTCTACTAATAAGTTTTTGATCTTTTTTTAAATATTAATCGTCAGCAATAATGTTTTATAATACATTGTGTGTACTCTATACATTAACCTTAGATGCAGTGAATTTTGTCTTTAAAATCTATTACTATAACGACCGCATAAATTATGCTCAATACATTATATTATATTATTATAACATTATGTAGACTTAGAATGAGCGTGCATGAAAATTTAATTTTTTCTAAATTTTTGTCATTTTGTTCCATATTAAAATGTAAAACGGATCCTATTCAATAACGATTCTTAACATGTTTTAATAATAGATAAATTTATGATTTATAGTTATAAAAACATAATATATATATTTAATAAATAAGTCTAAATATTATCACTATCACTTATCAACGCAATTCTTAACTACATTGTACTACATACACTTTTTTTTACTTTTAGCAATATTTTTGTAATCTTTTTACCACGTATATTTATATATTTATAATATTATATATATCCTATACTGCTACTTTTTTTAAATAATTATTTAAAATTACCCTACTTATTTTTTTTTATCATTCAATAAAGAGCATACTAATATTTCTATCTATAGAAAATTGTATTTATTTAATCGTGTTAGGTCAGTCCTTTCTACCACCATTATCTGTATACAATATAATATACCATAATGCTATTATACAGCGACGAGAAAACAACTTCTTCAGACTTGCGTTAACTTTTATAAAATTAAGTATAATTATGATTGACTGAATAGTCAATTAATATATATCTGTAGTTTGACTCAAGAAAAGCGATCTCACTTTTAGCAAATGGGCTTTAATTTTTTTACTGTTATTTTTTTTACAAAACTTCAACTTTATCAAACTTTTGTCCTGAGAGTGCCGGGTTTTTTACGCTACACAACATTTTTTAAACTTTACATAACACATCTTAAGGGCCAACGAGTGACATTGACCCTTCTTGACCCAAACCACACAGCTAAAGTTAAACTGTAAGTCCATTGAAATGATAAAATATTATAGGTAGGATTTTACGACATACGTGAGCACTATAAACATATACCTAACCTATACCTAAGTAAAAAACGTTCATGTTCGTTTTCTTGCACGTGCTTGCATGCGTTCACTAGTCTGTTCGTGACGAATATTAATTAGGTAAATAACCCGTTTGTAAAAATGTCCACGATACCAACGAATTTGTAACTTTACAATAAACCAGAATTTCGATACGTTTGCTTCAATATTTTACTAGTCAGACACAATTCAGACAGTCGGTAGGTATACTTGTTCAAACTGATGTTAACTTTCCATTGGTATAGCGGTCAAACACGGAAATTAAAACCGTAGCTGTTGTCAAGTTGAGCACTACCTACTTGTTTATAAATCGCTCATTTTGTATATAGTGGGGAGAATAACGACTAAGGGTGAATGAATAAAGGGTGAGGCACGCCCTATAGTCGTGTTACAAAGTATTTATATATTTTTTATGGCGGTTTATAATAAAAACTGCAAAGGAAAATTATTTGTATATCTTTTAGAACACATTTTCTATGTAATTGACAGCAACCTCGATATCTGGTAGTTTACAAAATTGATTTACTGTAAGTAATACATAATAGTATACGCATAGTGTTACAAATTTCAATAATCTAATGAAATTGCACTATACAGTAAAGGTTGTTTACTTACGTAAGAGAAGTCAGAAGGGATATGTAACTTAATACCGTGGATATGCTAGCTGGGAAAGAGCAACGATCGAAGGGGTTCAGTACGATATCGGTTGACATTATATAAATTGACCGTGTGTCCAATGCTTCACAGTTAGTAGCACATTTAACCTATACCTAAACCATAAAAAAAAACTTTTTAAATTTTCGCAACTAACATAATGAAGAAAACTATCGATGTAAGTAAAACGTCTAAATCGATACGAAACCAATTTGAAAGGCTTCGAGGTGAGTGATAAAATAAATTAACATTTATACATATTTAATACGCATGTGATTTGTGAGTCGACTTAGTTCAAAATGTTTTTATAAACAACTAGCTGACGCATAACTGTCCAACTAAGAAATTAATTTAAAATTGTACAACATTTTAATAATGTGTAAAATACATTTTTTTTGTTTAAAAAAAGGACTATATTTCTGTTTATCATTCCATAGTATAGCTATAAGTATAAAACAATTATTTAATTTAAAGTCATGAAATTAATAAATTAAATAACAGCAAACCTATATCGTTTTTATACATTATAATAAAGGAATTTGTTATTTGGACCACGCGGGCTCAGCTTTGTACGCAGATAGTCAGATAGATGCCGTCATGTTTGATTTAAAAACTAATTTATATGGAAACCCACATTCATCTGGCCAACCATCAACCGCTTGTGAAGAAATAATTGACAGAGTCCGATTCAAGTAAGAAACGAGTATACAAATTAGTATTATTATTTTAACGGTAACATTCCATAAAACTGTAGAATGTTATATGACATTCTTCCAATAAAAATATCATCATTTCTAAAATTAAATCTTTAGAGACGACCGATATGTGCCAAACATTTGTAGGAAGTGAAAATAATAACTATAGAAATAATTTTTTATTTCACAAATTTTATCCAAAAGACAACCGTTGATATTGTATGTTAACAATCAATCTTACACATTTTATTTACTATATCTTCTATAGTAGAACGTTAAATAAAGTATGGTCTAATTTTTGTATAGAATCCTTAAGCACTTTAATACTAATACCGAAAAATACAGTGTAATATTCACTTCAGGAGCCACTGGGGCTTTGAAAACTGTAGCTGAGTGTTTTGCGTGGCACGACAAATGCCACCAATCAAACGAACACGCCTCCGGTAAGTACACACTAACTTGGATAATAGTTTCAAGTGATTTTATCACTTTCAAATGTATAACTTCCTGTAAACAAATGACCGCTTTCAAAAATAGGGCTACCTTTACCCAACTTTACTAACAACGGTTGTTCATCCGTTACAAACACATATTAAGCAATAATTTCCTATAAATGCTACCACAATCGAAAACGATCTGTAAACCATACATCAAGTTTAACAAGTTCAGATTGTTAAGGCAAAATTTAATAGTTCACGTGATCGTTTGTCAGATTATTTATTAGCTTTAACGACTTGTGTCAGTTCGTTTGAAAAGTAAGCCTTACATACTAAAATATTTATGCTAATTAGATACTACCATTTGTTGAGATTCTCAACTTCTATCTATTGGTCATTTAATCTATATTGCAACATCTTCTATGAGTTCAATTCGTCTATTAGTTAAATAGTCTTTTATTTTACTTTCAATATTTTAGACTGTCAATGGCAAGGAAGTGCGTTTGCCTACACCCAAGACAATCACACGTCGGTATTAGGCATGAGAGAGTTGGCTGAAAACGTCCAAGATGTATGTCTGACTAGAATACAAATTTCTGACGCTCCAAACACTGATCTGTCGGTTTGTCCGAAATCTGGTAACTCGCTGTTCGTTTATCCAGCGCAATCCAATTTCTCTGGTTACAAATACCCGTTGAGCTGGATCAGAAAATGTCAAAACGGCGCTTTAGACCGGTACACCGAAAATTCCGGTTCAAAGTAAGACAACATACAATAACTTTTATGTTTAAATATAATCACGATTTAGTCTAATATATTTGTTTCGGTAAAATGTGGTGTAGGTCGCCGAGTGCCGGTTTATTTTTTAGTGGCTCTATTTTACGCTGTTGGGTTTCATATTTTTACTGATTCCACACGAGTTTAAAGTGAGCTGTCAATGCCTTTATTGTAACACAACGCCAAACTATTCCAATTGTGATTTTTTTTTTAATCTACATTCGTGAAATAATTATAAATTAAGTGCGCAAAAGCTTAGCACATTAAAAACAATAATAGTTCTTGTATTATTTTAAATGATCATCAGTTGATTAGTAACCAGCTATAAAATGCCTAACAGATAAGTCCGCATCAGATCAGTACCCATTAAAATATTTCTACCGTCCCTTTGGAGTATAATGTAATTGAGGAAATCGATTGGGACGCGTATAATCGAGTTGCAGGCCACTTAAAACATTTATACGGTGTAATTCAATTTTGCAAACGCGTTTCTCTGTGCAGATGGTACGTGCTGTTAGACGCTGCTTCGCACGTGTCTACCGACTACTTGGACTTAAGCGAGTACTCGCCCGACTTTGTGGCTGTGTCGTTTTACAAAATGTTCGGATATCCCACAGGCATTGGAGCTCTCCTGGTGCACAACCGTACGGGCGCAAACGCACTAAACCGTAAGAGATACTACGGCGGTGGCACCGTAGAAATAACTCTGGCCCGGAATCGTCATCACGTACCCAAGACGACGACTCTACACGAATGGTAATTACTTTCAACGGTACAGTACTTAAGTCATGATGAACTTTCGTCGACCACCGACTAATTAATTACTATCGCAAATTGCACGAAAGCTCTATAAAGCATCCGCGGCATCTCTGCATTTGTGTAATACACATTGAATCCTTATATGGATTCAACGTGCAAATCTCATAGAAAATATCCAAAATCTACCGTCAAACTGTTATCATATTATGTTTAACTGTTATAATATGTTAGGTTCGAAGACGGCACCGTAGACTTTTTGTCCATTATAGCAATCGATCACGGACTAAACACCCTCAGAGAATTGGCCGGTCCAATGCAGAGCGTTAGCCAAAGAGTGTTCGAGCTAGCTGCCTATCTGTATGCGAAAATGTGCACGGCGAGACATGGCAACCAAAAACCTTTGTTTCGGATTTACACCGACTCGGATTACACTTGTCGAGAATTCCAAGGCGGTGTCGTCAACTTCAACGTGCTTAGAGCTAACGGCGAACATGTCGGATACAACGAAGTGAGTAACACCTAAACATGGCGTTTCCACGTTATAATATATTATCAGATATTGTTCAGTACACCATTCTAAGATAAATGTGCCTATTGTATTTAACGGCCAGTCGTTGTATGTCAAAGGTTGAAAAGTCTGGTGATGAAGAAAAAAATACTTATTATGGAAAATTATTCGATTCTCTCGACGAAATTATGTTTATTTTTTAAATCTATACATAGATGTAATTTTCAAGATGTTTAAAAAGGTAGATTAACACAAATTATTATTTTTTTTTTTTTTTTAATTCAAGGTCAGAAATGTTGCTGACAACAATGGCATCGTACTGCGCGTGGGTTGTTTCTGTAATCCGGGCGCCTGTCAAACACACTTGAATCTTTCCGACCAACAAATACAAAACAATCATCAGAAAACGTACATGGTTTTGTAAACCTCCTACTCGCCTTTCCAGAAAATCACTATATTCGCTTCTCTGGAGTAAGCCAAACATATTTTTGCAGTGGTCACGTTTGCGGAGACGACATCGACCTGATCGATGGAACGCCGACTGGATCTGTTCGGGTTTCATTTGGATACCAATCGTGTGTATCGGACGCTGATACCATGTACAATATTATGGTCAAATACTTTTGGCAGAGCGACGTAGTCCGACCAGTCGATTTCAGAATGTTAACAACTTTAAACGAGTAAAATTAATTGCATATTCTTGACTGCCGTCCGCGCGCCGCTGATTGTTCCAATTCCGCGCTTATGTATTATCTTTACCTTTCCCTATCTCGCCTAAGCTTGACTAGAAACTTTAAACGACCCGATCCACTTTTGAGTACTTGAACGTTTAACAGCAATTCAAATAATTTACGTGTGTCGAGGATCTTCGTCTATCCAATAAAATCCTGCGGCAGTGTCGAGGTGAACCAATGGCCGTTGGAATCCTATGGATTGCTGTACGACCGGGTATGGACAGTGCTTAGCGAAGACGGTGTTTGTATGACTCAACTAAAAGAACCCAAATTATGCCTGATACAGCCAGAAATCGATTTGTTCAAAGGCATAATGACGCTTACGTATGCCGGTAAGACTAATATTATATTGCCGATATACCTATATTGTACTGTAGGTTGGTTGAACCACCGTATAATTAGCAGCCTTTATTCTTATGTAAAGGGAATTCGGACAGATCTCCAATGAAAATATATTTAGAAAGCCAACAGTTGGACATAAAGAGAGCAGGCAAAACTTGCACGGGAGATTTAGTGGATGGACTCGACTGCGGTGACGAAGTGGCCTCGTGGCTAAGCTTCAATCTCGATATGCCCGGACTAAGGCTAATCAGATGCACAAACCGTAGTCCGTCAAAGTCCAACAAATTTGGTAATCAATTTTTCGAATCATACATTTTTCCCAATTTCCGACTGCGTTTACTTTACAGTTTTGAATTCGAAAGTCTTGGCCGCCAACCAATGTCAGTACTTGATGACGACCGAGTCGACCGTCAACTGGCTCAGGCGAGAGCTAAAAGATGACAACACAGATTTGGACTTGGATAGCGTACTGTTTCGGTTTCGAAGTAATATATTGGTCGCAGGCGATTCGCCGGTCAACTCCGAAGTTAACTGGACCGAAGTGACTATGGGCGGGATAAAATTTCAAGTAAGTAAGTCTGAAAATGTATACCCGATCTCGACGGATCCTGACTTATGTGTGGCCATTTCAGGTACATTCCGTGTGCGTTCGCTGTAAAATGATTTGTATTGACCAATCAAATTCACTGAAAAATCACAAACCTTTGAGCATACTAGATCAGCACAAGTGGAACGGCAAAAGTGTTTTTGGCATTTACCTCAACCGCGTTGAAGAAACGTTAGCTGGTTACATACGTGTAGGACAACCTGTCAGTTTTGTATGAAACGTTTTACGAAGTTATGTGTATTACTGTAAAACTAAGAATAATATATTTTGCAACTTTTGACAAAAATCATTTTTAAAATTTCATCTTTTATACGGATTTATTGTACTATGTTATTGATTAATAACGTTTAGGTTTATAAAAAAAAAAACAACAAAAATTGATATATTTAGACAATATAATATATTATATTATAACAAGCCTACTACCATTGAGTATATATTATTGTATATTATACTTAAACAGAGGCCAGAGCTATTCGAACGACTCTAGTGGTTTGTCGGTTTTATTTTAAAAAAAATATATATATATATATTCACAGCTGCAATACGATATAATAAATCTACTGAACGTGACAATTCCTTCCTATTCGAAAACGTCTTCTTCCCACGTGACTTCTCCTTCGAAATCTTCAATAGAAGAACTGTTATACTGTTGGACATAATCGTGTGGACTTTCTGGCACGGTTATGCGTTGTTCGATTAACCGACGAACAAATTTTGTTGAATCCAAGTCGTCGTAGGTCGATACTTGAGTGCCGCACAATTTGTCTTCGTCCAAAGCGTAAAACCTATCGTCCTGGTCGAGCAAATCAGCTTCGATAGTTCCTGATGACCGCCGGTAGTCGCCAATACGTTTGGCCACAGACGGATCCTTCAACAGCCGGGCGGCCAACGCAAACGGATCCCTAGGCTTCTTCTTCAATATTTCCCGCAACAATAGCACGGCCACTGCTTCCACCTAATAAGTTTCGAACTCGAATACATTTGTAGCCATCGAATATGCTATCGTTTATAGCCAAAATATAAATGTATAATGTAATAATCTTATTATTCCAATTTATAGCCTTCTTCTTCTTCAGTCCTCTACCATACAGAAAAAAACGACGTCCTACCAAATCCTATCTCTTCACACTCCTGTACTCATCGTCAATTCTTTACAATACGTACACCGCACACCTCCATTTTTTAATTATAACAACCACGAACTTTTCTTCGACTTGCACCAACCATACATTTAATAGCAAACAAAATCGCTCAAGTCGATTGGTTTACCTCTCTGTGAGTACTCAGATACGCCTTGTCTTCTCGGCACATGTCTGTCCGGAGCTCGTTGATTACGGCCTGTTGTCGATCACCGATCACGTGATCCCTAAACGGATCCGTAGATATAGGTGGGTCATTTCCGCAAAAGTCCATTTCTGAATGAATACGTCCGTTTTCTTCCATGGTGAATAAGACAAACTGGTAACGCTGTATCGAAGTAACACAGATTACCACATAATATGATATCTACATTTCCGGTAAATATTAAAACGTGTAGATGATTTTGTATCCATGGAAAATCAATAGCGAGTACACTAGGTTTTAGTCAGAGCTACAAGTAATGCAGATATTTAAATGAATGTGTCATGTAAATTCGAATAATTAATAAAGGTCATTCGAGACCTTGAACCAATCTTTCGAAGGGACTACAATATGTAAAAGGCCTACACAAATGACCTTTTACCTGACCCAATAGAAATAACGAAAATAAAATCATCTACAAAACACTAATACGTGTTGGCCACTAGATTTTTATAATAAATTTTATTACTTGCAAATGCTACACTAGGAAACAATAATTAACGGTACACAATCTAAGTACGCCAATTTTAAAATAATTAAATAAAAAATATGTTAAAGAAACTATCGAAAACCGCCTCTTGAAAACTTCAGTGACTGTCGATACAAAAACCTACTGTTTATTTGCTAGTTGCGTGCAGCAATCTATACCCAACTCGCTAGGTCCTAAAAGCCATACTTAACATAACCTGCTATTAGGTATAAATTATGATACACATCTTTTAACACATAAAAAACACTTTAAAAAAAAAAAAGAACACTGTAAAGACAATACCTCCTTAGTTATGCACCAATTCCAAAAAAAAAAAAAAAAATGTATGTAATGGCTAAAATTACTAAAACAATGTATTTCTAAGAGAAAATAACAATGTTTACTGTAGTGATTAATCAGTTTGCATTTTTTTTTTATTTTGTTTGTTGCGCATTCGAGATGTTTGTCATTACGTTATTTTTTTATCTGACAATCACGCGGACTTCGGTTTGTTTTGGCTACAGTGAGTTCATGTGTATTCATTGTATTTTTTCATTCATATTCATTTCCCCCCCCCCCCGCGCGCTCCAGTGAGCCCATATCGACGTGGACATGATCGCACGACATTACCGTTTTGTCTGTTACAGTAGCGCACAGGTTTCTCGAGGACGACAACTCCGCGGTGTGCCTGGAGGACCCGGGCGAGGGCCATTTCCGAGACCCGATAGAGTTGCTGGGCATGAATTTCCCGCACCGGATCACCGTGCACCTGTGCGAAAGCGAAATGCTGCTGTACGCGGAGGAGGTCAGGGAGGTCAAGTTCACGGCCAGGGGCAAGAAGACGTGCGCCGAAGTGTGTTGCGCTTACCAGAAGAAAATGATTTTGGACGAAGGCGTGCAAACGCTACTGCTGCAGAGCACGTGCAACTACATCGGTTCGGAAGACGGCAGCGAAAAAATCGGTCTGGGCAAAAGGTGCAATTGTCCGTTCGAAATCCGCTGCCGGCAGCGGGCCGAGGTCATAACGTACACTTTCACGCCCGACTGCGATGGATTTTTGAAAGTGGCCGTCTACGAAAACAAGTTCCACCACTACATTACTTGAGACCGAAGAACTTGCCCTACCCCCGCCGAATGATATAATATCCTCAATGCGCCACCGAGAATATTATTGTCGGCGATTTCCCGCGAAACGTCGTTAAATCCAATACAATTATTATGATTATTATAGAATACGGCAAAACAAATAGCGACGTCGGTAAGACGTGCGTACCGTCTTTTGGTTGCCCTCTTTCTTGTAATAATTTACAATAGACATTTTCATTTTATAATAAACAAATATTAGTCACGCGGTAAACTTCTATGCTTCGAGCCCTATCACCATCATATTAACCAAGATTCACCGTGTGGGAATAAACAAATTTGTATTGATCAGTGTAAAAACTAATAAACAAGTATACATATTTTAGTAGCTTTAGTGTACCGGCAATACACACCAAGAGATCACACATCGGGACAACAGTGTCGGTTTCAGCCAATAGTTTAAAAAATATAGTATTTTCATTAGTGTTCCAAGACTGGACCGTTAATGGATAAACATATAGGTTTCTTTAATCATAATTTCCCACTAATGTATTATTATTAATATTGAAAAAATTATCATTTCTATTGTAATGTAAATAGAAATTATGTTATTTTATGTGGTACTCATCAATATGGTTTGACATCAAAATAAAAACACAATTTTTCAGTTTTACCTATAACACATTTTTTTATATGATACAATGCAAAAAAAATGTTTGACACATAATGGAGATGGAAAAAGTGATACAGTACATAATAGTGGCATGTCTTTTCTTTGTTCACAAATCAAATGGAACTGACAATTTAAGCACCACAATATTTTTCTAATTAATTTAGCATTTGTTTATTTTTATTATATAACAAAGATATATAAACACTAAAAAAATAGTCTAATGCACATAATTTCATAGAAAATTACTAACATTAATTTTAGTAAAAAAAAATTTAAGATAATAATAAAAGTTCAAGTAGTGCTTTTGTTCAATAGTTTTGCCATAATTTTCGACTTATAAAACATATAAAAAGTTGTTTTATATTAAAGTTATGAGCTAATAATATTTTGTTTATTCGCGAAATGCGATTTATTCTAATAACAAAATTATAATAAATAAATAATATAAAGAGTAATAATAATATTTGATAAAAACTATAATATACCAGTTAACATATTATGTAGTATAATTCATGTGAGCTTTCAAAAAAAATAAAAAACAAACAAACAGGAAGTACACATTAATTAGTTTTCTAACAGAACACTGCTTTTGTAACTTATTGTTCATATGAATTGGTTTTGAACATGGAAACCTATTTGAGTATTACTCGTAGCAGTGAATGTTAGAGAACTATATTAATTTTGTAAAATGGCCTCTAGTATTTTGATAAAATAAAAATAAAAAATATTTCATATAAGAGTGCGTAGGCACTTAATTAGTTGTAAAAAATATACTACTACTTGGGAAATTATTTAAAAAAACATTCAAGTGTATAAGATAAATATTTGCTATATAATATTTATATATTATTATTTACCATACTTGGTAGTCAAGTCTTTTGTTTGAAGCAATAATTATATATCATGTATACATCTATATTTCTATATATATTTATATATATATAAAGACATATAGATATATCTATATATATAAAGTTTTATAAACATAAATTGGTAATATATGTAAGCTATATAGTATAGCTATGCTCTAAATAATTATCGTTCATCGCGTTTTTTTTTAAATAAAATTTTTTTTCTTTTGAACATCAATATTTCTTGATGTACATCTATTAATTATTATGTGTTCATTTGGTAATTGATTTACCAGTTGGCCATACCAGGTTTGTTGAGCGTCATAAAATATATTTGGCAACACGATCCACCTTTAGCTGACGAAAAGAACACCTGGAACACGTACATTGCAATATAAGTAAAATTAAATTAAAAACAATGGTTTTATGAAATATTATAGCAATGTTATTATTTAAGTTGTGGCTAATAGGAACTTTAAAAATAATTCTTTCTAAATCGTTCAATTCCATGCTAGTTTTGATCTTTACCATTGTTCTGATATGAAGTTCCACAAGCTATAATTGCTTAGAACTTTAAATGAAACTGAACCTAATAATAAATAATTCTGCATTTTTGGTTGTCTCTCGATTTTAAAATATGATAGAAATATTCCAGACTATATTTTAGTATTTTAATAATATTGAAACAATATTGCTTTAAACAAAATTTGATCAACGTGCAAAAACTATTTTTAAGTTGTAAAAAAAATATTCTGACAATATTTTGACATTATTTTTGTTATATATAATGCAAAATAAATGTTATTTATCATCAACATTAATAACTTTATCCATAACAAACACATAAGCTCACCTTATCATTTCGTTCGCAGAGGAACTTCAGCCTTTGTGCTTTCTTATGCATAAACACACCATCCAAATGACCCGTTTCTACACTTCGTATTTCAATTGCTTTGTTACCCCAGCCCATTATTTGGCCAGTGCCTATGTACGCAACAGAAGTTGGCATCTCTCCCCATTGTAATAGTATGTTTTTAGACACCTGTGTTTAAAAACAACATTGTAAATTGTAAAAACGTACGGTAAATAGCTGCTGTTAATTTAATTATTAGTTTTGTACTCGCCTTTCCATATGTATTTACATAGACACCTTCGTTGTCATAACACAACAACAATTGTAATCCATTGGAATTTGGTAACACAACAATACAATGTGGGGCAATCGATCCTTGAGTCTACATTGACAATGCAATAAATATTAGTTGTTACACCATAAATTTAGTTGATAGTAATTAAAACCACTCACATGTTTAGGTAAATATATGTCGTACACAGATGCTGAATCTAAATCAACAGCGTGGAATCCATCAGCTGAACCGTAGATTACTTTTAACCGTGCACCTTCTTCAATGGTTAAATCGACTAGTAAAGGTCGATGCGCCAAGTCGCCAAATGACTATTTTAAGAATATACAAAAAATTGATTATTAAGCAATCAAATCATCACAATAGTATAAATTAAATTAAAAAATAATTATTTCATTAAACTATGTTACCTTAAAAGCCATAAACTTATGGTATGGTTTAGGCGCCCAAGCATATATTTCAATGCTATCTTTAAGAGCTATGACCAGAAATTTGATACGTTCGTATTTGACTATACAAAAGTGGACTGCTCCTTGCAAATCGCCAACATTTATCCAACCGTTTCTTCTTTCAACTTGCTACATATTAAATAATTCAATTAGTAAAATCTTCAAACATATTATAAGTAAAATAAATGAATATGAAAATAAACAAACCCCGTCTGTTCTTAGTATCTTAGATTTCAACCACGACAAGTAGTAAACTCGAACACGGTTCTTTTTACCAGATACAGTAACTAAAATATTTTGGCCTTCCAGTACTTCCATTTGCTGAAACCGTCTTCTAGATATTAATTGGTATACTTTGCCTTGACCACTTCTGTCCAGCAACATAAGACCAGTTTCCGTACCAATTAAGAGGTTCACTCCTGATAAATGTTATTAAATATATATATACACCATAATAGCATTATACAATTAATTGCTTTAACATTTAAAGTTGTTCACAGTATAAACATACCCCACAATGCAGCACAAAGGATTTCAGAATTGAACCGTTTCTTGTATTTACGTATTTCTGGCGTTTCGGAGGCTAAATCGTGAACAACTGGTGTAACATTAACATTTACATGAGATTCACGACGACCTGGGCCTTGTGAGCTAGTACTTGTGCCGGTTCCGCCTGCTCCGAAGCCGAATGCAAGGAATGAACGTTGCTTCTGTTGCAATGAATAGGTATTTGACAAAGTGTTTGAAAACTGAAAATACAATTAAAGTCTACATTACACAGTGTATATCATTGTCTTCAATGTGTTTACTCAAAACTATTGCTAGACAGATTAATTGCAAATTTAGAGAAAGTCAATTCAAACAACTTAGTTAATGTTATTGAACTTACTTGCAATAATGGTAGATCATAATGTTCGTGTTAATGGAATTAATGCACATAAAAAACAAATTCAAATCCAATTAGACAAATTTTAGAACTAATTAATTAACATACATAACAACTCAATATTGAGATTACAGTATTTAATGTTAAAATATAAACATACAATTAATAATCATAACCAGTGGTGCCCAGTAGTTTCATACTTTTATGTAAAGTAAAGTTCCCCAAACTATTTTAATTTTTTTTATGCAATAATAATGGCATTGTTCATTTTACAATAAATCACCTTCTCCGTATTATTATATGAAGCGGTCACTTCAGTTACAAGATATAGGTCCGACACCACTGATCATAACAACTAGACAAATATGATTTTACAAACCTCTTCACTATTGCTTTTTTCTAGCCTTTGGCTTGGAGTTCCAGGACTGGATGACGCCTTCAAGTAACAAAATTAATACCAATAATTAGTTATATTTAAAGTAACAAAAATATATAAATTTGTTAAAATTTACTTGTGAAAGTAGATCTGGTAAAACTGAACTTGTTCTAGAACTCGATCCACCAGAAACATCATGTCTATGGAAGTCACTTCGGCGTTCATCACGATTCTATGAATCAATATTATATTTATTTTAATTACAAGCCTTTGCTGTATAATACACGTTAATCAATACATTTTTACATAATCTATACAATACATGTTAATTAATGAACCGTTTAGTATTAATTGTATCATATTAGCCAGGATTAATTATATCATACATAAGTAGGTGTATATTAATAGTAATTATAATCAAGCTAAACTTTGTTATGTGCCGGTTATTCCCATGGAATAATATTGAAAGTTAGAGATGCACACTAAAGCCAATTAGTAAGTTGAAAATTATTTGACTATAATTACATAATATAAGACATATTATATAATATACAAACTAATACTTACCTTTCTTTTCTTTATTTTTTTCATTAATAACATTTATAATATATGTATAGCAGAGAAGTATCTAAAAATATTAAAAGACCTATTATCTATATAAATCTGAACTATCTTAATAGAATTATATCCCCCTCCCCTCTCGTGATCAACTCATTTAATTACTGTAGCTAAAAATAAAATGCAAACACATACATATAACATGCAAAACAAACAAATCAACTACATGCATTCAGCACAATACAAATCATGACATTTTGTACAGCTTACACCATCAATAAACAGTTGTATACATTTTTGTTTTTCTTTAGCACAAGGGAAACTAACTCGATTCAATATATTTTTTTACTTACACATTCCAAATTAACAGAGTTTAAAATAATTATCATATTATATATTTTTAAAGAGAGGTTATGTGAGAGATGTGCAATGAATATTTTTTAGAATTAAAATTTTTGTTTAAACTATTTCTTACAATATTTTTAAAATAATAATAACAATGCTTTTAAAATGTTTCATTTGCCTTACAAAAATGTGTGTTGTTATTTTTTGCCGAGAAAAGTAGGAGGTATATATTTTGTATCAGTAATTTCGAAATGAATAAATTTCATTTTTGCCAGTTTAAAACCCATATGGATCTAAATTTATTTATTTTCGTGGCAATAAGTAAAACATTAATTTTAGTCATTAAAGATACAAACTTATTAGAATTTGGTATAAATGTTAAAATATACTAGTTTTTGTGGCATAAAAAAACATACTAGTATACTACTTTTTGTAACTGTCATCAATTTAAAAGGGGATTGGAATTTAAATGAATAGTAGGTTCAACAATTGGCTTGCATCTAAAATTTTTTTTTCATAATTATAACAGTAATTTATATTGTTCATTTTAACATTTTTAATAAAAAATTACAATTTTAATTTTAGAAACTTGTATTTCAATTAACATTAAGACTAAATTTATTTATTTATTTACATACTTGGTTTTATTTGATATACCTACCTAGATTTTTTTGCTGTCCTACGTTGTATTTTTTCCCAAAGCACATCTCTAAATTTATTAGTATGAATTTCTAACCAAAGATGCTGTTTACCGAGATAATTCGGTCTAAAGTCGTACAACTTTCATAAATACCACATGTAGCCCAAAAAAGTTCACAAAGTTAAATTTTACGTGCGTTAATACTCTTTTTGGAACAATGATAGTAACAAAAATCTGTACGGCCAAAAACCCTAACTATCAACGATACACAACTAGTTTGAACAGTATGTTGGTATTAACTATTAAGTCAAGATTGGAAAACCACATAAATGTATTAGCGAGGACGTGTATTAAGTGAAACACATGGCATGTATTAAAAACCTTTACATCTCTAACGCTAACCTGATTTGTTTCTTTGGTAAATCCGTTATCTTGTTCATTTAACTTGTTGCCACTCTCAACAGTTCCACGTGAAAACCTGGCATCCACTTCTAAACGTCTGTTTTCTAAGGATGGTCTGGAAATTGTTAACCTTTGCCGGCTAGTTTGCAAAACAATATCACCGTCAGTTCTTTCTCGCCGAGGCCTAGTCGGTTTCCATTGCTTTTTCAATGAATCAGATCTTTCTACAGATTTTTTGCCAGCATCCGAACCGCGTCTCTGTTGGACATCTGTTTTTTTAGCTTCAAGAAATACAGCCGAATGCCGTGAAGATGGCACAAAAAAATCTGTATTCTCTCTTCTGAACACATTCGGTATAAATTTTGAAGAAGCAGATACTTCTGAACCATTACGTTTGTGTTGAGTACGTCGAGGCATGGACATTGGTTGTTCTTTTTGTTGACTATCATTATCAGTGGAATTGTTGGACTTTTGGAAAAATCGTGCAAAGTCCCAGTCTTTTAATAATTTTTGTTCATCAGAATCTACTTTGCATTCACTTGTAGCAGGTTTTTGCTGCGGCAACTGGCGTAGGAATTTTTAAATATTAAAACAAATTAGAATATCAATAACCTTACAGACCGTGTGTATAGTATTAAACAATTTAAACCTAAGAATTCCTAACGTTATAAATACCCAAGATATTTAATCTTAATAAGTGATGTTGTATCATCATTATAATAATATCCTAACTAAACAAAGTAATAATCCTATCTGATCTATATTACTTGAATATGAGCCCGGTTTTCGTCTTTATTTCTGATATACAATGAACTTACAATTTTAATTTTCACAGCACACACAATCCTCATGCAAACACAACTACAGCAAATACTTTTTTTTTAGAAACCAATTTAATAAATGTTTGTGTTGAAGATATAATACAGATCTCCTAAAAGTATCTAAAGAAATTAAAACCAATATTTAGTTTCGTGTTGAATTTTTTTTTTTTTTAAATAAAGCTAAAATGAAATTGGATAAAAAAATGTAATATTCACTAAGTGATTATTAGATTTTAAATTACCAAACAAATTTTAAATTAAAAAAACTAAATTATACATATTTTAAAATTGTTTAAATATATTAATTACATTATGAGAAATCCCTACACCGTTAAGTTGGATTCACTTATTTATATTATGTTATAATAAGTCTATATTTATATCACAAAATGAATCTCCCTACAGAAACGTTACACACATATTTTCTGTAAATGTGACTACTACCCCAAATGTTAATTAGTATAGCCGTAGCCTGAAAAAATATGTGTCACTATTTCAGAAATATACTTTAGTACAGAAATCTAAGGTTATGTATTATAATTGTAATTTGTTACAAAAAATGAATCCAACTTTAAAATTATCTGTTTAAGATTAGATTTAAGTAAAGCACTGTAATTAAGTTACAATAATATTTTATTTATTATTTTAATCTATACACCTTAGGAGAAAAATTCTAAATACAGTATTATAAGAATGTGATAGTGATGGCGTAGAGAATAAATATTTTAATTTAAATTCTACCACCAGACCACTACTTATTTTCTACTTATATTTATAAATATACAATACACACTTTATCCAAAATATCTAATTTAAAAGCAAAATTAGTAAATAAAAAAGCATTGTGCCAATAAAATTAATGTAGGAGTAAAAAATATTTTACTCATACATAAATTTGTTAACTAAGATTTAAGAAATGTTTTTAATAACTGACTATAATGGGACAATATAAATTATAGAACCACATGCAGTCAATGCATTGAAATGATATTTAATGTATAAAAATATATTTACTTAAAATTTCGGTCTTCAATAATAAAAAAAACCATAATAGCGAAAACAGTTACTGAAATACATGTTTTGTTCATGCGAAAAATAATTAAGTGTCCCATTTCTCTAAGCCAAATTGTTTATAGGAAAAACTGTACTTTCTATAGGCTGCACACTAATCAACATTCACCAATATTCGTGATAAGTGTTTTGTGGAGTGCATTTGCCTGAAAAAAATCAAACTTACCCTTCTCAGCACTAATGTTCTATCACCGTTTTCATTTTCTTCGTCGGGAGTAGGTGGTAATGGTCGATTTGGTGCACCTCCAGGCCCCATAACATTACTAGAGCTAGACGATGATCCTTAAAATAGCAATAATTTATATTATTTACACATACAATAACAAAACATAAAAATAATAACTCATTGAACATTTTAACTACCTTCTAAATGCATAACTCCGTTTGGGTTAATATCTGCAGGCCTGAAATGTAATAAAATAAATAAATATTTATATAGAACTTTATTTGGCTTTCTTTTTATGGTAAATCACTTATTTCTTACAGAGGTTTAGGTGGATCACTTGCTAGTAAAGTTCCATCATTTGGTTTTCTTCTAGGTGGAGCCCGTCGAGCATCTTGTCGATGAGCAACATCTTCATCGTCATCATCATCATCGTCATCGTCATCAGAAGAATCAGACTCGATTATCCCTTGCGGTACTACTTTAGCACCACCATTTTGATGTACCTGTGAGATAGAAATATTTGTCAGTCTGTCTGATGATACGCTTGATTCATATAACTGATCAACCAGAACTATTGATGTCAATTGTGGGCCTATTAAGATCAAAGATATACATTTTCCCAAAAAAAACTCACCATTGGCTGGAACACATTTGAATTTCTCTGGGGTTGTTGTTGAGGATGAAAATGTCTGTCGTCACGGGGAGGTGGGGGAAGTGGCCTAGAAGGTGGGTGAGGATCTGGAACAACTATATTAAATTGAAATTTTTTTTATTATTTTTTTTATACAAACAACAATATTAAAAGACATACCGATTAATCTATGGGGTATTATAGGTGGTCGAGCAGGAGGACCGGGTTCTGGGATTTCTTCTCTTTCTTTACCATGTTTGTCTTTACCGTGAGGAGTCAAAGTTCTTCCTTCTTGAATTTGTTGGAAATTACGTCTTAAAGTATTATCTCCAGGAGCTTGTACTATAGACGAATGTTGTTCACCAGCAACATTGTGATCGTCGTCCTCTTCATTTTCAGAACCACTATAACGATAGTCATCCCTTTCGGCTAAAATTAATACATTGATGTAGTTAGTAATAAAAAACCAATATAATTAAGTAATTCTATAATATAATTTGATACTTACACTTTTCTTGCTTTCGTTTTTTGCATCGATCAATATGGTCTTTAAGTTGAATACGAACTTGGCGTTCTGTTGGTTGATCTCTAATATATGGGTGCTTAAGTAGTTGATCAGTATATGGTCTTTGATGATAATCTTTTACAAGAACTGTTTCGATAAAGCCTGTAAAGAAGCAAGTGATTTTAAATGTATGTCTTATAATAAAATAAATGCTAATTAGTTGATGTTTATAACTAAACATACTATGAAATTTTTTGGCCCACTTTTTCGACTTTAGCCTAGGAGGAGAGTTTCGTGGAATTAGAAACAAAGCTCTCATTGGATGAAGATCGCATAAAGGAGGCTGAGATTCAGCCATTTCCAAAGCTGTGATACCTGTAATGCAAAATAAAAAATATGTATTAACCAAATAATAGACAAGCGCTTAAGTTCAAATGTTTACCAAGACTCCACAAATCGCTTCTATTATCGTAAGTGGCATCTGGATTTTCTTCACACGCAATCACTTCTGGAGCCATCCAGTAAGGTGTACCAATAAATGTATTACGGCGTCCAATCGTACGATCCAACTGAGCACTGACACCAAAGTCAACAAGTTTAACTTCAGCATTATCTGTTAACAATACATTCTGACCCTTGATGTCACGATGAATGACTTTATTGGAGTGTAAATAGCTAAGGCCCCGTAAAATTTCTCGGCAAATATAAGCAATCCACTCTTCTTTAAGCGATTGGCCTTTAGTAGACTTTACTAAATCAGTGACAGATCCAGCTCCACAGTACTCCATTACAAGCCATAACTGATCATCTTTGCCCGGAGGACTCTTCTTTATAAATGCACCATAATATGTGGCAATATTCCGATGATTTGAATACTAAAAAAAAAATTATAATATAAATACAATTCAATTTAGGGCAACAATAAGTAACTAAATTTACTTTTTTTAAAACGTTTATCTCTAATTTTATTTCCTCTTCTTCTTCCTACAAACAATTAAACATATGAAATAATTTAGTACATTAAAACAACAAGTCAGACTGATTAAAATAAATTAATTTAGGATAGTAATAAGACATAAACATTTATTTTATACCTCTGTAACATCCATAACTTTAATCGCAGCCAACTGGCCGGTTTTGGTATGTCGGCCCTGAAAACAAAAATATACACACATACATAGTATACTAGAAAAAACTTTAAGCAACTTATATAGAAAAATAGTAAAGAAATGAATATTTAAGCGCTAACACCAGACATCTGTCATTAGTAATAAAGATGACAACATTGTTGCCAAAATACATATACGCATAGAGCGTATTATTTTTATGGTTAAGGGTTTAAATATTCATTTCTTTACTATATAATATACTAATTACATAACACTACATAATTCCACAGTACCTGATTTAATGATACAAAAGTATTAAAAATATTTATAATAAAGTTAAAGCTAATGAGAGTTTAAATAAAAATATCCTATATAATATAAAAACCTAAAAATATGAGTTATTATATAATTGTTAATAAGAAAATATATAGTCTTTAATTTTAAACAATTTTATGCACAACGCAATAGTTCAAAAAAAATATAAGTACAGATTATATAATTCTTTTTGAACCCCTATTACTTTTATTCTAAGTAAACAATTTACTCAAAATTACCTAAAAATTAAGTAATATGTGTTTGTTAAAATTCAAATAAATAAAATATACTCAATATTTATCAAGAAAGACTTGTTAAAATGTATTATAATTATCTTGTGGATACTTAAAACCAATGTTTTTAATTGTTTTTTTTAGTACATTTAGTTAGTTTAGATAGTTGTTTCATAGCTTAACTACAAAACCACACTTTTGTTTTTATGAGATTAAAAAATTGCTTAAAGTTGGTATATAAAGCTAACAAATTCCTAACATTCTAACACATGACAGAGCATATTTTAAAAATCACTGACGCAGAACTATAGACATGATGATTCACTTCATTAAATAATGAAGTGGGCAGTACATGTAAGTAAGTGGATGCATATTAAAATGAGTTTCACCCTATTTGGGATTTCAATATGTAAACTTGTTTTATAAACTGTTATTTGTATATTTATTGTTCAACTAACTATTGTATAATAATATTAACAATTCCGATATTTAATGTGCTTAAGTAAAAAGCATAGTTCATTAAATAATCACTAACAAAAACCAAAATTAAAAATAAGTAGACGATATTTCTTGAATACTATGAGATAGAAGACAAAATATTGTTATACATCTTTAGAACAATACACATTGTATAAAACAGGAGTGGTATGATTTAAAATACCTATGTTAGTGGACTTTGAAGGGTCAACAACCAATTATCCCATAATGGCACGCCCTCAGTAAATAAGTACTTAGTCCTACAGCAATTGCTTCAAGGTCTTAAATGAAACACATGCTTTATTTTTACTTTTTATCAATTCATAAACCATTCCCAAAAATAATAAAACCTGAAGTAGACTTTAAAATTTAAAAAAAATAAGATAACACATAATTTAATTTAGATTTTTAACATGCCAATGTTTTAATTTGGGAACAAGGTACTTAGACTTATTGTTGAATGTTCATTAATACTTTAATACAAATTTTAAAGCATACATTATAAACATTCAACTTTCTCCAATATTTATGTATAATATAAATTATATTATAAATCACAATTATTTTTCTATATTATAATATAATATATGGATAATTGTCAAACTAATTTGTCTTTTTAAAGTTAACTCTATAGTCATAAAAATTGCTGAACTTAGTTTTCTACACATTCAGAAGCAATTCATCAAATAATTGAATAGTAAGCTTTTGCTTCACACTTTTAAATGAATTAAAAATTGTAATATTTTTATTTATATGTAACTTGATTGGTTAAATTATCGTTCAAAATGCTTTTTAGTTAAAATAAAATTATATGTATCTTACCTTATACACTTGTCCATAAGTTCCATTGCCGACTACTTCAATCAATTCAAAAATTCCTGCAGGATCCTAAACAATATTAAAATACACTTTACGTGACCGGAAAACATAGGAGTATAACACAATTTATCAATACACTTATCTGTAGCAATATACACTTGTGAACATAACATGGTTAAATATTACACATATAGATAGGTATTTTCATGAACCTGAACTCACTTTGAGAGCGTTGAGATCGATGTCGTCAAGTGAACAGTTGACACTTGGAGCCAGGTTATGCGCCATATTCAACATGAGGACGTATACTTGATAAAATACAATAAACACTAATAACAATTAGAACTAACAATAATACTATGTATAACACATAAACTGGGTACAGTCGGTAGTGCTACTAAGACGCTATGATATTTCTGCCTGTGAGGCCAACAATATGGTATCACACGACGGTGTCGCGGTGCTCGTGCATTGTGGGTACGCGAAACGACTTCCGTAGTGCGGAAATCACACAAAATAGTTGCACGACATTGTCGATGATTTATACAAAGGTAGTGCGACGAAAGAAAAAATGTTGGAGGTAATTGGAAATAACGAAAACAATAACAATCAGAAAAAATCCACACCTTTCCCAGAATCACAAATCCCAATTATGGTGACGTCATCTTCACGGAGAACACTACATTTTTATTGAATTTCACGAGAGAGAATTTCGTACTGCGGCTTTGGTCAAATTGATGGACGCCGAACTAGTGATAACGATTAGCGATAGAGAAACGCATTACGCACACCGCGCGGTCTCGACTCAGTGCTGTGCTCTTGCCTCTTTCGATTTTTCGTAAACAAGTAACAATAATAGTTTTTAAAAAAAGGTTCTAGTTGGCAATTTTTGAAAATGAAGAGCTTATTGTCGTTAAGGAAAGTTGGAAACCGACTGTCAGCAAATTTTGACGCTGTTTGCAATGTTTTTTTCGGGCAAATGCCTCCACCCGGTTTGTTCTTCGTTACAGCACTATCTAGCTTGTTCTTGCCTCTTGGTCAAATAATTATATTAAGTCGAATTATTAACGTCCACAGCAATATCGTTTGTAAGTTTGACGGAAGTGCCAAAAGCGACTTGCCGAAAATGGTTTGACGTTAACGAAATGTTCAAAGATTCTATATTGTGGGCTGTACCGAAGCACAGGCGAACCATTGAAAAAAGATTAAAACGAAAATTTGGATGTATCCATGATTTTTACAAAATGCTAATGCCTCGAACGGACTTACTGACTTGTAATCATTGTGGGCATAACTATCAACGACGCCATTTATGTCGTAAGATACTTAAAAAAAAACTATTAGATATTTATTAATTTAATTAAGTATTACAATTCATAATGTCATGCTTTTTTTAATAACTGTGAATAGGTAATAGCTTTTCAGTTCATTTTAATAGTGTGCATTTATCTACACGTACTCGTTTCATTTTTTAGCAAATTGTTACAAGAAAGTTAAAGATGAAACAACTCATATGCAAGAAGCTATTGAAAAAGAATTAGGATTGGAACCAGTTCAACAAGAGGTTATTGTCTTATATAAAGGAGAGAGAACAAAACAAGCTGAAGAATTTTGGAAGGTAAGATATAAAAAAATAACTATATGATTGATCTCGAGTAATTCAATATTTTTTTTTTTAATTTGCTTAGGGTAAAAGAATTATTGAGCTAAAAAGAGAGAAACCGTCTTGGTTCAGTAAGAATTTATTACAAAGAACTACGATTGGAAATTCAGATTCTACTGATGTTAAACCTTCGGAATTAGCTTAGTTTGTTGAAATCAAATTAACAATTTAGTTTTATAGTACATTTTTTTCTTTATTTGTGATGAAACTTTGTATAGAAATATATATATAAAAAATATAAATAGGTATTTACATAATTTTACTGTTTAATAATATGTTTTTTTAATAATGTCCTGATAGACTATCAATAATGGTTTCAGTTTCTTCTTCAGGGAAATGACTGCTCACGTGTTCTACTAGTTTATCGAATATTTTATCACCTTCTGCTCCTACGATATAAAGTTTACAAAGAGGGCATATGCATTGGTTTTGTGGTTTAGAATGGATTCCACAAACACATGGTGGACAGAGATCTAATGTAGATGTTGTTAACGTTTCTGCATCTCGATACTCTGCAGTTGGTTTAATCACTTTTACTTCTGTAGGGAAAAAATAAAATTAATGTTTTTTTTTTTATTATTATAATTAAATTTTTAACCTTCAACGAGTAGATTGTATTTTGATGTTATATTTATTATCGAGTTATTTTGGTCGGCAATAAGATGTTTAGCCAAAGTTAATTTTTCCTTGAATGCGTTTAATTCTGATAACAACATTGGCCATGTCTCGTCATCTGAACTATATTGTGTACTTAAAAAATCTCCCTCTGCGTCCTATTAATATAATATTTAATACATACATCATATTATATAGTACAAGTCTATGCATTTTAAGCAATTCAATTATTTATTAAACAAAATTACCACAATGCATTTAGGATCCATTTTAATGTTGTCATCTAAAAAATATAAAAACAATAAACTAGATTTTACGGCATAATTCTAGGGCTTATACACATTGAAATAAATCGATTGTGATTACTCATTACTATTATGTAGTACAGTTATTTAAAATTAAATCAGCTTATGTTCTAGTTAGATTGATTTTTCACCGCATGAAAAATTTATCCTAATATCTATTATAGGTAATTCTGTTTTTTTTTTTTTTTTTTAATCGGGTACTATTCATTTTTGTAATATTGTAATAGGTATACTTGATACAAAAACAATTTTAAATTAGTATAATTCTTGGTATGGGAGACTGTCTAAGGAGGAGTATGAGAGAGAAGCCCCCCACAAGTTTTTTATTGGGAACAAATAATGGAAAATGATACAATAGCCCAAAATTGTTAGCCCCCCCTCCCCAATAAAAATGTTCTGGCTACGTGCCTGTAATCAAAAAATCTCTTACTTATTGATATAAATTTACTTAACATTTGAGGATTACTGTTTCACAAGAAGCAATTTAAAAACAGGAGTTTGCTTAATAAATCAGTAAAGTTAAATATATTGATTATTTTATCACAATAAAATGTTTTCTGCGTCTAACTTATGACTACTTTATTTTTTATTATTTCAAAAGGATGGCTAAAATTTCCTGTTTGAGTTCATTAGTTCAGGGTCCGCTTAAAGAGTAGTATCGGGTTTGTTTTTTTACTGTCTAGCTATTTTTTCCTCTTGGGGGTTTAGGAACGTTATCTCCTATCGTAATAAGCACATGATTATTAAAAAAATTGTGAATATGAATATTGGATGAATACAAATAAAAAAATATAGTATGAACATTATTATTATTATACTGTAGTACACGTGCTCCTACTGTATCACTGATAGCAGACTGAAGTAACTCACTGAATGGTTACACGTGCGTCTTGCACAATGATAATTCTCAAAGTTCATTAAGCTACAACATTAAAACTATAAAAATCTGTTGATTTTTACTTCAGATTTGTAATCAACATAAAAAATACTACAAAAAAGCAAAACAAAAAGTGTCCAGTAAAGTAAATTTTGTCTCTGCTTATTTTTAGGTATTATTAAAAAAACAAGGTGTACTTAGATGATCTAACAAATATATATATACATAAAAATGGAAGTAAATTTATCAGATCATTATGATACATCATACACATCGATATATAAATCCAAATGGCATTTAAAATTGCTTTTATGTAATGTGTGTTTTTGTAGAAATATTATTTGAACTAAATACTTCATTAATATATATTTCTATTAAGCAAGAACTTTTTTCAAAAAATGTATTAATTATAACATTAACTTCCATTATTATATAATGTAAAGTTCTAATAGAAAAAACTAGACATTATATTTATAAGTATTAATAATTATAATAAATAGCATAGTTATTACCATTATATTTCAAGTAGTTATCAATCAAAGCTAAAGAATTTTTAGGTTTGATCAGATCATTTGAATGCTTTGTGTGGTTTTCTATAGATGACAATTTCGACCATAATTTACGATTTTCAGCAGTTACTATTCGCAAATACTCAACCAACTGCTCTTTCTTACAAGATAACTCTTCAATATCCGATTTTTTTAACTGACTACCAGTTGCTTGACAATTACAACGGCTTCTGATTGCTACATTTTCCTTTTCAACAACATCTAACCGGGTTTGAAGTTTTTCACAACGTTCAGCTAGTGTTTGTAATGCTATACGTAACGCTGATGTTGACTCCAAATCATCCACTAGGTTACCAAGAGTATTTTTAACAGACATAATAATATTTGTATTATATAGCACCAAAATATGATACAATTGGATGAGATCAACAGTTATACTTATTTAACTTTAGAATAAACACAATTTTAAATTTAAAAAACTAACACAAACACATAATAGTTATTAAATCATAAATGGCTATTGATAACTATAATTTACCAGTAAATTTCCCTAAATTAATTATTTAAAAATATAACAACAGCAAACGTTAATAGTTATTTATGTATATATAGTGTAATATAGTATATATATATTTATAATTTATAATATTAATGAATACTTTATATTATTATTATGATTATGATAAGCAGGACGTTTATGTTATCATTATTAAAGATAACAATATTATCATTAGTTCACGGTTGTAGATAAAAAATAATAAATAATAATCGTGCTGTGAACTCTGAAGTCGCGGCATGCGAGACGCGAGTGTAGCATTAGTGAAGAGATAAAATTATAATTTATATTGTATATTAATTATTATATTATATTGAAAATATTTTATTAATAATAATAGTAATAGCATGAATTGAAAACGTTTCATATTTTGTTCCGTTCCTCGTATCGTTACGCAGGAAATAATCGAAAATGTAATTTCATGAACGAATTAGCAACCGTAACGAAACGATCTGAGTTATTCTGATAAATTTATTACATTCCTATTTTTTCCTATTTACTTGCAAGTAAATAGAATAAACGACTTTTTTTTTATAAAATAGTAAAATAATTGTCAGTTTTCAATTTTAATTAACAGCTTTAAGTCATAAAATGTTAATTTAAACAATAGGTAAATAAAAACTGTCGATTTTTTTTCCATAAAAACTTCCATTTGTACCTATTTTCCCTATTCGATTTAAAGATAACCCTACATTTTACAGAGAAAAAAAATAATTGCCTCTAAATATTTTTTGATGCGGGATTAAACCGGTATTGGTTGTACAATAATGCCATACTGTTTCTAAATTAAATTTGTTTCAGAATATCGTTTCGCAACAAAAACAAAATAAATAGTATGTATATTTATTTTGTTCATAACATGTTCTGCTTCTAGGTAGGACGGAACACAAAATAACGTATTGAAATATTATAATGTAAGAAAAGTTTTCAATCTCTAACTAACAGTAATTATTTTTACATACTATGATCTAAGTATTTTATATAATAATACTAGAAATTATTAAAAAAATACATCAGTCAAAAGGATTTTTATTTAAATAAAATGTAAGTTGATACACAGCATATTTTTATCAACAGGATAATATGCTATTTATTTTTAATCTAATTCTTTATCGTCGTCGATTTTTTTTTTATTACTGCTGAATGATAAATTCTAAAATTTCGATTTATAAGTTTACCGCAAGATTTATCATCATTATCATGTTGCTTAACAAGCCAACACTGCCAACATGAGTTAGTTTCTAGACGGGTCACTCCGTCGCGGTATGAGGGATAGGCAGCTCCTTTTCACTTGAAGGGTTTCCATCAAAGCAAATAGAACCGCGAAGTCTATAGATTTCAAAAAATATATCTGGAATTGGTTCAATTTGAAGTTCATTGGCTATAGATTTGCAGTAATTAAAAACTGAATCTCCGATGAAATGCGTCTTTGCTTCAACCATAAAGTCCATATTTTGAGGACAACGATTTAAATGATTTTGAAAAAATTTCAGAAAATATCGAACCTAAAATTAAAGGTAAAAAATGAATGTGTAAATACTAAATAATTTATTCAAATAATTTTCGCAAAAATTACATAAACTAGTTGTTTGCGCAGGTTAACTAAATGTGTAAACTGGTGTTAAGTTAAATAAGTATTAATACTTCATAAATCTGAATAACTAATCTAAAAATTGAGTTATAGTTATTATCGCTTTTTTTAAAATGTCGTTCGGCTTGCTTTTCATTAACCCTTAATACTATTTTGTAATCGACAATAGTAAAGACCCGCCTAACATGTCTTAAAAAAAAGATATTACTTTATTACTCTATATGCTAATATGATTGGGCACACATTGTAATTGAAATGTTTTGTTAGATGAAATATGAAGTATAAATGATCTGCATGAGATTAACGAGAAAATGTGTGTACTAAAAAAATGGATACCTATAATAATAAGAGGTTAATTGAGACAGAGCAAATTAGAAAGTTACTTTTATCAGATATTAAGAATTATAAAGCATAAAAATTACAATTACATGTAGATTCAATGGTGTAGGACGAAAGAGTCTAATGTACACAAAAAGAAATATAATTATACATCGGGATTCTAATAAGAACAATCTGGTCAAAAAATAGGAGGTTAAAACATTTTTAACAGTAAAATTTAAAATGAAGTGAAGATTTTCTGGAAAATATCTTAAAAGATTTTAAATATTAATGTATAATTGGGACAGTTATTAAACCTGAGAAAGGACCGCCATATAAAGGTAAACGAGTGTGTGACTGATCATTGATAAATAAAAGAAGTATAAGAGAGAATGACAACAAACTAGAATAAAGGATTGGAATTCGCAAGAGTTGTCGGAACATACTAAACAAACCTTAATTATTACCATTTATCTGCATAATGTCTATTTTTACAATGATTATTAATAATTGTACCAAAACTAAATTACTTGTAAATCGAATACTCGAAATATGAATGTCATGTTCAGAAATCCAATAAAACCCATCGTTGGATTATTGATATTTATAATTATTTTATGAAGCGGAGTAATCAGTTTATCTTCAACATTTATTCCGCAACTAGATTTTAAAAATGGCAGTGCTATTTTGAACCCTAAAGATAAAAAAAAATACAATTAAATTTAACGTATTATACTATTTAGGACACCCTATATATAAGTTATTAATTTATATCAATGTTATCACCTGGCGCTGTACCAGTTTATTGTGAACCATTACAGCATCCCAACAGAGAGATGTACGATAGTAATTTCTTTAAAAAAAAAACGAATTTATGCTTGACTTGCAAAATAAAAAATTTTGGTATTCTTAATATATTTCCATAATAAATAATAATTAACTAATTTAGTATAGCTATCTCTCTCTCTTAATTTTAATTATTTATATTAAAGTTTATACAGACCCGTGCAGTATATAATGGCGTCCATTTCTGCTATTGAATTGTCATTAAAACAAACAGTATTTTTTGAAATAGATTCGACATCTGGTTTGTGAATAACATTAGATGGGAATTTCTTACTCAGTATCTTTTCATTGTGATGACTTAAAAATACCTAAAAAAAATAAAACTACACGTCATGGTCACGATCAAACGGTTGTATAAAATATTATTGATTATGATGTTACATAAATTACAATTAATATCATTATAATATCGGTGGTATCTGCTATTAACTTGTTTTAAATTGTATTATATAGCCATAGTGAATAAGAATAGTTCTATACACCGCAATTATTTATCCCGCCTAGTTAACATTAATTTTTATTATACACATTTTTTAATATTCTATTTAATACTTTTATGTAACTACTGTTATAAAAATAATATTATTGTAATTATTTCCCGATAAAATAAGTGTCTTACGTTAAATTATTACCATGATACATTCTTTGCCCACACAAGGATAATCGAAGTTCCCGGGATTGTATAATACAGCTTAAGACGACCTTTAGGTTTCCGAGTTTGAATCATATACATATAATATTTTGCCCCACTTTCCACAATAAACTTGTTATTTTTACTAAAAATCTAGTAAAATGTATAACATCGATTAGTGGAAGTCGAAAGAAGGGGTTAAAGTAAAAGATTAAAACTACTAGGACATCATAAACTAAAATTAGATTTAATTAAATTTATGGTTAAAAGATGGTCTACTTTGGGAAATTTTCTAGCTACTACGTACATGTTTTTGGCTCATTAAAATGTTGTAATTTTTATTATTATTATTGCATACCTTATTTTATATTGTTTTAAAAATGAATTGTTATTTGATTACAACAGTCGCTCACTATCATTCAGTAAATTTACCTGTTTAGCTACTTTAGCCACATCTACAGAAATATCGACCCCAGAGGGACCGGATCCGATTATGAGTACATTCATGTTCGCAAAATTTTCGGGAACTCTATAGTCGTGGCTATGTAAACTAATACCGGAAAATTCGTTCATTCCAATGATTTTTGGCATCGATGGCACAGCATTATGTCCATTGCAAACCATGACGGCATCGTAATTTTCAGTGTTTGACTTTTTTGTAATCAAGTCCTCTGCAGTTACTTGCCAACTATTTGTGTCAACTAGTTTTTCAACCGAAATCACTAAATTACAAAACTAAAACAAATAAAAATACTTTATGGGACTAGTTAAGTTTACCAAAATAACTAATACTAATTTATTATTATTAATTATAATTATTACACAATTTAATAAAATAACAATATGTATTATTATACAGTATGAAATGATAAGTGAAGTAGACGAAGTGACATGGTTATGGCTCCTAGTAAAAAACTGCTAATAGGGTGGTTACTCAAATTTGTAATTTGAACGATTTAACGAACCAAGTTCTTTCCTCTAAGGTGTAAAGTTTTATCTGACAAGTCTGCATTGTGATATAATTTATAACGAGAAATCTACCACCAATAAGCCTCAGAATTTTACTCAGTTCTTAACAAAGTCTAGGGATATAGTGGAGGCTTTGATGACTATAAATGAGCTGAAAACCCTAGGGAATAAAAAAGAAAATCAGTTAAATAGACAATATGCCAACATGGGGAAGAAGTAAAACTTCTTCTCCTTATCCCAACTTTTTGGGGTCGGCCACCCTTGTCACAAACTTCCACTTGACACGATCTCCCACATCATCCCTGCATACACTAGAAGTCCTCGTATAATTCTCAATCGCATCTAACCACCTCTTTTTCGGTCTTTATTTTCCCCTCTTTCCTCCTACGTTTATTTTCCATACCATTCTTAATGCTTGCGATTCCTCTTTCCTCATTACATTCCCAAGCTATCTCAGTCTATTTTCTCTTATTTTGTCCACTATCGAAGCCACGCCTGTGCTACCTCTTATGTATTCATTCCTTATCCTATATTCTCCCGTTACTCCATTCGTTCACCTAAGCATTCTCATTTCCGCTACACTCATCCTCGGTTAAAATTGGATGTTTAACGTCCTCTAATTGCAGATTACAAGTTCCACAACTCGTTAGTGACCTACTTTAATAATACTAAAAAAAAAAAAATGATTCATAAATTATAAATAAAAAATAACCATGCCTTACCCGAATATGTTTCCTCAGTTTAAAGTGGTCAACAAACCGTTCGATATAATTTTGCACCTCGTGTGCTTTTATAAGCGAGTATGAATCAGAATTATCTTCGTAAGGAAAATCGGGGAAATACATCAGTTCTTTTGGTAGATTAGTCCTAAAAACAAAAATATTTCCTTCGAAGTTATTACATAAAACCATTTTCCAAATGCCTACATCAAGTTCTGGTACATGCTCGTATGTATTGGCAGGCCAAATTCGTCAGTTCCCACTTTTTCGACGTAAACCCATGTCCCACCAACGCAATTAGTCCTTTCATAAACCGTACAGTGGTAACCATTTTCTAAACACCTTCTAGCACAAGCAACGCCAGCCACTCCTGCGCCAATCACTGCTACTTTCATTTTAGTCTGAAATCAGAATAATTGCTAATGCTAAAATCATATACTACTAAACACTAATTAAAAACTGGATTTTGCTACAACAAAACTACATACAATTATATACCGGCAATTTCATAATTTATAATTAAAAAAGTTATTACCTTGCACTCACAAACGGAATGCGAAAAGAATAAATTTATCCTGTTTGACAGGTTAAAAACAGATAATAAAAACGGTTCCAAATAACTTTAGGGTTTCTAGACTCTGTTTGATAAGCAGATTTCTTATTTTTCAGGTCTGAAATTCCAATCAATTTTTGGATAAATCGGTTGGCGGTTTAATTCCTTGGTTAGAATTTGTATTGTACAATAACATACAACTCATTACTCATGCATTAAAAGTTAAAACAAGTCAGTGAAAATTGATTTTATTTCATCTTTTGACAATATTGCTAATTAAGGGTAGCAAATCATATGCCTTACATTCCCAACTACACGGAGTCGGCTACCCTAGTCCTACACTTCCATCTTAATCTCCTACATCTCGTTTAATCACCCCAGCTGTACTCATATCACTCTCTATTCAGCCTACCCATCTTTTCTTCGGTTTCCATAACAACTCTCACTACCCTTGCCTCATCTTTTCTCATAACATGAACAAAACCATCTCAACCTATTCTCTCTCATTTTTCCCACAATTGATGCAACCTCTAGCTCGGCCTTATGTATTCCATGTAAATAATTCAAATCTTTAATTTCATATAATTATATTTGTGTTATAAAATAAATGTATTTTTTAAACCTTATATTATATATTATATAAGTTAGGTAGGCGTTAGTACATTTGAATTTAGAAATCTTGATAAAAATTTTAAATAAAATAGAAAATATACGAAAAGAAAAATTAATAATAAATGACATTTTTAGAGATTGGTCGACTCAATAACTTGCAGGTCATTATTTTATAATAATTCGGCGATATCAATAAGAAACAAAACCAACATTTGATACTCTGAATTACTCTACCAATTATACATATTATAAAAAATAATATTAATTATTAACAATAGTATTATATTACTTATGGACTTTGGTATTATAATAATACCACATAGTAAATAAAGGCGTTTAGTTGATGGTGCTATATGAAATACTATAATAATGTGTGTCGGGTGTTCTAAGTGGATACACTGTCAATGGACAATGACGTATCTTACATTATTATGATAAATAAATTAATGGTAAAAAAATAACTAATAAAATTTAAAGATAACAGTGATTATAAGTTTGACCGAGATATTGACCATAAGGTATACATTAAATATTTGATGCATTAAAAGTGGGTATTATGTACATTAAATATTTTAAATAAATAGCATGTTATAATTGTATTTTCGACTTCATTTATAAAATGATGTACTTACCAATGTCCCACTAAGATTTAACGCGATTTTATTCAAAAGATATTGTAGTTATTTAAAAAAATATAGTTACTCACTTAATGTATACCATCCAAGTGAACTATGAACCATATTATGTTAAACATTGGTTGTTACTCGTCACTCGAATAGACACAGATAATAATACTAATAATAATGATAAAAAAAAATAATAGAATTGATAACGTGTCTAATGCATCATTTAATTAATAATTTTGACCCGTTTATATCATACTCAACGATTCTTCCTAGACCACGAGTAGGTACTTAAGTCTTTATGAAATTATTTATTACTAACTAGTAAGTACTTATTGATAAACAATCAATGTACACATTAATTGTTGTAATAATTGATGTTCATTGTTATTTGTTCTTAAACCTTACTGGTACATTACGTACATGACACATTGCAATAAAATAGATTTTTTAAATGTGAATATTAATTCGAGATAAAGCGACTTAACGGCTAATTACTTATAATTTATATATTAATATACTATAGTGGATAGCCCATACCAAAAGGAACAACTCGAAAACTAATTTATGATGTAGGTACCAGTAACGTAATATTTAAGTAATTCCCGACTTTCTCATTTTTACTTACTACACATTATTATTACCAGAATTATTATTTATTACATCGAATTACAGTAGTCGGTAGGTAGTCTCACTTAATATTATAGTAAGGCCACCAAAGATTTTTTTTATAAAAGTACTTACAATTAGTACAGATAGTCATCATTACGTTAACGTCTTATAGCCTATAACAATATAATATACCCAGCCATATTTCAATAAAAAATAAATTGAAATCAACATCAATTCAATCCTAAAACCAATCCATATAGTACCTGTTATGAATATACCTAGCTAGTATAATAAAAAAAATTAAAGATAAGATACTTTTATATGTATTATAAAAGTTCAAAAAATATTATAAACCAGAAAAATAAATTTAAAAAAAGCAAAATTTTCTTAGCAGAGCGTGGTTTCGATCCACGGACCTCTGGGTTATGGGCCCAGCACGCTTCCACTGCGCCACTCTGCTACATGGCTGTGGTGATTGAAATTGGTACATTTAAGCTCAGTTTCCTTTTAACATGTAACAAACAAAGTAAACTTAGTACAAAATGATCTTTGGGAGTAAGGAAAGGAACTAAAACGTTAATTTACGATTTTATAATTTAGAGAGTACCTTTTTTTTTTGTTTACCTACAACATTATTTTTTAAAATCGCACTATGAAAAATATTATCTTCGAGCAGTTCGAGGACATCCGTTCAATAATTTCCATCCATAATTTTAAATTTATACAGTACCTAACACTATTCTTCTGAATTCGTCTTTTTTCCCGGAGAAATCACAGTCTCTATTCTAAATAAATAAATAAAAAGCTAGTATAGTGGGAAGTGGGAATGGAAAGGTCATAGGTCTTCAATTATTATAACTGAATAAGTGATCAAATCATTTTCAAATAAACGCTTCGATGCGAATCTTTAGATAGGTAGTAAGTTCAAACCAGTACAGTCCAAACCAAGCACAGTAAGAAAGTATTAAAGTGAGGTTGCATCGAAGCGTTTAATTGAAAGTGTTTTCAATCACTTTCGTCGAATGACAAATTTTCACACCGGTCCGTACTTATGTCGTGTTCTAAAAAATGTTAAAAATAAATTTACTAACGAGGACACTTTGAAACTATACTTTTTAATAGCAAATTTTAAAGGCTTCCCGATAGTATAACTTTAATCCGCAGACCGCAGACTCGTTCCGAAACATAGGTCGTTTAGCCAAAAAACAAGGCCGGGTCAAATGGCGTTTTTCCCCCGACATAAGCACGGGGAGGATATTGTTTACTACACTATAAAGTCTATATTATACTTCAGGGACGGATCTAGTGATGAAAAATAGGAGGGGGGTTCTCAGATTTAATTAAAAAAATACAAAACAATTTTTTTTAAATACTTTTATTACCTTGACGATATTTATTACCATTCCATCTATAGATCACTGAAGTGTTTATTTAACAGTTTCTACCAATTTCTGTTATTTTAATTTCTGATAACCTGTGACCTTTCCAATCCCAATACATTGTTCCGTCCCCCCAATTATTTGTTTGAAATGTTTAATAACATGCTGGATACTGAAATGGTCTCATTTTAACAAATTTTAATATATAGCAGAGTGGCGCAGTGGAAGCGTGCTGGGCCCATAACCCAGAGGTCCGTGGATCGAAACCACGCTCTGCTAAGGAAGATTATTTTGTATTTTTTATGTTTTTCTTAAAATGCGAAACGAACAGGTCAATATAAACAAAAATACACATTTATCTTATTTAAAAAAATAAATTAAGAATCAAGATACGTTTATAAAATTCAAGGTGATTCATTGAGGACTAGCCAAATCATTATTTCTTAAAAAATAGTTAAGATTTCAAACATTTTTTGTGTAATTCTTTTCACAACATATACATTTTTTATAACTTAAACAGCTTTTGGAATTTAAATGGCAACCTACATATTTATAAAAATTATATGTGAAGTTGAAGGTTGTAGAGAAAAATTAAAATCCAGGTGGCTCATATTATACTCGTATATTGTTTTCAACCATAGCTGACGTTCGGTAAAATTGTCGAGGAGCGTTGAAAAAAAAGCCCGAGTATTAAATTTAACAACCCGAAAACTGGTTACACACAATTATTATAATATGTGTCTTCAGTATTGCATATTATTTCGAATTATTGTATCTGTTGCCAGTTGGTTATTTATAAACATTTTATATTATAAATTACCGAATACGAGTATAATCTGGAATATGATATGTTATAAATTATAATATTGGGTAATATAATTATAAAAATACGATCAATAATGTTATTGAAGCTATATACGGTGATTTAATGACTTTCAAACGCTTCGATGCGATTCTGTATATACTATGTAGTATACCTAACCTAATACAGTTTAACCAATAGAGTATAAATCAAGTTCTGACTATCAATATAGTATAAACTAAGTACAGTCCAACCCAATTATTACAGTTTAAACCAGTTTCAAATTGATCCGACCGATTTCTCGGTTATAGTAAATCAAAGTTGAAAACCAGGACAAATTTTTTTTCGGTGTTTCCCAGTTATCAGGATGAAGGAGTTGACACTTGACTTTTTCTAATTTCGACCGGCCTAAGTAACGATGGTGAAGTCGAAATTTCGCAGTCGAATTTACTTTAAAAATTATAAGCAAAAACTTAGTTTTTGTATTTTTTTTTTTTTTTAACGCGATAGCCGTTTTAATATTTTTATTTTTACCATTCATAGCTGTCAATAATGACAACTTTTAGGCTACACCAATTATTATCTATGAACCTACGTATTTTATAATATTTATTTTTTAAAATTTACAGAGTCCTACGACTATTTCCTTGTTTTAAGTTTTTAATTTGATTTTATAGTTATTTATGCGTTGATTCAAATCTGAAATCGGTTTGTTTCTGGCACGTCTTATTTTTTACAACTTGGGTATTGGCTCATCTTATAGGTGCAATCTGTCAAAGAACCTTAAATAATCATGCAAATATATTTAGAATTTTACTTTGTTCTTAACATTGAAAATATTTAATATAAATATGATATGTACCATACATTTTAAACTGTAAAAAAAACTAAACGTGATAGAAACAAACCGATTTCAAATTTGAATTCAGCTTATTTATTAACAGTTTAAATAGTTGTTTAGTAACCCAAGTCTGCCTTTAAAATTGCGCTTGCACGTCATGTTGCTGAGACAACAAATGTTCAAGATGGAAAAACCCATAAAAATTCGATATTAAATACATTGATCAATTAATATTGATTATTTTGACAACACGGGTAAATTTGGCCTCTGGGTTCTACAATTTTTCGATCAATGTATGCTATGATTTTAATTATTTTTAGGTTTTTTTTAATTTTGGTTTAATTTGATAAAAACATTTTTTTTAAACTTTTAACATTTGTTTTCTCATGAATTGATGTTAGGTAAAATTTGAATGCAGATTTAGGTTCTTCATCGAAAAATGTTTTCTCGTCAGTAGCAGATTCAAATATTTAGAAAATCTAAAGAATCTTTAACAAATTAATAGATTGTTTATATTATTTCTAAACAATGTGCTGATTGAATTTGTTTTGAATAAATCAATAAACAAAATAAAAAATATCTATTGCAATTTAGTAAACTTGTACAATTACAACTACCCGAAAGATATTTTACAAAAGAATAATATTATAATCAATATTTGAAATAATATCTCAAGTATAAAATATAGTTTTGACATAAATTTAGTAAAATAATACTGATTTTTTTTTATTAAAAACACATACATTATATCAACCACTCAATCCACATCAAAATAATTAAATTTTGTTCATAGTATAATATGTTATACAAAATGAGCAATAAAAATCAAGAGAAAAATTCAATTTTTTTACATATTTTTTTTATAATGAACAATCATATCCTTACTGTTGACGTTACAAAGAAATACAAAAACTTCTTCTTCTATTAAAGTTTCAATCATCATCATCTCATTAATTATAAAATGCACATTTAGTCTACAGAGTTATTATTCTGGTAGCTCTAAAATAAATAAATATTATACATATTTAAATTTTAATTTGCGGACTACACCCTAATTTTTTAAAAAAATCACTATCTTATACTAAAATTAAACATTTAGACACAAATAGGAAATAAATATTAGACCACAGAAATATTAAAAACAAAATATGTATGTATATATATATAGTAATAATATGTATTAATATTGTTGTTTTGGTAAATTCAAAATTGAAAGGTTTAGGAATATAAATTATTGTTCATTGAATTTAATACAATTTTCTTTTGTTAAATATAGATAAAAAAACATTAAAATAAGCCAACACAACATAAAATATAAAAAAGAAAATTGATTGACAGTCATTAAGTTAATGGCGGGCAATTTTTACTTTTAGTTAAAATAACCAAAAAGAAAGCCAATAAATAATTCAAAATTAATATAGGAATGAAAATGCAAAATTTTAAATTAAAACAAAGGAAAAATCCCTTTTTGAAAAAAAAATAGATACAATAGTTCAAAGCCACTCAGTAATAAATATTACAATAATAAAATTTTTAAAATTAAGACATATTTTTTTTTCTTATATCTAACATTATTTGATTGAGTACACACTTTAAAATAGAGAAAAAGGAAACTTTACAGACAATTTAAAACAGCAAACTAGACAAAATATGAGGTAATAAAAACAATTATAGTAGAAAATGTTACAAATGTATTTGGTAAAAATAAAATAACTAAAAGAAATTCTTATTAATTTAGCACATTCTTTAAAATGTATAATCTTATATTTATTACACTAAAAATACTACTTTTATCACAAGTGTGAGAACTGAAGAAATATAAAGACATTTTATATGTTTACGTTTTATATCATAGTGACTAAGTGACTTCGAATTTTAGATAGTTACCACAAATGTATAAAACATACATTAGGATAAAAAATATTGAAAAATGAATATATAGGTATTACCTAAATTAATAGGTAGACAGTTTAGGCGATTATCGTTTAGTAAATAGAAATTAATTGTTCGATAAATTAATTTAACATGCTACACAAATTCTTCTTTAAAAAAATAATTAATATTTCTAAGATTATATTTGCAATCAATATTCATAAAAATAATGTTCAATCATATGCAGTGTTTTTCTTTATGATAATACTATTCCATTTATAGAATTTTTTTTAGACCTCAATTTTAAAATTAAATATTATAAGAGATGATTTAATTAGAGTTAAGAAGTGGTTAGTATTATTACTATAATCACATTAATTTCTGTACCCTTAAAATTTAAATTGCTTCAATTTATTAAATCAATTACCCAATGAATGACTTTTAAAAAATAATTTAGTGTTATGATTAATATTTTTTTTTCATCGAATAAACAATAAATAAATTAAATAAATACAAAACTAAATTTTTTTTAAATGTAATTATAACATTATTTAAAGTCTAAAGAAAATTTGAGTAGCATGTAAGAACCATCATATTTTGTTATACAACTAAATTAAAATTAAATTGAAAAAGAAGAAAAAGTTGGAAAATATATTAAAACTTCTAAAATAAATATTTTTTTTTTCGATTTTTATTAATTATAATTTATAAATGTATTGAACTATTGCATATTATGTGCTTGTAATATTATGTTATCCACATCACATACTTAAAGTATGCTGCCTATTATAATAGAACAATGTATAATTTAAAATAATTTCTGGAAAAAAAAACCAAAAAATATATTTAAAAAATACATTCAAATTAATATTGTAAATACTAAACATAATGTAATACATTGTAATAGTAAATACAATAGCGTAAAAGTCTAAATAAAATAAAACTTGTAATATTTTTTTATACTGTACTTCTTTTCTTCTTTTAATATATAGTTTTTAAGTTAATTATTCTTGATTAATAAGTGTTTTTGATTTACTTAAAAACAAATCTACATCTATGCCTGTGTTGTTGATGTATTAGTGTGAGACAAAATAGGAGTTGAACAATAAGGACAATCTTTAATAGAATCCACACACTGATTACACAAAACAAAGTGATTACAAGGGCCTAATGTCACGCTTCTATTGCGTTCTTCACATAACATACATTTTGTAGCAGTTTGAAGATATAACACCTATATTAAAAAGTTAAAGTTTGTGAATAATTAGGTAACATATAAATAATTCTAATATATTAAATACATTTTCTTCAATAGTGTAATAGTATTTAAATTGTAAGAATTGAAAGTTCAGTGTTAAGTAAGTGTTTTTTTAAAATATCAATAATTAATTTATAAATACTAACATATTAATAAACACATACTTAATAACAAGTTTCACATGTAAACTTAGATACCAAAATTTGATTTTATATAATGAACATTGAACAGTATCTACTACTTTTTGTTTCCAGTATTTAAATAAATAAAACAATATTTACCTTATCAATTTCTTCAAGATCATTTCTCATTTGACTCTGTAATGATTTTAATACAGATAATGACAAATTCCTAATTTCAGAAACCCTACGTAATCCATGAAGATATGGAGAACCTTGCAATAAATCTACTTCTTGTTGTAATGCTTTTGCTTGATTAATAGCCTAAACAAACATATATATAATATATAGTGAAATAATATACAATAATTCAAAATTACTAAATTACTTCATCTCTTTGTTGTTCAGCAATTTTTAATTTTGTTTTTAATTCATCAGTCTCTCGTTGCCATGCTTCATACGTACATCTTACTTGCGATAATCTTTCTGATTCCCAACTAACTAACTTTGATCTACAATTTAATAATTCTTCTTGCAACCTTTGAACCTTAAAATAAAAAAAAAGTTAAAATATATAAATGTATACTTTTTTAAAATTTTATATTTATATTAATTATATTTACTTCATTAGAATTTGAAGGACTAATTGGAAATGTATTTGCAGTTCCAGGTGATCCAATACCGAACAAACTAGAACCATAATTGTGACCAGTAACTATATTTAAATGCCCTAAACCATCCTGTTGATTAAACCTAGATTTTTGAATCATATTATTTTGCATTTGTTTCAACGGTGAAGCTATTGTTGGAGAAAAATGACCAATGCTATTGTGACGTGTGAGCGGAATGTTAACAGGAGCAGAACTTCCCAACACATCTTAAATATAAAATATTTATGATAAAATAACAAATATCTTATATAAATATAATTTTTTTTTAAAATTATTTTATTAATTTACCAGAGGCCTGTAAGCTTGAAGATAGAGGATTACTTAAAATAGGAGATTCGTGTTCTTGATCCATAGAAAAATTTAAATTATCTTCCATTACCAAGTCATCTAAATTTCCTATAAAATGTTAAGTTAGTAAAACATATTTTAGTACGACATGTTCAAAACTACCATTTATTGTTGTTGTTGGTTGGTAAGATGAAAAATGATTCATAAATGTTGAAGAATTACCATTGCCATTTGATACAACTGGGCCAAAAATGGAACTATGTCTTCTCTGTGGTTCTACATTAGGTAATAGCGATTGAGAATCAAATGAATTTAGTAACTGAAAATTATTTTGTTTATTATATTGCATTTTTTGTTGAAACAAACATTAAAATAATTATATATTACAGCTTGAATTGTATCATCATGTGCTATTTGGTATTGTTGAACATTAAATTCAGATCTAGACAAATGGGCACCAGGAGCTTTATTGGGTGACCCAATACTAGATGTGCATTCAGAAAGGTCACCACTTCCATTCTGTAAACCATTACACACCATTTAATCATAAACACAATTTTTAATTGTGTGAAAAGTACTTACCGATAAACTATTTTTTTCCCCATCTAATTTTTTAACCGGAGATCTCGTACATTCTGTTCCTAAAGATGGTACAGCATTTGATAACATATCTGCTATATCTGTAGATGATTCTAATCCTGCAGCTGATTCACGAGCAATAATCATTTCCTCTGAAAAAATTATATTGTTTTATTATTTATTATCTATTTGTTGGTATAAATTGTAAAAATAATGCCTACGGTCAACATGAGCAAAAGCACAAAAAACACCCCGAGGACAATAACCAGCTTGTTGTACATCATTGCATTTAGTTGATTTATAAATTTCTGGATGAAATTGTTGTTCAGTTCTAGTATGGCAATATGCACAGTTATCACCACTTTCACAATTACTAGGTTCACCCCATTCATCACCATGTTTAACGTTAGGACAAGGAGTTGATCTAAAATTTAGTAAATTTAATGATTTCGAAACATAAATATAAAAATAGTTATAAATTACCTATATTTATGTTTTCTTGGATTTCTTCTTTTATCTCTACTATTGTGATATTGAGGACATGCATATCCTTGACGACAGAGACGAGGTGGCCGTTGACACTGGTCCGTTTTATAATTTGATAAAACATAATTTGTATCTAAACACAGCAAAAAATATAGCTTAAATATAACAATAATTAATATTGTGGATAATATGAATAATATTTATATTGGTTCCAAATTATGAAAACCTAATATAGGTATAAACAATACCTTGCCATTTAGGATCTTCATTCATTAAATTTTTTTCTTTATCTAATACATTTGGTCCATCTAACTCACCACCTTCATCATCATCATTTTCTGATAGCTGTTCAATGTTAAGTTGGAAAATTAAATCATAATTTGTTTTTACATATCAATATTGTTTTAATTTACTAATCAAATAATTACAATACCTTTTGCTCATTAATATCATATACCGGTGGTCTTAGATCATGATTTCCGTGGGCAAATGCACAATGAGGCCCATTCTTTGTGCAAAATCCTCTGCTATCTGTATCATGAACACACATGCATGTTTTATAATACCGCAAATGGTAACGTCTTTCTGTATCACCAGCCGTACGATGTAAATATTGGCACCTTAAAAAAAAAAAGGGATTCACTATCAGTTAAATATAATAATTATTAGTAATAATATAAGTACTAATATTAATAAGAAAATTCATCTAAAATATGAATAATCCATAGTTTACTTTCATTATAATTATTAGTCTTAATGATACTTACTAGATATTATTTGAATTTCATAAACATATTACATTGAAATAAATCAACACAAAAGTTATCAACTATGAAAATGGTGTCAAATTAAGTCTTATCACATTTTCAATAGTTGGCATGGAATATAAATCAAGTTAGTAGTTGGCAGAAGATTATTCAAATGATGTATAATAACATATAGTTATAGTTGACATCCCCTTAACTTACTCGTCTCCTTTGGTACACACGCCAGTAGTTTCATCATATTGCGTACAATAATCATCAGCACTATAATTGAAAGTGCCATCTCTTTTTCTCACTGGTCTACGACGCCGTTGATTCATAAAATGCCAATTAAAACATGTATAAGGTCTATGTTGTGTACATTTGTGTTGCAAAAACAGAGGACATTGTTCCACTCTGAACTCTTTTAGATAACTACAAAACAATACATTTCTTAGTCATATTTCCACACTACTAATATACTCATGGGAATGTTAACAAATGAATTTTGTTGTACAGATTTCTTATACTATTTGTATAAATTAAATCTTACGAGTAATGATTAGGCTTCTCCATTTGGGCAGGTATTTTTGATTCTGACGGCATTTCGAGAGCTTCCAAAAAACCTTAGGAGCGGATAAACTTGATTTAACAAACCCTTTAGTTTTCAAAAAGGAATTACGACGGTGCAACGATTATTATTTTGAACGCCATGCGCGTTAATCAACTTTACAACTTCGCAACACAGAAAATAATAATTATAAGCATAACAATTTTTGACGACTTATGTTATTGTTTTATACTTTCCAAAATATTGATCACATGACTAAACCACGGTAGCATATGTAAATACAGTGCAGCCAATGAGAATGTACACTGGAGATAAGGACGTTGATAAGGCCCCTGATGACATTGGTCACTGATAATGAATCAGCTTTCAACAATTTAAACCTTTCGCTTTTCCTTTCTAAAATACACACCAACCAAATGTATTATAAAATGTTCCACTTGCCATTTAGCCATTACGTAATGTCGTCTATGTTTGACTAAGGCCATACCTCACCACAGAGTAGTGGTAAGTGTTTTTGAATCACATTATGCTAATATTTACTGGCATATCTACATTATTGTTTTAATATTTACAGTAAACCTATACAAATTCGACCAGTATGGTTTGACACATCAGTTTTGTTTTCAATGTTAAGGTGATAAATCTATTGCAGTGTCATTAATTTATCAACCTTTTTTCCATTACATTCTTAATATCTATTAATTAATTTCAATACATAAACATGGCCAAGGAAGTACGCAAAATTCGTGTGGGCTCGCGTAAGAGTGAGCTTGCTTTGATCCAGACAAACTTTGTTATTAGCCAGTTAGTAAAGTTATACCCAGAGACAGAATTCGAGATAGTTTCTATGACAACTATGGGTGATCGGGTTTTAGACAAACCATTGCCAAAGATTGGAGAAAAGAGTTTATTTACTAAAGACCTTGAAGTAGCATTGCTAAATGGAAATGTGGATTTAATTGTACATTCGTTGAAGGATCTACCGACAGTTATGGAGATTGGAACTACTATTGGAGCTGTATTAAAGAGAGATGATCCTAGAGATGCACTGGTATTACGAGAGGAGTACAAAAACTATAACTTGGCTTCATTACCTCATGAAAGTTTAATCGGTAAGTAATGTGTACATGTTATCTTAATTGTTTTGAATAGTTTTACGTAATACCTAGTCAATATTAAAATAATTTACTAGATAATATATCATATATTAAATTTAAAAAAAAATTGTTATTAGTAATAACAAAACAATTATTTTATAGATAAAGAATAGTCCTTCATTAAATTATGGATAGCTCAATTATTTTGTTTCTTTTAATTACAGTTGACGACTCAATTAAACTAGGATAATGTATATAGTAGTTAAACTGTAAACACTAGATGGTATAAAATATAGGTAGTTAAATGATGATTCAACTTATAATCATGAAGTGAAATGAATAAAATAAATAATTTATGTTTTCTTTCATTTAATTTTCTAAAATTCCTATTATATTAAACAGGTTTTTATGATTTATTATTGATATATGATATGATTATCTGCATAATATTTTCCCTCCTTTTTGTTAATAAAATATAAAAATGCTTTCTAACAAATGAGTGTCACGGATTTGAATGAAATTTTAAGAAATTAATTTTTTGACAAAATAAAATGACACATTTGTGATAATTTTACCTAACGCTCTTATTTCTGGAAAAATAATTAAATATTGCATATGGCTTAATAAGACGTTAATACTATTTTTTGCATACTTAGGTATAAATTATGATTTAAAATGTTATCCGCTCAGCAACTGAAAAGTGCTAGTTTTTGTAAGAAGCGCCAGTTTATTAAAAATAATAAATACTTCTACTATAGTCCCTAATATATTACATTAATATTCATTTATTTTTTTAGGTACTAGCTCTCTACGACGTACAGCTCAATTGAAAAGAAAATTTCCTAATTTGCAAGTTTCTGATGTACGAGGGAATTTAAATACAAGATTAAAAAAATTAGATACTATTCCAGACGAAACTGGCAACAAAAATCCAGGCTATGATGGCATTATTTTAGCCTTGGCTGGTCTTCAAAGAATGGGATGGGAAAAGCGTGTATCCCAAATAATAGATCCTGATATTATGTTATATGCAGTTGGGCAAGGAGCATTGGCAGTTGAATGCCGAATGGGAGATGATTTTATTTTAGAAATGTTAGAACCGTTACATGATTATAATACCGTTTTACAGGTAATTCTGTCAAGTAAAAAACTTTTAAAGCTGTAGTATTTGTACTGTTGTATATAATTTTTTTTTTGGGGTTATAGATTGTGGCAGAGAGATCTTTTCTTACACGACTGGGCGGTGGCTGTAGTGCTCCTGTTGGTACAAGATCAACAATATGTTTTGATAAAAACACAATATCAATAGAAGGTGCTGTTTGGAGTTTAGATGGTTCTGAAACTTTACAAAATTCAAAATGTGAAATGCTGCCTGATAAAAAATTAATTCAAAACCATATTGACCAATATAGAAGTGATGATGGAGAGCCACCTAAAAAATGCCCTTATAAACAGCTAAGACAATTCGTTGGAATTACTCCGGGTAAAATAAGTTATCTCGATTTGGATGTAGCTTTGAAATTAGGAAAAGAGTTGGCAGATGATTTAATTATGAAAGGAGCTCTAAATATTATGAATACAGCAAAAGATACTATTCATTCGGCCATAAAATCATAGTATTATTATTGTTTTTGTTTTTATTCTGGTGTATCTTTATGGTTATCTTACTTTATGGTTATGGTGAATTATGTCAAAATCTTGTTATTTATTTTTTTTTTCATATATCTTACTTTTTGAGTTCTGTTTTAATATTTTTCTTTATTTTTAGTTAAATAATAAATATTTATAATTAGTTATCTACCTGAATATGTTGACATTTTTACTTATAAAAAAAAAATAAACAGTTAATGGATCAATTTAAGTAAATATTTTTTATTAAAAACAATACTACCGCCAGAAAATAAAATGTTTTCTTAGAAAAATGCACATTTTATATAAACATTATTTGTTATTTTTAAAACAAAAATATGGTCAAAATATAATTAACCCCAATGTTTAAAAAAACTAAATATATTTGGGTATTTCCTATTATTAAGGACCCTTAGAAAATAGTTTTATTTATCTATGCATCAATATTTAAAATAAGTAATATGTAGTATAGCTATTAAACATTGAAATGTCATACAACTTAGTAATTTTAGATAATATAACCCCAAAAGGAGTGTTAATTCGTTTTTATAGGGACCAAGATTTAAAAATTATATGACTAATATTCATGATCAAACACTATTAAAAATTGTCAAGCCTATAATTATATTTTAGAAAATTATAATAAAAACAATTATAATGGCAGTTTTTATCTGTATAATGGTTTTATCTGCTAGTTAATGACTTTTTTGCTAATAACAAATATTAGTACAATTGTTTTTTTTTTTAAATTAATGTTATAGCAGTAGTCATAATCATTTACGAGTTATACTCAATCTAAAGTTCTAACCATAATTAACATAGTTACAGTGTTGATTTATTTTATTAAGGGTACGTCATACCCTTTAAAAATAATCATCATAATGTGTTTGTGGAAAAGTGTGTAGACCAAAGTGAATGGTCATAGAAAAAACATTTAAATAATTTTAACTAGGTTCCCTTGTCATATTTTTAGATAAATTAAAATTAATTAAACAAGCACATAAAAATGAAAATGAAAACATTAACTGAATGTTGGGCTATTAATATAAAAAAATCCGACGAGAAAACCTAAAGTTCTCATTATTTTAAATATGTATAAAAAATAGAGTATTTTATTTTATTACTTAGTCAATAATAGAGAATATGCGTACCTACATGTTTGGATGACATTTTTTTTTAAATAGCTGTCAAAAATTGTCCTAAAAATAGTTTTATACACAACTGCACGTCCATTGTCTTTACTAAATAGCAATATTGCAGTGTCGAAGCATTGTAAGGGACAATGAGACAATGTCTACCCATTTCAATTTGATTTATTAAATAACAGATTCTTTTAATTAAAATTTTAAGTGCAGTATAAACGTCTCTCCAACTTGATACTATAACTCTGTAAAATGTTTTTTTTAATTTATTTATAAGTTTATATATAAGATATGATCTTAAATCGTGATTATTATTTAATATATTTTGTTTAATATACTTTTAATCAAAATGAGGATTACTGTTATAATTTCTCAGCGTATCATGGAGTCATACGTCTAAAAATTTGTCTACTTATGCAAATGTCTAAAAAAAATGTTTTATTATTATCCATAAAAAGGTCATAGTAAAATGCATTTTACTATCTAGATTCTAGTTTTAAAATCTACGATAAATTTATCAATTATTTCTAAAACTATATATTCCACTAAAATGTTTTAAAATTTAAATATATTAATGGATCGTTAATCAATATAATTTTAAAAAGCCATACCTTTAGATATATTGGTAATTTTTCCCGAGTTTTTATTATTGACTAAAGAAAACTAATTATTTTAGGATTCTATCTATAAAAAAAATTATGCATATTACACGCTAAAAAAAAACACTACTTCTATTATCAAGTTACCATTAGGATCATGGGTTTCTCTCACACCGACTAGTGTACTCGACGCGTTAATAAAAAAACTTATCTCAAATTCTCATGTTATGAGAAACACAGTCATCTCACACAGCGTGATTCTCAAGGTACCACATAAGTCACCGGTGCCTATTTTTTAATTTCGGTTTAAAGTTGTCCTTGGTACGTTAATAAAGTTCATGTTGATGAAAAAAAAAGTAAATCAGTAATTTGATGGGTAAACACAAGCTACCATACAGAAGACCAGTAGATAGACTATAGATTTACATATACACATTAGAATGGATTATATACAATATAATAAAGTCAATACTCATTATTATGAAGTAGCTCATGATCCATAATAATTATCATAAGAGATAAAGCTGAGATATATAAACTTATAATATGTATAGTATAATATTAATATACTAGCTAGCAGACAACCAATTACAAGGTGTTAATCAATGCCTGCGGCGGCTATTTGCCAAGACGGCTAATATGTTTACTATTGAGTGTATGTTACTTTTCAAATACACCATTATTTCATACCAATAAATTATTTTAATATACTTGGAATAAGTTAAAAGACAAGTGATAAAACCTTTGTAGTCAAAAATAATTTTTATTTATTTAAAACCGCTAATACAAAATTACTGATTTGCATCAGTTGGTATCGTTTTAATGATATCTGAATCTCCTGGGTCCGTGATCGATAAGGTGGCAACCCTGAAGTATTTTCCACAAGCAGTGCCCAATTCAATATTGTTACCGGAATATTGGAAAACATCAGTCTTGGACAACATTGCATAGTATTCAATTTCTGACACCCTGATAATGATCATAAAACTTGTTAGTATTTAACAATATGAGTATTAAAGTAAAATAAGTGATCGAATTTTACCTAGGTAATTTACCTCATTAAGGTTTAATCACCTAAATAATGTCAGTCAAAAGAATGAAGGAAGGAATTAACAGAGAAATAAATTCCAAATGTTTTTCAATATCATTTTAGAGACTACTCCATAGGTAAACCCCTCAAATTGGAAAATATGCAATAGAAATGAGGATGGGGTTTCCTACTTCTCAGTCTCACCTTAGAGGAGATGTGTTATTAGCTATTATAACTAATTTTGATTTTCCTTGTCTAAGGGTCTTCAGGGATTGTTTCAGTCCAAGGACACATTTTCCTGACTTCATGACAAGAGCCAATTTGGTGTTGATGCTTTCCAATGCCTTTTTCTGTAACATAAATTGTATCATTGATAAAAATAAATATAGGGTACCTACGACGTACATAACAAAAACGAATTGTTTATATTGTAAAATAAATTAGCATAACATTTAACTGTAGTCTTAGTAAAACTTAGTAGTTATAACAGAGAAGCTTAAAACAAATTTGAAATGATGCTATTAAATGGGTAAAATGATAAGGGTTGAAGAAAATCAAAAGATTAATTTACAAACCAATATATTAGTTCCTGACCTAATTGGATAAGAGCTGGTTATTTTTTAATAATAAAAAAACCGTTTTTTACATTAGACAATGGTTTTTGTAATTATGTTCAACACAAATCTCTTTTTTTTGGATTGATGATAACTTTTAACTAAGTATTGGACCAATTTGTATTAGTACTTGGTTTAATAATTGAAAAACTACTTTAAATGTCAAGACTTGAGTTTATCCTTCACACATTCCCTACTTCAACATTTTCCAGACTTAAGGTCCAATATCTACAAATACAAGTCACTTTTTTCTAAAGACGTAATATATTACTCAGTCATACTTGGAAATTCTTCAACGTTTGTGTCCACCAAGACCAAACTTAAAAAAACATATCAATAAAACGATTAACAGAAAGTAGGTAGTTATTACTTGAGAAGAATGACTAGTTAATAGAAGAATAGTTTGACAATAATTCAAGAATCAATCGACATTAATTTATATAATAAATAGCCTAAAAATAACACGTGTTCATTCGTAAAGATGAAACAAAGCTGTGAAAAATGTCGAAAACTCAAATCACTTAGTCTTACCTGTTTCTTTCCAGCAGCCATTTTTTAGTTTAGCGGGTTGTTTTAAAATAAAAGGAAAAAAATACGTATTTAAAAGTTCAATAACTTTTAAAATATTAATATCCACTCGGAAACACAAAGTGTGCGAGCGGACCTGCAAGCCGTAAACGTAATGAAAGAGTCATATACTATAGACACTAGTATGAAGTTAGTAGTTACGTGGTAACCAATGTGACCACACTCCACACTCCAATCTCCACGGGACATATCCCGCAGGCCGCAAACTCAATTTGTATACGGTTATTTTGTTGGAGGTTATAGCTTGTGCTTATAATTTGCTACCAGGAATATACCAAATGCGGTAACCAAACATAGGTAATGCATTATCAGTGTGACCTCAACATGTAATTTAATACGGCATCAGTCAATATGTCAATGTGAAGACTAAATAAATTCTCCAATTTAATTAATAGTGATCGTTATTGGTTTAAAAAATTTTGGTTTTATTTTAATTCGTCCATAACTTGGAAATTTGTTGTTTTTTTTTTCGGAAGATACAGCTTGAATATTACTCCTTGACATTCCACGGGCGCACGCGCTTTACTGGACAAGTTCACTTCTCTTCTCCCCCTATTTATCTTGCTCGTTTTATTATTTATTTACTATTTTCATTTATTATCTGCGACGTTTTTCCGGCATCGTTCCGCCATTGTTTGGTCGGATTACGGATTTTCAGTATTGTTTTTCAAGTTGTTTTGGTCGAAATCATCCGTTGTCCTCTACAATTATTGGTAGTCAAATTTCGATACGTTTGCAGTGCCACCGTTGTAATGTCAGCCGGCGTTTCTGAACAGGTGAAATATAACCATTTTTCTTACATAGGTACTGACTTTTGCAATTGGTACAATTTATAATATTTCGGTATTATTTTGTATTTATTTGTCATGTTCTATGTACTCGTTCAGCGCGTGAAAGGACAAGGAAATCAAGGTAAACCATATCAGTTTTTAATACTTTTAAGTAGTTATATACATTTCAAGTAGTATTTATTTAACTTATTTCTATGGGTATAGGTACTGGGTCAATTTTTTTATCTTGATTAGATATCTAGAACTTTTATAAGTGTTATTGAATAGAAAACTAATATATATAAGCAATAGGAGAAGCTGAAGTTAGTTAGCTCTTTATTAATCAGATATACCTACTAATTTTGAATATTGATTATATTACTTGAATTTGTTTGTGTTACAGTGAATGGACCAAAAGACCATAATAATGTAAAAGAGCGTGGAACTTATGATAATTCTTGGCATCCACAAGTTCAACAACAACCTGTAAGTAGCTAAAATATAATAATTACTTTTTTTCTTCTAAATAGGTATACAATTTTTAAATGATGAATTGTTCTTGAGTTTCAATGTTTTTTAGAATATATTTTGTTGTTTAAATGTTAACTTTTAAACATTTTTATCATACTTGATAATTTATGCTCATAAGCATTTTATTTTTACTGCAACATATCATCGCTTGGTCAGAAAACCTATGTTTAAAATTCATATTTTTCAGGAATGCCTTTTTATTGGTTTGAAATTTTGGTGTGAATTGTTGATATTCAAGTATTACATTATGAGTGTATTTAGATACTTGACTATACAAATACATATAGTTACTCAATATTTGAAATTTCAAACAAATGTGTTTGCACAGAAACTTTTAGACCTAGCAGATGCAGGTGATCATTAAAATTTTCGACATACAGTGTTGTTACGTGGCTAGAAAACGTGAGAAAAATCAAGAGAGTTTTGCGAATATTTTTTATAATAAAATTTGAGGAACAAAATTTATATACAATTGCATCAATCTCATTTTTTAAATTTTTTGGCAAGGTGCTCGACGTGGTTACTCTTTTAATGGACCTTTCCGAGCATTGATATTTGGTAATAAATATTAACTTACATATGTGTATTTTTAATAGAAGTAGTCATCTTTTAGGAGGAGGAGTGACCGAGTGTTTAAGGCAGCAGTGTGTTAGCGCTCACTGTCGCTGGTTTGACACTCGGTTACAGGCACTCCATTTTAGGTGAGCAGTCGTCTTGTGAAAAGGAGCCACCATGGCCTATTAAGCTACATGATGATGATGATAATGTCAATAATATTAAACTTAAAATCTTTTTGGTTTTTAGAAGCTTATATGTTTTTCATTTAGTTATTATGATAGAAAAATGGGTAACCTTTAATTTGACAATAATATTTCAAGAATAAAATTAGGGCATACTCTAGTCTTTTATATTCTACTTCTCCTAACTATTTAAGGTCGGCCACTCTAGTCCACAATCTCGACTCAAAATATTTACACCCAGATTTGCTCTTATTAAATTCTCTTATCTTCTTTAAACTAACCTTAACTTCCTCATACATTTATTATTTTAACATTTCCTATACTAGTAGTTATATTACAATCACCTTTACATTTTCATCTCTGCAATATTCATTTTTTATTCAAATTTGTTATCCATTGCCCAATATTGTGGCCATAAAACATACGCCCCATACAGTTTTATAACAATTTCCCTTAAGCCTAACTGGTCTTTTATTCACACAAATCTCTAGTCTCTTTTTTTTACTTCATTCACTTTCATACACTTGTATGTACTACGTTTTCATCAAAGCCCGTTCAGTTATGTATTAAAATTTTAATTGAAAGTCATGGAATTTTTTCAGAGTTATAATAACGTGATGCCACCTGAACAGTACTATCAATATCAAAACGCAGTTCCATATCAATATCCTACTGGAACTCCATATGGCATGACTGAAAGATCCTGGCCTAATGCACCCGAAGCAGTAACGTATATTGGAGGATATGTGCCAACTCCAGAAGTATATACTCAGCCAAATGTTTACAATGCTCAGTACACTAATCCTAATCCTACTCCCAATTATAATTATTTCATTGCTCAAAAACCATTTGAAGGTTATTATAGGGCTGAAGATCAAATGTATAGTGTACCAGTAACTGAACAAATAAAAAGTATTGAGCAAGGTGTTCATGGTTTAAATGTTAATGATTATGGACAGACGGATAATAGTGCATTACACCAAAAAAAAGTTACAACATGGGCGTCCGTTGCTAAACAGCCAGCTAAGCCTATGATATCATTGGCTTCCGTGACTAAAAAGAAAGCTCCTGGTATGCCTCCTCCTCCTATGATACTTGGTAAACACGATGGACATTGGGAAACTAAGACTGTAGCGAAACCACCACCACCTCCAGTTGTACAAGTGCAAATACCCGTACCGGTTATTCAAGCCCCACCGCCACCAACTGTTGTAGAAACTCAACCTCAAAGTTGGAACAACCAGATCAATACTGCTCCTCCGTTCAATCCTCCAATTGGTGAAATACCAACTCATATACCTCCACCTGACCATATCAGGCATGTGCCGCCACCACCAATAATTATGTCGTCACCTCCTCCACAACTTTCAACTACCCCAAAGCCTGCTCCCATGGAGGAAAAGCCAAAACATCAAATAATTGATGAATTAAAAAAGAAAAATCATTATAATCCTGCTGAGTATTCAAATCCGCCAGAAGGATCTAGATTTTTTGTTATTAAATCTTATTCAGAAGATGATATCCATAGATCAATAAAATATGAAATTTGGTGTTCAACTGAACATGGGAATAAACGACTAGATAATGCATTCCGTGAAGCAGAAAAAAAGAAAATATATCTCCTTTACTCTGTAAATGGTTCAGGTCATTTTTGTGGCGTAGCTGAAATGATTTCTGCTGTCGATTACAATTCTTCTAGTTCTGTATGGTGTCAAGATAAATGGAAAGGGCAATTTGGTGTTAGGTAATATTAATATATAATAATCATATTTATGAAATACTAGTTTTGTTTTTGTGTTCTAGATGGATTTACGTTAAAGATGTGCCCAACTCCCAATTAAGACATATTAGGTTAGAGAACAATGAAAACAAATCTGTGACTAATTCCAGAGACACACAGGAAGTTTTATATGACCAGGGTGTTCAAGTATTACGAATAATACATTCGTACCAACATGAAACATCAATTTTTGATGATTTCCAGCATTACGAAAATTTGCAACAGTTGGAAGATACTAAGAAAAGTGTAGCACCATTACCACCATCTTCACATTCTACAATAAACAAACATAATCAAAGTGGACCTGTTAAATATTCAAATGATAACAAACCACAACACAATTATTTCAATAGGGTTTGTGCTCTAATTTATTTTTAACCAACCTTGATTTATATTATTGCCTAAATAAAACTAATGATCCTTATTTATTAATTACTTTTAGGATTGGGATAGTAAACACAAAGATATTAGAAGTAGAGATAGGGAAAATTCGTTACACCAACAACATAGATCCGAAAGTCATAGTCAGAGTCACCGAGGACGAACTGAAAATCATAGAAATCGTAATGACAATGGTCAAAGTAAGGACGATAACAATAGAGATAAAGGCGAACATATCAGAAACCACCGTAGTGATCAAAATAAAAGTCGTGATCATCAACGAAACTGGGAAGAACACAAAACTAATAGCTATAATAGAGGAGGGCGTAGAGGTAGAGGGGGGCCGTCAGTCTTTATCAACAGTAACTTAAAACAGACTCGTGGTGATGAATAAGTAATTTTTCTCCTAGTTAAGCAGGATAGTAGAAATATTTTCATTGTTTTAACTGCGTTCCTAAAAAAAACATTTTCCCCTTATAATATAAAAAAAAAGAATAATAATAATGTTTTGTTTTATTTATTTTTATTATTATTATTTTTTAATTTTATTTATTTATTATTCAATTTTTTTTTATGTATGCAAAACTGCCTGGACATAAATTTTAGTGAACTAATCTGTTGCTAGCTGATTTATATCAATTTTGTCGAGTTTTATAACTTTACTAGTAATATAATATTATGGAACTTATGTTGTGTATAAACAACTATGCCTCAGTGTTAACTTAATTATTATTCAGAAAGGTGCTCTTAAACGTATTTTGGTATTAAGTTATATAAATACTTTTTTTTTTACTGAATAGCAGCTTAAATGTTTGAAAATTTTTTCATGGTTGTATCCTTCTGTTAATTTCTGATCATAATGATATTTTTGTAAGACTCGAGTAAATTAATAGTAAATCCCATTAATATTACATTATTAACTATTTTGTTATAATTTTTATACTTATTAAAAATATTTGATACCTTGCCTACATTTTATTTTATGAGCTCTAGAATTTATTAAACTAATATTATAAGTATATTTTGGTTGTTTGTTTGTAATTAATTATTCTAATTGGATTATAAGTCTTAAAATATGCCAATTGGACAAAAAATCTAAGTGAAAATATTTAAATCTTTAATTCTAAAGATACATGAAAACAACATTTTTACCTTGATGTTTATTGATACTTAATTTTTCTGTAAGTTATACATAATTGAATTAGGTATAACTACAAAAAGATTAAATATTGTAATAATAATAATTTATGTATGTATACAATATATACTCAATGATTATTGGTTATATTAATGTAATAGTATAACAACACACTATTTGACTAATAAGAACATGGCTGATGTGTTTTTCTGTGATGAGTATCTTCCTGGTGTTTTTATTAGTGTACTAAGTGAATACAAATTTTGACAAAAACTAAGATCCAATTTTATGTAGAATGTCCCACATAGTTTTTACTCTCATTAATTGTTTAGTATAAAAATATAACATTTATTATACTGCTCATTTTAAGAACTTTTGGGTCTTCTTGTTTACTTGTACTCGATAAAAAAAGTCTTTAGCTGGTTAAAAAATATATTCAGAAAAGTATTTAGATCTCGCATATCCTGTTAAACCTAACCCCTTCTCTTGGATAATTTTATTGATAGGCTATTAAAGTTAAAAATTGTATTATGCTTTTTAACACAAGGCTTACATAATTCTTTTCTTTGCCTTGTCCTAAAGAAATGTGGGTAAAATTTCTATACGCTATACTTTCTTTACTCCATCCGTATCCGTGTCTTATTTATAACATTTACACACATCTTCTTCGTTCTGACTGTACTTTCAAATCCTTCCATCAACACGCATCTCTTTCACACGGGTTACTATATAATTTTCCTCCCTCCATTTAACATTAATAATTGTCAAATTTTAGAAATAAATATTGTATATGTTACAAACAAACAACCATAAGAAATGGAAAACTATTTTATAACCTTTATATTCTAATATAATATAATGTTTATTACGGACAACACCAAGTATAATGCCGTGAATATTAGTAAGTACTTTTTCACTTGGCTATCATCAGGTTACAGTTAGAACGAATATATTATTGGTAATACATCCTTGTATTTTATCTATATGAAGACTGAAAAAAATCGCATGCAAAAAATTAATAATATTTTTTAAAACTATATTAGCTGTTTTAATAAAACATTTTTTTCCAGTCTTTTAAAATTAAAGTTTACGAAAAAGAGTAGCTGTCCAAATATCAGGGTGAAATCCAAGGGTAGTCAGCTAGCTGTTACTTCTTTAGCTACATGCATACGTTATTGTATACACTACAGCTAGCCGCTAGGTTACTATAGTATACGCTTTACTACATACAAAATATGGACATACCTAATAAATAAAAATATATAATTATCCATTTTTATTTATATTTGTCACCACAATAATAATATAAGTAAGAACTAAAGTTTTACTACAGGGTTTTAAAAGATAATTGTAAGTAATATAGATCGTTAATTATTATATTTTATACTAACTGTTAAAAAACGTACTACAAACAAAGAACTTTTAATTTTAAGTTACCGATATTATTTGACTTTTTTTTTTATTAACAGCTCTTGTAAGTTGTAATGAGCATGATGACTCTTCTTAACTATGTTGACATACAATACAATTTACATGTTTTTATAGTTAATTATAAAAGTATATTAATTTAATTATTATGCAAATTATCTTTCTAATAGAAATTATAGAACTCCGTGTATAAAGTATAATGATTATAAATTATTAAGAACAATGTTATTTGTTTTATAAATATTACTCGATGCGAAATTAATTACATTTTCGATGAGCTTTTCGAGTTCTTTGAGTTTTGCAATGAAATCTCTACCTCTGTGATCATTAATGTCCATGCTTACAGTTTTCAAGTCGATTTTGTCGAGGTAGATATTGAGACGCGTGCTGATTACCAAGTGAAGTGCCTTAATGCTCATCTTGTCGGGTATTACTTGATTGGGGACAAACAGGCGTGCGTGGATGTCTGATAGGGAAGGATCGCCGTCCGGCAAATGGGTGAACATAGCGTTGATCCACTGTTTCATGTTAGTCATCACGGTTTCCGGATCGTCGTACTCGGTTATCTTGTTTCCTGGCTGCTTTCGGTTGGAAAACCATTCGAGGTATACGTTCATGTAGGACTGGAGTTGGGAAAAGAAATTGGCGAACAATATGTCCACGGTCAGGTTGTTGAACTTGAACACGGACGATGGCCGGTAATCGAACACTACTTCATTTTTTATCTCTTCTGCCGACCTCTCGACACCGTCCCACATGCACTTGATGTAATCGTACTGGCTCATATTGGTTTTATTGATTACCCACTGGTACTCGGGCAGCATTTCGCCATGAAGGCCGCCAAACAGATAGGCGCACTCGTCGACGAATTTTCTGTCAGCCTTGAGGTTTTCGTCAATTCTTTCTATTAAAAATGGTTCGCGGTTGTCGGTTCTCTCTTCCCGAACGAATCCCTGATATGGAATGTACTTGGCCTGCACGCAGTTGACCGGTTCGTACCGATCAATTAATTCTTGCACTTGCAGGTGGATGTAACGAATGCGCCGGATTTTGGCGTCTATTTCGACATCTGTATCCATCGGAGGGATGTTTTTCCTGTTTATGTACAGATGCATTATCTTGACGGCTTCGGTGACGTAACTCTGATCATCGGGCGCGATAAACTGTTTTTCGAATTTATTCAGCACAAAGTACATGCCGTCCAAGACGATTTTAAACTTGATTAGTTGGTTGACGATTGTGCCAAACAATTGGGTATTGGTCGTGTCGAGTTTTTTCTTATTCGCACGCTTGTTATCCATGATCGTCTTGATCAAGAGTTCCATTAGTAGCTCCACTACCTCCATGAGCTTCGTCATTATCGTCATAAACTTACAGTTAACATACGTTTGCACGGCCTTCATGCCATTACTGATGGAGTTTGAGTTGTGCTCGTCTAAAGAAGTAAAGAGCTGCATTCCGTCCTCACCTTGTGCAATGCTATTGCATGTATACGTTGCCGTATTGAAGTGTTCATAAAGTAATTCTTTTTTATTAACAACCGATTCGATATTGCGAATGTTAAAAAATTGTTCAAACTTTAAAATATTGCTGCAAAATATCTGGGCCGTTACCTCAAACTCTTTTTCCACGTAGTGCATCCGACATTTCCCCAAAATCAATAGAATCGCACCGATTACAGCTGGTAGAATATGATAATTAGTATCCATGATTTAATAGCGTTGTGCTACTTAGTACGCGATCAACAGATCACTAATTAAACGAAATGGTCGTTGTATACCTGCGTTATAATCGTTCCTAATAAAACTAACAACATATAACTTTTAACTAAAAAACAATTTGTTTACCTTCAAATCAAAACGGAACGTTCTAGTTGTACTGTTTGTTAATATTATTTCTTTTCTCGAGTAAAATCAAATAATGAGGTAATACTACAAGTGCTTTGCCACTTGTATTTGTGCCTTTGAACATAATACGTTAGTTTTACCGGAACATCGCATTTATTACTTTTCACGCGCAATAAAATCATGGTAAATATGTATTTCAAATATTTAAGTATCGGGTATACTATCAGATGATCTGATAGAATTGCTCATCAAATTTATGTAAATCTGTTAGTTCACTTCGTATATAAAATATTTGTTTAAATAATAACTAGGTTATATAATCTTTAAAATGTTTTTTGCGTGTTAGATACATCTGCGCGTTACATGATTATTGTGATTTAATAATTTAAGTTAACAAACGTATTTACAATTTTGCGCGCTGTTTATTTAGCGCCTTTGCACAAGGACAAATATGTCCTAAGAGATGAAGTAGTTTAAAAAAAAATGGTTGTATATTTTTTAATAAAATAATAAAATAATAATAAAAACCCTTAACCATAAAAATTATATACTCTCCGCGATACGTCATATTTCTGCAACAATGTTGCCATCTTCAGCGCTCACGACAGACTGTAAATTTAACTTAATATAATGACAATATGAATATATATCCGATTAAAATTAAAATTTAATGTAAATATATTAAAATATAAATTTAAAAACCTAAAACATATAGTAAATTAATAAATTTAAATACCTGCTTAAAAAAAATTCAATTTTTCGGCGTGAATTTTGCTTTGCAAATATATTAATAATATCATCATAGTTGATTTCTGTGGTAATTTCAGATTCAATTGAAAGAATTGATAAAGTTTTCATACAGACTTCGTTCAATTTCGATCTTAAGTATGATTTAGCTCTCTTTAGCGCAGGAAATGGCCTTAAAGTTGAACAATTCGAGGTCGGTCGATGGATCTTTAATGTTATGTCAACGTTTGGAAAAAGTTCATGTAGTTTCTCAGTCCTGATCATTTTACAAGTATCAATTATAGTTTTAGGCAATTTATTTACAGATAAATTCGTTAAGTAACTTATGAGTTATGAATTGTATACATTCATTAGCAAATAAAAAATAGAAAGATCATTTGTAAAAATGTTTTGTAGTATTTCTGCTTTTCTGTAAACTTTCTGATGGTGATAGATTAATAATTTGAAACAAGAATTAAAATTTTTTATTAGATATCCGTCATAGTTGATAGTATAATTTTTTTCTTTTTAGTTCTAAATGTAGTCTGTCAATAATAGTATAGTAACTACTACCTACCTATTAATCCTAAACGAACCTCGGATTTCAAAATGTGTTTCTTCCTCTCGTTTTTCATCCATCAATTTTCTTTTTCTTTTACGTTTTTTTTTTATATGTTTTGTGCTGATTTTTTAATTGCTTTCTCTTCATAGATATCAAACATACTTCTTAAATCTAACACATATCGCATGAATGATTCGTATGAATCAACAATCGTTTCCAATTAGATTTCAGCTGACTGAATTTTTTTACTAGTTATGTTGAATCGTTCTAGTTCATCGCCCCAAAATATTGCTATCATAGATGTTTCAAGACTGTCTATTTTACAATGTCTTAAAATGTTGACGACCGGGGCCAATACCCCCTACCCCCCCATCCCCTCCCAAACTAAATACGTCGCTGGGGGGGGGTGGTGTACTTCGAACGGAATTAGTTAATAGTTATTTGTAGAAAGTTCAACAACTTATACAACTTGTTTCCCGCCTAACACCGTAATCTATAATCATCATCATGTAGCTTAACGGGCCATGAAGGCCCAACGCTGCCATCATGAGATGGTTTCTTGACGGATTCGCTATCCAGGACGGGTCGTCAATCCGTCACCGGAATGTGTAATAGAAGATAAAAATACAGTGGATCAATTACAATTAACTATAAACCCACCGGTTCATACGTATAGATGTGAAATATAGTAATTATAAGGCGTCCAACAATTACAATGCTGAAGAGCTAAAACTAACTGTGTTTTATTAACTAACTAGTATACTAGTTACCGATATTAGTTTTCGAGTAAGAAAATGTTTTTTTATTGTTTTTCGGTTCTTAAATCGACTACTTGTAAAAAAAAAAAAATCTGCAGCTGGTCTGTGTTCCTAAAACTTTTAATCGACCCTATTCGGAAATTCATATACTGTGTACTTGAATAACAAAAACAATTATCGGTTAGATGTGTTTGATTTTTAAAAGTCTATGTTCCTATGACCTACATCGATTGTTCAACGGCTAAACCGAAACCACAACATAAGAAGTATACCTGCGATTTATTTGTTTAACTGCGAGTTATTTAATTTTATTAGTTTATTTGTTATTTATTACATTTTTTTGACATTTCATACACGGGTATGACGCAATTCTATGTATTAATTATGCTACAAAGGAAATAAAAAATAGTTTACAAAAGTCGTGCAATTTATCAAGTTGGGCGTTGTGAATTGAAATTATTCTTACCCGGAAAGCCAACAAGTAAGTCGGTTAACGATACTAAAAAAATATAATAAACCAACCAGATAGTCGTTGAGCACACAACAAATATCATGCGGTGTTGTTCGGTAGGCTGTTTGGTCGTCATTTTAATGGTCGCGTACACGTGGTCGAAAGTCTGGACAGCTCAAGATGAGAAAGATCTGTGCCGTTATTTCATGCACCAGCTCCTCGTCAAGTACGACCCGACCATAATATCGCCTGCGCTGGACAAACGAAACAATAGTGAACTAAAATCAACTATCGATTACTGCAATCAACCCGGCACCAAGAAGGCTAAAGTAGTGAAGCAGCCATCTGATATTTTGAAATGGATACCTGTTGTGCGTACGTACATTAACTGCAAACTGAGTGGCATTATTTTGAAACTGCTTTTATTGATTGAGCACTTCAGTCTCCGTTTATTTAAGACAAACAACAATGTTGAATCCCGAAGTCTGAAGGCGTTGGACGAGGTGAACTGGGAAGGTTGGAAAACACAGATCAGCCCCGAATTAATCAACTGGATCAAGCCATTGGAGTATATGTTGCTGATATTGCGCGATTTCGATGTGCGGGAAAAAATAGGCGATTTTGATAAAAATTCGTCGATAGAGCCACAATCTAATGGTTACAACACACTTTACGACAACAAGAACGTGCCGTACCTCATGGAAGCCCTCAAGACTTACTATTTGTTTCTGGACGACAACGTAAGGCCGCATTCACCCTTAATGTCAATCAGGGAGATTCCTAACGACAAAAGGTTAAACCGGGTGCGGTTGATCCATTTTTACGTGTGGGATCTTACGGAAAAGTATTCCAGAAAGCACTGCAACCTAAGCGTTAATTGGAAGTTTAGTTTCTTGGAAAGTTTGTTTGGGAAAAAAGAACCGCTTGTAGTAATAAAGGAAGCTATGGAAACCCACCTAAGAGAGTCATTGTTTTTAGTGGCGAGTTGGAAACATGACCACGGCTTGGATAGCAGCAAGACCTATTTCAATCAACTGGTGGCCGCCCCACGTTTTGGTAAATTAAATTCCGAGTGGGTGAAGAGCCTAAAAGTCCAGGCGCGGTGGAATGGTGCCAAAAAAAGCATAACGCAAATATACGAAGACGTGTATGTAGATTTTCGGCCTGCCAATCGCGTTCAGTTCGAATCGTTTGTGACGGAAATGATGCTGTCCGTTTTCTTCTACGAACTTTACGAATACATTCAAATATACGTGAACAGTGTTATGACAGTTCCTGAGAAGAACTTGTACTTTGGCATCGACGACGAAACCGATTATCACCTTTTGAGGCCCGTTCGGGGCTATATTGACGAAATGAATACATTGTTGAAACAACAAAGTTGGAACTCGCCTTCCAAGAACACGATTGAGTTGATAGCAAAGAACATCACGTCTGAAAATATAGCAGTACCTATCCAAGATACAATCGCAATGACGACGACTGTTGATGATCCAAAGAAAAAAAAAAAGTTACCGCCGGTAACGACTTTGAGTGTGATCGATTTACTTTTAGCTATCGAAGTGTTGTTTACCAACTATAAATCTATGGGCATTGTATTCCCTAAGCGAAAATTCAAAAAGTTTTCCAGCTCCCGTCATGCCCACGGTTATCTCAACAATCATAACAAAAAACAAATACAATCGTACATCGACAACCTAAAAATATACATCGTCTAGTATTTACAATATGTTCAAACACTACATTAATATTATAGTAAAAATATTTATTTCATTACCATATGAAAATAATTTTATCTACTGTTTTTCATTTATTTAAACATATCTCTAATTATTACATTACTGTTTTTATGATATATGTATAATATTTGTAGTTTCATGGCTACTTTATTTTAAATTTTAGAACTTTTATGTTTACTTGCATATGATAACTAAAAATAATCTTCACACATCGAAAATAAATAAAATTATAATTATACCGATACGTTTTTGTGTACATAATCAATGAGAGGAGAAATAATCTGTTTGCTACTTTAGTATTTAATGCAATAATATACTGTAGAGTAATAGTCAACCCCACTTCCCCAGGTTTTGGAATTTGTAAGTTAGCGTTAAACAGTTAAAACCATCGTCTATTAAAGCATGTACACACAAAATTTTAAATGTAAAAACAGGGATTCCAATCATTAATATATTTAACAAACATTTTAAATACATACAACTGTGTGAAAAAGTATCCCATAAAAACGCAACAATTGACATTTAGTTTGAATATTTTTAACGTTATTTCAAGATAAGATATAAAATTTAATTAAAAAGCAAAACAAACATATTATGAAATTATTACTATATTTTAATAATAAGACGTATAATTGCTAATAGGTAGGATGTAGGTATACAATTTTGTTTTTTAGAACATAGTTTAAAAAATGACAACAAGTCTAAAAATTAAAGAGCCTACCAGTTTTAAAATATAAAAAATAATGCATCTACAACATTATATTAAAACTATTATTATGGAAATAATAAATTTGTACTTAAATAATTGTTGATACATTTTTTTTTTATATACATTTAGTATATATTACTAAATTTAATTGCAATTTATATTTAAGGATAGTATATTACAAAATTAATAGAAATTACAGTAGTACAATAAGCAACTTTTACTTTGAAGTCTATTGAAATGAATAATATTTATACACAAAAAAAATGTTTAATTGGCTTCTTTATTCTTTTGCTAATAAATAATAATATATTAATAAAAAAAATTAGCAAATTGTCAGTATCGTTAATAAGTCATTGTTTTAAATATCAGTTTTGCAATATAATTTTTAAGCTACAAAATCTAAAGGTCTGTTAAATCCTCCTTTACGGTTCATGTACTGACGATATTTACGTTTAAGTATAACATGAACATCACCAATATTATTTCCTTCAACTTCCTTACCATGTGTAGAGTCAAAAGTACAAAAACCCATCATTTTCATCATTTCTTGTTCTTCAACAGTTTTACCACGAAGATCTTCTTCTGTGACTTTAGGAGCAGATGGTTGGACAGGCCGAACTAATTTTTTATCTTTCTTAGGAGATCTAGACCTAGATCTTCGTAAATCCCGATTTCTGGAACGACGTCTATCCCTCGAAGGACGTCTAATAGGTGATCTAGATCGTTGACGGGAACGACTTCTCTTTCGAACATCACGTCTAGAACGTGGAGAAACACTACGAGAACGCCCTCGACGTGATCGTGACAAACTTCTTGACGAACGGGCCTCACGCCTTGTTCTAGGTGAAGCACTACGAGAACGACCTCTACGAGTTTTAGTAACACTGTGAGAACGATCTCGGTTTCTATCTTTAGAACGATCACGTCCTTTATCCTTGTAACGGTCTCGTTCCCTCATAGTTATTCTAGAATTATAGCCAAATAATATTATGACGTTTTGAACTTGTTTATATATTTACAATAACAAATTAAACGAAGCCTGTATATACTTACCAATATGTAATACAAGTGGTTAAAGACTACGTCAGATTTTTTAAAACAATTTCTTTTGTACTGGACACTGGTTTTATGAAATAGATTAGATTTCAATGTGTTATCATTTTTTAATATAAATTAATAACATGGAATAACCAGAAGAGAAACCTAGGCCGGGACTGATAAGTGCCCGACATTTTTTTTAGCGGATTACGTACAATTATTATTATTGTGCTTTTTCTAGATTTAACAATTATTATAGGCTGGCTCCCTTCAGCAAAATCGCAGTCGGCCTTTTTCGGTGGTCTCCTTATAATTTTTTTTAAACTTTCCTTTCTGGTTATTTTGTGTTTATAATATTACTTATTGATAACTTAGCTGAGTTTGTTTGATTAGAAGATAAGGCCGTGTTATCTATAGATTATAGTACAATATTATGAACAAGGCAAGGTGGATTTATATTTAAACCCATCTTAGGACAAGGTTTATTGATTAACCCTAATAATCTAATTAGTTGTAAGCTGTATTATAGATACTAATACCAGTAAGCACATCCATAGGATATTAATTCCTTGGATTTTTCAAAACTTTTTATATTGTTCAAGTCGATTATCGATCACATTTCACGGTTTATAAATTTAGTTATAACTAGTATTATTATACTAATAAAATAGTTTGTTTTAAACTATGAACCGTGGACCTGATGTAAATAATATATTCAATCTACATTGTCATCTATAGGATAGATCTGAAAACTGAAAAGCCTATAAAGTCATTAATTATTATAATATAGGCTCTCTAAATAGATATAATTAGCAATATTGAATATGAGCTACATTTATATTATTATTATTATTTATTAAATATAATAAATAGTTTAAAAAAACAATGATATTATAACTATAATAATAATAATAAAAGAATTTTAACTCGCTTGTTGTTAAAATGTTATATTTATGCGTATATATATATATATATAAATATTTAATATTAGCAATGATTATGTAACATTGCATTATCAATAATATTAGTATGATAAATTAAAATAAGTTTAATTTAGCATGATTTATAAACAAATTTAACAATACTTCACAGATTTATATAACTAACATTTCTAACATTATTTATGTTCACTAATCACAGCAACATTTCTGGTCTTTTTTACCGCCTTTCTTTTTAGATTCTTTCCATTTTTTGTATGTTTCATCATCTAATTCAGCATATGGAATATTTTCATAAGTATGTCTATCAGGATCTATCTTCAATTCTAAAAACAAAAATGTAAAATGTACTTAAGTTGTTCTCGTAATGAAAAATGTTTTCAATTAAGCCATTGACACGAACAAAGATTTTGGGGGCTTGGGATTCTAAAAACCTTAAAACTTAAAATTAGTGCTACATTTATTTTTATATCAACAAATCTCTCACTCAAAAATAAATGTAGGTATTTTGAAAAGCACTAATTTTAAGTTTTAAGGTTTTTACCTTACCCCTTACCCAAATCTTTGACAATGGCCATCAATATATTATACAACACTAATGTCTAATACATAGCAATACTAGTAAAACCCTACTATAATTAGGAAACATACTAAATTTATTTTCAGCAATACGCTCAGCCTGGACTACTTGCGTTAATAACTCATTTTCAACATCTAAGGCAAACTTGATTAGCTGCAAAATTCAAGTTAAACATTATTTAAATTGTTATATATTTTTATCAAACTATACAATCATTTTAGGTAATCCTTTCAAGTAAATTAATCCATTATGGTGCTTCTTACATTTTATTTGCACTGTTGTTGCATTATGTATGCTACTGTCTAACCCTTCCCCACCATCCCCAACATACACACACAAACAAAACCAACTATTTTGTTCTAAAATATTCAACATATTTAATAATAATTAATAACTAATCAATAAGTAATTAACTATTGTTAAAATGTTGCAGCATTATCATACCAACACTGGTAGTCATTAAACTTGCGTTTGTATACTTACGGTAAATACTATAATATATAGTAGAACATGTTAACTGTTTATAATAATTAATAAATAATAGATTTTTTAAATTTATAAAAATCATACTATTTATTTTTAAATAGTACAATATACTTACATTTTGTACAGTGATTGGATCTGAGACTGATTTATTTTTTTTGAACTCTTCATTAATTTGAACTTTTGCAGCTATAAAATGAAGTATTATGTTAAAAATGATAATTAAACAGTAATAGTAATACTGGACCAACCATTAGACATATGATTATCATCTTTAAAGCACTTTGATCTTGCTCTATGAACTAATTTAAAAGTATTAAGCACCTATAATTAAGAAATGTTATTAAGTTATTTTCATAATGTTCAAAAACTATAAAGTTTAGAACTCAAAGTAAAGAATTTAACCAAAATACTGTATGAACTGACTTGTCTTTTAGTTCCATTGTATGCCATAATTATACAGTATGTAAGCTTAAAATAATTTGTTAGACACAATTTTTACAGCCTGTACGTTTAACTATAATTTTCGATGTTGAAATGTTTTGAAATTTGAAGACAAATTTTTTTTTACAGCGAGAGTCAAGAGATAAAATAAGTGATAACATATCAATTTTTAATTTACATAAGAAGCATAGAATATTATCAAATAATAAATATATCTATTCCACAATCCACAATAGAAGTATTAAGAGCATAATTGATAAGAAGCAAATAGCAATACTTAACCAAAGAATACATTAAATTCAATTTATTCTGAGCTTGAATTACGATTTACGAAGTTTTCAATATGCATTTGAGTCATACACTTTATACTTTTACAGTTTATACTTAATAATAATGTGGCGGAATACTTATTACACATGTGCAGTAGCTGAGAGACATTAGGTTTAAATCATTTATCGACATTATTTTATAGACTGTATTATCCATTAGTCGGATTATTTGTTGAAAATGGCACTTTACTGCGAAAATCAACAAAAAGAACTACCGATTATAAGTAATGTTTATTCTGTTTTTAACTCTACACAAACCAGTAATGTACAATCCAGAAATGTATCAAATCTTTGCCCGATTTCAAATATACGTACTGAGAATAAAACGTCGGAACCAAAAAGGAAATTATTCCAAATTCCTAACCATATATTATTGACAGAGAGTAATTATTTTAAAGATTTTTATATCTAGTTTGTAATTTTTAATATGAGCATTGGTATTTAAGTAATATTTTTATTCTAGATAATGGAAATGTTAAGTACAACTGTACAATATGTAAAACGGTTTTTAAATCGAAAAAAAATTGTTTTTACCATCTAACTTGCAATGGCACAGGAGTAAAAAAATCACTTATTTGTCCTCAGTGTAATAAGGTTTTTAAAATTCAATCGCACCTCGATTATCATGTTTTAACACACTCAGGTAATTGGATATATATTGGAGATATATTAGAAACCTATCATTCGACATTTAATCAAGTAGCTTGAAATTGTAATAATATTTTAATTTTTTTTTTGTTGTTGCAGGTATAAGGCCTTATAAATGTACTAACTGTGATAAATGTTTTTTTACAAAATCTAAGATGATTGAACACCAAGTTGTACATTCAGGTAAATATTATTTTAGTATAAATAATTAGAATATAATTTTTAATAACATAACATTAGTATTACATGTTCCAGGTGTTTTTTTTAACACCCTGCACTAGTTTTCTTTTAAAACTATTACAGCTGTGTAGTCTTTTTTTTTCAAAAACAGTTATTTGTTTTATTTTACATTATTATAAAATTACTAAATATTTAAATTTTTAGTATTTTCCAGAACCCTCGTCTACTTTTAAATGGTAATGTTTGTATTTAATTAACTTAATAAATTAAGAATGAATTGCTGAATTTGTGGACTGGTTTATAACTAGTTATGAATATTACTTTTAAAGTTACTAAAGTTTAAAATTCAGGACTAACTAAATATTATATAATAAAGGCTAAACAAATATATACGTTATCATTTAAGTTTAAAAGTAGTGACAGAGGTCTAAAAATTACTAAAAAGTTCCAATGTTTGGTTATTTTATGTTTAATGTAAATTAACATAACACAAAGATGTTTTTAAAAAGAAAAACTACAATTATTTAAAGTAAAAACTAGTTGATGATATTTTTCAAAATCACCTAGTATTACATACAGTTAACATTTGATTAATATGTTGTTTTAGTACGCTCCCATTTTTGTGCATTATGTAGTAAAGGATTTAAAAGAAAACGATCTCTAGAAGTTCATATGGAATCCCATGTTATAGAGAAACCGTTCCAGTGTACAACATGTTTAAGATTTTTTAAAAATAAACAATGCTTAAAAAAACATCACATAAGAAAACATTCTGGTAACTGATATTTTTAAATACAATTTTTTTTTCGTTTAGATACCTTATTTAACATTATTTATGCAAGATTTTAAGGAAAAATTACTAATAATATTCACTAGAATTTATATTTTATTTACTTCAAACACACATTTGACACACTTTGTCAGTATTAATTTTTTTTAATTCATCCTTTAAGTCATAGTTTCTTCCTTTTTTTCTTGATAATTTTCATGGAAATTACCTCTTTTCTAGAAAAATTATCCCTTAAAAAAGTTAAAAACATATAAGAATTCATTTTTACATAAAAGCAAAAATCTTATAAAATTAGGTAATTTGTTTTATTCAATAACACATACTTTCATTACTGTCAATTTAAGAACAAAAAAAAACAAATTTTATTTTATTCTATTGTTATTTTTATTACAAATTTTTTTTATAAATATGAAATTTTATTAAGTTCAATATTTTTAAAAAGCAAAACACTTAATTTTAATTACATTTTTTAATGTGGGTTAAGTAGTATATTTTTTTGTAACATGATGTCTCTATTTTCCAGGGACAAAAGCTTATTCTTGTGATGTTTGCAACCGCAAATTTAGTTTAAAGGATGCTCTTGTATCACATGAAAAAACACACACCTGTTCAACTCAATTTGCTTGTTATTTATGCAATCAGCGCTTTAGAGAAAAACGATATCTACAAAGACATCTTAGCACACACAATAGTAATATATTATAAAAATATATTTAACTCTTGATTACATATTTTAATATAGATTAAATGCCTATGTATTTGTTTTTAGAAAATAATGTGATGAACTGTCCAATGTGTATGAAAGAATTTACTCGCAAGGATAATTTAGATAGACATGTGCGAAATACACATTTGGAGTCTGAAAATGAATGTAATCCGGATTACACCATTCGAGCGTCGGTTATTAAAGTTGTGAATAAAATAGAATCATGTGCAGTTAAAGTTATTCAACATACATAATGTTTTTTTTGTGATTTTTGAATTTTGCAATGTTAAAAAAACAATTTAGTAATAGAAAATAATAAATTAGTCTATATCCAAATTATTGTTACCATTGTGGTATGTATCTATTTAGTTATAGTAATGAATATATTGATAGTTACATGCAAAAGGATCTAAGTGACATTTTACGTAGTTTTCAGAAGATGTAAAAAACGTTTTTGGCAATTCAAATTTTTTTTTCTAATAGCAATAACCTAATATTTTATATAAAGTAATAATAATAATAATGTATATATTATTAACCAATAAATCATTATTATGTCATTTTGATCCTATGTTTATTGTTTGTTAATTTAAAATTTATATTTGTATAATGTATGAAATAATAAGTTGTAAAAATATCATTTTTTTTTTTACTTTTATATGATTTTCATCTCATTTTTTTCTTTTTCTAGTCGTTTTTAATGAGAATCTAGTTTGAAACTTACACATTTAATGTAAAACTTGTTTAGCTTTCTGAAAAAAATATTGGAGAAACTAAAATTTTGAGCAACACAAAAAACCAACTTTTTATGTTATAAACTCAATTTAAATGACTTTCTGTAACTTGAAAAAAAATTAAATTTTTTTCAAAAATCTGAGTTTATTCACATTATAAGCTGATTTGTAATAATTTGTTTTTAACGACCGTAGATACTACAAAAAACCGAGGAAAAAGAATAGAAAATAAAAAAATTAAAATTACTTTATACGACCATGGTTAAAACGATTAAAAAAAAATTGAAAACATTCTTTTCATCGTAGCAGAGGAGGTCGATGTACATTTTTTTGGGAAATTCAATTAACTTACAAAAACGTATAGTAGTGTAGGGGTGACGTGGAAATGTATTTAAATATAATATATAATTATGAAATACGGTAGGATATGGTTTGCCCCGTAGGTATAGTCTGTACTGCAACATAATATACACCTACGCCATAGCGGTTTAAAACAATATCGTTACCACGGCTAACCAAAATCGATTTATCAAGATGTCAAAATTCTTATCAATAATAATAATGTTAATATTTATAACATTTGCTCTAGCGGTCGTTCTTTTTAATGTTTTTTACCAATTATTATTATGTATGAATATGTAATGCAATAATAAGTTGTTACATAGGTACAACATAATAATTTGCACTTCTTTGCAACTTCAAAGTTAATAACTATTACTGAAATGCTATATTAATACAATGCCTGAACAACAAGACAGTATTAACTTGCTGAATTAGAAAAATATATATCAATAATTATACTTTAATTAGGTATTCAATTTTTGTTGCTTATTTCTAGTCAAAATAGTATGCCACCAAAATTAAGTAACATTAAAAAGGCAAATATGAAACGCAAGGCTGTTAAAAATAAGTAAGTAAAGTAAAATAGTATGTTTCATGTTGATTCTACATTTCTACCAATGTTTTGTACAATACTATATAATTAAATTTTAGAACTAATGAGGAGATTGGAAGTACTGAAACCTGGTTAATGTCTTTTGATGCTCCATTTAAAATTATTTTGTCAGCAAGGTTTTTTGCTGCATTTCTAGTTCATATTACAGATTGTGATGAAACATTTAATTATTGGGAACCTGTGAGTATAACTCTAATATATTACTATGTTATTTAACATGTCATAAAAAAATGTTTTTATTTATTTTCATGTATGTAAACAAGGTAGGTAATTAACATTAAAATTTTTTTAGACACATTATTTTATGTTCAAAAGTGGATTCCAAACATGGGAATATTCCCCGACATATGCATTAAGATCTTATTTATACATACTCATGCATGCAGTTCCTGTATATTTATATCAATCAATTTTTAGTACAAGAAAATTAATGTTATTTTACATGGTTCGTTGTATGCTTGCTTTGATTTGTTCGTTTTGTGAAATTTATTTTTATAGGTAATTATAATTTTTTAAATTTAATAAATTTATGTAATGGATATTTACATATTACGATTATTTTCAGAGTCTTACACCAGAAGTTTGGTTCGTATCTTGCGAAATACTATTTGATTATTTCTGTGTTTAGCCCTGGAATGTTTATTGCATCTGCTGCATATTTACCTTCAAGTTTTTCTATGTATGTATTCAGTATACAAATGCTTTGAAATTAATGTTCTGGAAATTATTTTCTTTGTTGTTCCAGAATTAATGGCTTTAACTCCGGAAATCCTCGTTAGGATTTTTAATATTTTTTTTTGTTTAATTTTTCTCCGGCATATTAAAATAATTTTTTTATTTTCAATTATTATTATACTATAAATATTACAATTTATTATATTTAATCCATTTATTTTTAAATAATTAATATAATAGTATTAATTAAATAATTAATTCCAAAACCCATATAAAAAATATGTGTAAAATTATAGTACATGTAATGATATATTTTTTGTGTTTAGGTACATGACATTTTTATCTATTGGTGCTTGGTATAGTGACAATTTCGAGTTTGCTATTTTTACAACTGCCATTTCTACATTTCTGAGCTGGCCATTTTCTGGTCTTATTGGGTAATTTTTTTTAATTTAAATTACGACTTGGTATTTAAACTTTAATATTACTAATTTGTTAAAAATTATTACAAAACTAAGTATTTAAGCGTTACGTCTAATAGTTCAAAATGTTTAAAAAACAAATTAGAAAAGTAAAAAGTAACCATCCACAGAAAATTAACACATTGACTTTCTGTATAAACTAATTGAAATTAATGAAGTAAAATTATTTGTACTCTCGATTACATTTTCAATTTTACTCAAACAGTATTTTTTTGTAATCATATTGGAATTCTATCAACATACAAATTACAAAACAATATATTTTGAGCTTCGCTTTAAAGCTAAAATAATATATTTTATTTTATTTATAGTATTTAATATAATTTTTTAGGTTTCCATTGGCATGTGATATCGTTTTGAGGCAAAAAAAATATGGTTTATTTATTAAATGGTGCCTGATATCTTTAGCATCAATTTTGGTAAGAAAATTCAATAGTAGTTTTGTACATGGCTAATAATTCTTTAAACTTTTTTAGACTTACCAAATTGCTATAGACTCATATTTATATGGTAAAGTTGTAATAGCACCTTTTAACATCGTATTTTATAATATATTCACCAGTCATGGACCAGATATTTACGGCACTGAACATTGGAGTTTTTATATATATAATGGAATTTTGAATTTTAACGTTGCTTTTATACTTGTAATAATTGCCCCGTTTTTAGTAATATTGAATAAGGTATTTTTATTTTGTTAAAACACCAAAAAATTACTTTGGAATTAATGATTATTATTTTTTTTTGTGTAAAATAGATTCTTAGTATAACAGGATGCAGAGTTTTAAAACAATATAAGAATAATAAACAAATCAATAAATGGATTTTGTATTTATCCCCACTTTATTTATGGATGACAATATTTATAGTACAACCTCATAAGGTAAAGTATTATTTACTATAACATAAATATTTCTGCATATATCTTGAAATGGATAATTTTCATGACTTCAAACAATTAATTATTTTTCATAAAAAATGTTGAAATTTAAATAATAAATTATAAGTTAATTTTAATATTGTACAAAAATAAAAAATATTTCTTCAAATTATTTACATTTTAATATGTTTTATATTGTATTAAAAAGACAATTATTGTGCTCTAATTTTTTAGGAAGAACGATTTCTGTTTCCAGTTTACCCTTTAATATCACTTGCATCTGCGGTAATATTGCAATATACTATATCTTTACTGTTGCATGTATTTAACTTGTATGTGTTAAATTGCTCAAATGTGTTAGGCAAGTTGAAGATACTTGGCTATACATGTTTTTTTGTTTTCTTCATATTAACGGGATTGTCGAGAAGTGCTCTTTTGATAAAAGGTTTGTAATTATTAAAATATACCGATTTGATGTGCATTTCATTAAAAACTGTGACATTTACATTGTAAATAATCAGATAATGTGTTGCAATTTTATTAATAAGTTAATGTGATTTTTAGCATATCATGCGCCTCTTGATATATACAAAGAATTGAGCAATGAATCTTTAATATTACCTAAATCGGATGTAATTAATGTGTGTGTTGGTAAAGAATGGCATAGATACCCATCATCCTTTTTTCTGCCGGACTACAGGTAAAATCATATTTATATAGCTACTATAAAAACAATTTGAATAATAACTTTTTAAAATAACTCATATTTAGATGGAAGATGCATTTTATAAGATCAGAGTTTCGAGGACTTCTACCTGGTAGGTTTCACAATGATTCTATGTCGAAAGTCAAGGAGAATTACAACGATCAAAACAAAGAAGAACCCGATAAATATGTAATTGTTTTATACGTTATTATAGTGTATCTTTTATAAAAGATTTTGAGTGATCAATTGTCGATTGATTGTAATTTATAATTTTAAAATAAAAATTGTTTAATTTTTTAGAGTGATATCAGGTTATGCCACTTTATGATAGACTTGGATAACGATCAAAGTTCAGACTTAGAACCAAATTATTCTAAAGAATCGGAATGGATTATTGTGAAGTCATTACCTTTTTTGAACCATCAAAAGTAATAATAATAATAGTTGTTTGAGTATTTCTCAAGTGTTATTATTCCTCTTCCGTGTTTAGAATCATACTCATTTATAAATCTATTTCTTCAATAATTAGTTTTTTTAAGTTGCCTATGTTTTCATAATTATTTTTAAAAAAAATTGTAGGACACCACTTTTGTTCAGAGTGTTTTACATTCCATTTTTTTGGGAAGACAAAGCACATTTCTCATCGTACAATTTGTTAATGAGAAAATCAAAAGAAAATGCCAATTCTCAATCAACAAAAAGCTCACCAATATATTACGCGTTCTAGGTAATATAATTTTCATGTATATTTGTATAACTAATTTTAAAACTAGCTAAAAATTGTTAATATTATTTTTAGGCGTGACAAGATTTGTCCACATATTTGGTGCAAAACGGTCTGCACACAAACAATTTTATATGCAAATAGATGTCATCGTGCCATATTTGTCAACACTGTCAAACATTTCCAAATTGATCTTCAATGTTAGATTTCTCATACCTAGTCGTTTGGTTAAAGTAGATTTATGTTATTTATTATTTATATAAAGTATAATATACTATTATTATTACTTAAGTGATTTTACACACTGCCGTGAAAAGTTGTTCAAATAAATGTTTTTGGCAAACTCAAATTCTTCATATGTGTTTGATAGTTTTTGTAAGACTGATGATTAAAATAACCAGACATTGGAATCCTTTTAGTTTTGCTATTTAGAATTTACTTGCTCTTTAAGGTCTATACATTTTTGCCAAATCCATTTCCACTTTCCAGTAAGTACTATAATCCATAACCAGTTTAAAGTGGGCCTGGCTATAACTATGTCATTAGACATAAATAAGAAAACAGTCATTCTGCATACTGTGTCTATAATATGTCAGTAAGGTCTGTGTAGTTAAAACACTTTCAAAATGGAGTCCAATTTAGAATGAAATTAACTAATGAAATAGTATAATTCATAGTGACATACACAACTAAATAGGTAAAACATGCAGCCCTTTAGCCTTTTCTTATAAAATCTATGAATAATATATATACATAAAAATTATGATAAAAACGTATAAGCCTATTTGTCTATATTAGGTGACAAAAAATTATAATATGCTGTGCATCTTGTCCACGCGCAGGGCCAAGTAAAACGATAGTAATTATTTGTATTATGTGTGAGAGATGGGTCGCATAATGTAGGTTGGTCTTTGACCAAGAAAGTGAAACATAACGTAGATACACGTGATACGATACTTTTCATTTCACTGACCTTGAAAACGCTTACGTTCGTTTTGACTCTCTAATGCAATTACCGCTTGTAAGATTACAGTAATTTGAATAACAATAAAAATATTTTCAATTTCTCTGACAACGCGTAAACCAACCAGTTTTGTACCTATTAAAAACGATTTAAGGCTCTACCTCAGAATTGTCAGTTCTCCAATATATTATTTTCGGTTAGAGATAGATCCTCCAGAATACTTATTGTCATAAATATTAATAGCACTTGCTCAGAGAGTAGACAAGACTAATTATATAATTTATATTATACAAATTGGCGGTTATTCTTTTAAAATATTTGGAAACAATAATTCCAATAGACGCGAAAAACAAGATAAGATCACTGATGAACATTGCAAGTATTTCGAATGTTAGTGGTAGTTTTAAAGCGAGATTTTATTCAGTTCAGTTTACGTCGGTTTTATTCAGAACGTGTATATATATATATATATATATATAATTTTTGTTATCGTGAAATATTTAACACGGTAGTGTAATACGAATTCTGAGGGCTAATGTCAGAATTTTTTTTATTACAAACGGATATCCTTGTTTGCAACGTCCTAAATAATATAAGAATGTTTTTATATGACCTGTGTGAAAATCTACCGGCCTCTGTCGCTTGCCGGGCGGTCCTGAATTATTGTAATAATAATAATAATAATAATAATGAAGGGTAATATTGTTTGTAATTACACAAAGACAGTGTAACTGAATATGCCTGCGTAATGTATACAAAAGCCACGTGTGAAACAATCTGCAAAATTATGCATAATATATAATTATATATTATAGGTAGGTACCAATACATGTATGTAATAAACGCGTCGAGTTATCTCCTGTTGAGAGTTAAGTTTAAGGACGAACCGCCGCTGTTTCATAACCTCTTGCCGGCGACGTATACGGTATAATACATTATACATTATCTACATCATTAATAGACTAAGTACTAATTTTTTTAGCTAAAAAAAAAAAAAATGCTCGTTTATACTCCAGCCGGTTTGCGTGAACCTTCATTAGGTTAGGCTGAGTTTAATATATCCCTAGGCATTTACATAGTAGGTACATTCGTTAAATTTATTCATTTTTTTGTGTACTATTTTTATGTAGGTATTTGATTTTCATGAACTAAACCATAAAAATAATCCAATATAATCTATATAACATAAAAATTATATAGTATTTACTATTCAACCGCTGTACACATTAAAATAGTAACTTACCATTTACCAAGCACCATCGACACAAGTATGCGCATTATTATTATACAGATAGGTTGTGCGTGTACTTGTATCTATTTACATGTTTGTACGAGTATCAGTATTGTGTGTGTGTGTGTGCATTTTTCTTAATACATAATACTCGTAATAATCGTTATTATATATATATAAATGGTATTATGGTAACAGGAAAGAAAGACGAGAAGGGTGGAGGGAGGTGTCGAACGCGGGGAAAGTTTTGGCTTCTACACGTAAGCGCAATAAACGCGTTTTTTTATGTATCTTATACTACACACACACACACACAGTCATGCGCATTGCAGTGTACTGAGAAAGAAAGTATTAGTTAAAAAAAAAAAAAAAAAGGCCACATAAGACTTTTATAGCAATATTTATATTTTCACGATTCCGGTAAATTGTTTAAAATATACTAATATGAATACCTGCATATAACTCTAAACATGTTATTAACATTTATCAATGTAACTATTTTTTTTCCTAGATAAAATAAAAAAAACACTATCAATTATGGATACGGTGTGCGTAACTCAATTTCTCTCTCTAAAAAAAAAAAAAAAAAATCACATCAGTTATCGTAGCTGTGGCCTGTGCACATGTCATTGGTAAACTGTAGCGTCGGCCACTGAAGTTCAATAATAATTTATGTATAAATACCACCACTTCTTAGACTTCGGTATACTCTTTAAATAAATAAATAGACTTAGTTGTATTGCGAAAAAATCCCAAATTACCCATGTCGTCATATTAATTGATGTAAGCATGACATTTGTTACTAACGCAGGTAAAGCGCCTCTGGTGAATGACAATTCATAAAATCGATCAAGATAATTTTTAAGGTGAGATCGTCAGTCGTTCGTCTCGATCAGGTGCTTACTTTTGCATTTTTCACGTGTCCTTCTGCGGTGCGGCCTTCGGATTTGCTCCTCTTGCGATGGTAGTAGATAGGAAGAACAGAAATAGGCTCCAGACTATGTAATGTGTACATAAAAAATAATAACTGTTTTAATTTTACACCGGGTTAGGTTAGGTAATGGGTAAAGTAATAAGTAATGACCCGAAATGTTCGTGGCCGCCGACGGTCCATTTCTAGAAAAAAATGTTTAACAAAAAAAAAAAACACTATTTCACGCCTCACAGTATTTTTTTGTTGTACCTATACAAACATCACGAATCAAATAATACAAATGTAACCCAAGGTTTCTAGCGGTATATAAAAGAACAATAAAAAAATATTTAAAAAAAAAATGTGTCTGATAAAAAAATTAATTATTTAAACACTTATTTTAAATTACCGACCGGTTTTACGGTTATGCCATGTTTGTTGTTATTAAATTATTGTAATAAAGTTGAGTAATCTGTTTTTAAAGACTCCCGGGTGATCGACAGTGCCGTGCTGGGACACTGCCGCTGTAGTTTTTTGGTCGAGCAACAATTGTCTGTACTCGGTCTATGACATTATTGCGTTCATAATATATATATATATATATATGTATAGAGATATATACTCTTCCAGAGATATATTATGTGCTAATCGGTAGTTAAAATTAACTATATCTCAGCCATAACGTAGAAGTTTAATGGGAATAAAGAAAAAAACTTTTAAAAAAAGAAGACTCCGAAATTCTGGTCCACGTACAAGTAGTAGGCTACCTCTCACTTCTTTTGGATTTTAGACGACCTTCTATTCAAGTGTTATAATAATATGAAACAAGTAGTTAGGTACTTGGGCATAGGCATTAGACATTTGAATAAAGTATGATTGTCAACAGTGTCCAATATGGAGTGTCACGATGGAGTGACGATGTTGACAAATATTTGGATATCGAGTCTCTCGACCGAGACAAACAAAATATGTACAGTTAAATGGTAATTGCTGCATTTATTGTTATTATTATAGTACTTTTACAAACTTTCAAGTCCTAGACGATTACTCATCGCACTCGGTGTAGAGGCGGATCTACGTGTAGAAAAAAAAAATGTAATAACAATTATTATAGTGATGTAATCGGCTTACGAGATCAGTTCAGTTCAAGCGGTTACCCTCTTCTAGTATGGTCGCTGACTACCAAAATATTATGTTTTTTTCAACTACTATTTGTACACAGATTTGTCTGTAAATTTGTTTTTTTTTTCGAGAGGCAGTTTTTTACTAAAAATCCCTTACAAATGGTCAACCCGACACTGTATTATATTAGAACGTAAGCTACCTCCCCAAAGTCACTATCAAATAACAATTGTATGACTGAAGCAGAGATTAAAATGTAATGGTTTTAACTGTTTAATCAATCGGTTTTCGGTTCGTATTGTAAATAGTTAAAAGAAAAGTATTATTTACATTTTTTGAAATTATTCACAGGGAAAGAAATGATTTGTTTGAAAATGTTTTTATTATAACCACCAAGTTGCGTCGAAGCGTTTTTATATAAGAATTTTATAATTATTACTTTAATATATTTTGGTAAACAACTTCAAGCTCGATGACAACCCCGACCTGAATAGGCATAATATGGCTGTTGTGTTCTTAACGAGTTCCGGTGATATGATTTCTTTGTACACGAATAACAAAATAAACTGTACGGATCGTGTCGAGGTAATAATATTTTGGGAAATGTTACCCGCCAAGTCTAACCTGACCTAACCCGTTCGCTAGTTCAGAAAATGATTCCAAGTTTATTGTTTTTGAACAATAACAGTGGATAGTGTTTTCGCATCAAAGCATTTTTACCAAGGTTACGTTTATCATATAAACTAAAAATAAGCAGATCAATTTGCTTCTAATGTACCATATCTATTATTTATATGATATAAAGAATATACTAGATATGCATTATTTAAATTATTGAGACTAGACCCGTTAAAGGTATGATGGTTTTCCAATTTAATTTCACTGGTATGGACTAAAAATGATGTAATACCGTGTATTCATTACTATCTTATTTTTTGGTACAATTAAAAGCTTATCTGTTGTATATTGATTTTGAACGCGTTTTAAATTGGGTTGACTGACGCAAATTGATCTTTCAATTATGAGAATATCATATCATTTGCGAATATATGGGAATAGTTAACAATTGAATTGAACTTAGACGGGTTCTATATGTAAATATTTGTACAGGTGCCTTGTGCTGTTTTGAAAAACATCAGCTGCTATGTACTGTACCTGAACACGAAAAAAATACATAGTTGGACCAAGTAAAATAATTATGGTTTCTATTATGGGGACACCATACATTTTTAGTTGGACTAGTTGTTGTTCTAGTCATAACTTAATAAATTATATCCCTACATTAACCATAATGTTTTTGTTGTACTGTGTATTTTTTTATGGGAATGAAAACTCGCTTCATCCACACCTGATCATGCCATATTAACTACCTATAAGTGGGCTGGGAACTCAAATTATATAAATAAATTGTTTGTATTATTACATTGGTACTCAGGACCTAAGAATTTTTTTTTTACACCTAAATAAAATATTTAAAAATGTTGCACAAAAAAAGCAATTATTAGAATGACATGATGCACACAGTTAAGACTTAAGACGATGGCAAAATCGATTCGTACCGCCTGACATGACCGCGACTACATCATATTTATATTTTACCTGTTACACAGTACGTTATGAAATAATGCTAAATTTGGAAATTACCCGAATACATTTTTTAAGTACTTGAGCTACTGAAAACCGCTATGACTGGTTACGGTTAACGATTCTACATACCTACTTTAGACGTTTACCTGGGTAGGGTAGAAGACAGTATAATGTTTACTAATTTTATCCAGGTGAAATACCACCTTCGACAGTGTTCTTATGGGAAATTACAAATTAGACCGGTTGTCGTTATTTTTAGGACACTGTTTTTTTATAAGGAATGGCGGTGTCTTGGAAAGCTAGTAAGTTTGTGGTTGCGTTTGGCAATACAGACGTGAGACACCCTTTATAATTTATTATACAGTAATATATCATAATTATAGTACACATAGTATTGATATAATATTATGTCTACCGTGGGCTATTGTTTTATTTGACTTGACGCGCTAGATTGGTTTTCAAACGTTTAATATGTTAATTAAGAAACAAAATTAACGTTCCATAATAATTTATAACGGTCGAACATTGGCCGTATCGAAACGATTGCGAAAACGCATTGTTCTCGAATATTATTCGCAAAATTAAATAGCCATTTATTTTCTCATTATCTGCAAAAAGGTCGACTATCGAAAACGGTTCAAGTTCGCAGTCGGTGCCTTAATTAAAACTCGATAAACGTTAATATTATTTTAATTTCATTTTCAGCAAGCCGCACGTGCTTAACATATTTTTAATTGGTTATGAACGTTTTGTAATTCTGACATCATATACTTGATACATTTTACCAAAAATATCTACTATTGATGCTAACTTTTCATTTTTAAATTGGCGCGATACACAATTTTTTTGTGCAAGCTATGTATATTAGTTATAACAGTAAATGTTCAAAGATCATTAAACATTAATGTAATCAATATAAAATTATGTCATTTAAAAATGTCCTTAAATTATCAGTTATTTAAAATGTACATAACGTAGTGCATTTATCAACATTAAGTATTATAGCTAGAAAACAAGGTAATCATGTTTAGCTACTATACAGGTGCAATGTTATTCACATGAAAGTACCCAGAAAGAGATGTTTGCAATACTAGTATACTTCTGTCTTAATTTTAATTATCATAAGTTAAGAAAACTAAATGTGTTTTAGTGGAGTTTGACAATGAGTAAATTGGGCGGAAGGAGATATTGTCAACTTGGTTGGATAAGATCAATTTTAAAATGCGCTTGTTTTTTATACACACAATAACCATAAACAAGTTATGTTTTATATTTGCTTATGTATAAGTTTGCATGACAGCATATAGCGTAAGTTAAAAATGTGGGAATGTTGGAAAGACAAGATTTTTTCTTTATAATATCGTGAGCAATGATTACAAACGTTGAGACGTTAACAATGTCAATGTAAAAGCATAAAAAACATTGTCAAGGTATCCAACCTTGTGGTTTATCTTACTTACATTAAATGTTTATAATGTCTACGAGAATTATAGTAGTTAATCGATATTTACACATGTATACAGACAAAATCATTTGAAAAGTGACGATTAGACGATCGAAAATTTCAGGGGCGCTATTTCAAACAAGTGAAAAGGGTTAAATTTGGACGCACTTGGATTTTCACAATAAGATCCAGAACAAGGAGCACATACCAGTATGCTGTGTGTCATATCCTACTCGTAGGCAGAAAATTATTCAATTAATAATTTGCAAATGTTTACTTAATTTCAAGGATTTTTTTATCATTAAATAATATACGCATTATCAAACGTTCAGAAATTGACAGTCACGTTCTGGTAGTTAAACGCTATTTTTTTAAAGTAAACACAAAATTATGGCACACAGGACATTAAAAAGGAAACACAATATTTATATTTTTTTCTATAAAAACTTTATTTTATTTCCTTGTAGAAATGTTTAACCGGTTCTTTTTTTTTAAACGGCAGTCATAAGTTGTAACACTGCAAAATGTTCTGAATTCTCTACAGCCAACAGGCTATAAATGCACTCTCAAACAGGACTACATATTTAAGCTGTTTGTATTTCTTTGTAGTTTTATTTTATACACAACGTAATGCGGGTTAATAAGTGTTATACCTATCGCATGCATATTTATTCATTGTTTGTAAAATGTATTGTTTTTAAGTTGCACTTGAAAATGACCTGGCCCAAATAAGTAGTTAATATTTTTCATACATTATATACATATATACATAAGGGACGTCACCTCATAGTCGGGAATTGGACGCTGTTTTAATTCTGTGTCAATATTGAAAAAAGGATATTGTATTGAACTGCGTTAAGAACAGCAAAATACTGAATATAACTAAGTCTCTCGACCGAAACCGTGTGATTTTGGATTCCTGTTTTAACTTTTAATAGATTGAAAAGTGCACCTGACAAGCATTATTAAACGCTCAATTATCACTCCAATACTGACCGACCATTTATCGTTAACGGTGCGATTGGTCACAGCACTTATGTCTCGTTATCGAGACACAAGTGTAAATATAAATTATAGTTTACAATATGATAATAAGTATAGACCAAAATATTTTTTCCACGGATATTTTAAAAGATAATAATAATTTTGCGAAACCAATTTGTTCAGGGTCGCATGCGTAGGTAGTGCGCACATAGGTATTTAGGGCAAACCGCTAATTTAATTTATAATTTATGTTTTTATTAAAAAACAACTGCGTCCTCCGCATTGACCTATTAACTACTTAAACAGTAGTTAATATCATCGCACATCAAATTTCAATTATTAAAAAAATGGGATGATCTACTAGATATAATGGTACATGTGATTTCTTTTACCGGCATTTCATTTTAAATCCAGTTAACCTTTTTGAATATTTTTTAGGCAAACGATATGCATTTATGAAATACCGCAGTTTTTAGGTCAATATCATAGATTATGCTAGTATAATTTATTTAAAAATTTAAGGTCGATGGTCTCCAAGTAGCAAATCTAGCACTTGATGAAGGTTAATTAAGGATTAAGGTCTCTGAGACAATTAAGCAAAAATCACAAGAAATATTTACCAATTCTGTCACAAGACTTGACAATATGCAAATTACGCTATTTATTTGATTGAGAAACAATAGTGAGCCGTTAGTATTATTGTATGGCATTTGAAGACTGGGAAGTCGAAGGGTTTTCGGCCCAATCATTAGTATTATCATTAGTCATCATCATTTGTATGGGGAAAATAGTGATTCATAAATTCCTAAGCATGTTGAAAGGTGTTATTGTAATTTAATTTAACGTAGATTAATTAATTTGTATTACATCAATATTGTGCACTAACATACATGTTGTCTGTCTACGGTATATTTGGTAATAACATATGACACATCCTTCTTGTTTGATAATCTAATAAATAAAAATCCAAATATATTGTGTTATGGTTTAAATGTAAGTATACGAGTAGTCCCTAATTTTATAAAGTATTGTTAAGCATTTAACCAGCCGATTTGTATAGCTTAATTTTTACGCCCTGTAAATTTGTAAGAATGGCCATGACCTAGGCCCTAGGTCCTAGGATATCGACTATGCCCTTTAAATATTCCTACGTGGGTCACAAGGGCGAGGGGATACTATTATATACAAGAGACGAGTGTAACAATTTAGATAGACTCATAGCCCCAGAATGTACCTATAATACTATATAATATTGTATATGTATGTACATATACACACACACAAGTATTTTAAACTTGTGGAGAAAACGATGCATTGATGCGACGGCGGTAGGCCTCGAAAGCCCGAGGCGATCGCGCGGCCTTGATAGTCGTCTTGCTCGGCCAGCCATGTCGTCGTCATCGCTGCCGTTGTCTTCTTCGTTGGCCGCGGCGGCGGCGGCGGCGGTCGGTGATGTAACCCGGACGCATAGAATAATATACGTTCCATCGCCGGTACTTTGGTTACGGCTGCGACGCGATGTGACATAATAACCTCCATGCCGCCGCCAACATCACGCCACCGTCGTCCGTCCGTCCACCGCACCGTCGGCCCTACCGCGGCATCCTTCCGCGCGCTACAGCCACCGCCGCCACAGCCGTCTGCCCGCGGAGTAAAGTGCGCGCGCCAGTGTTACGCAACGGCCGCCGTAAGCCTGCGCGCGGGCTCCGCGGTCGTTGAGCGGACCTGTGCCGCGTGAAAGATCTGGCGCGTTCAACGGAGCCGCCCGCCACTGCCGCCGTCGGGGTAGGAGGGATACCGCCACACAAGAGAGACGCAGATACGCCACGCGACCCCATCGGGCGGCCGGATACTTTCACTATTGTCGAGCACGCCACCGCACCAGCTACGTTCGACGGCATATAGTATCCAACAACCGCATAGTATCTATCGCGAGTTTTCCGAGTTTTGAGACAGGATAGACTGCGGCAGCGCTCACCCGGTCGACGGATACAACCTTAATACTATTATACATATATGACCCATACAAGAAGACGCGTCTCAGTTGAAAATATCAAGTAACCTTCGTGATCTTTCGCTTTAAAAAGTCTTAAAGGTTTTTTTCACAATACATTTTCCCCTTTGTAGCATGAGGTGTCGGCCGGCGTAAACGTAGCGCGCGGGAAGTATCCTTTATTGTATAATAATACAGTGGTTTTGTTGGCATTTGTGAGTGTGTGTGTGTGTGTGTTTTGTGGAAAAACACCTTCTGGCAACAGGAAGCAAACGGCAGTAGACGTCTTCAGACCAAAGCGGCGGTAATCTACGAAAAGCACAGACGTTACAATGGTAACGCGTTACACGGATCTCCGGGTCCTCGAGACGTTCCTGGTGCTGTCCGTCGCACTGTGCAGGACGGCCGACGCAGTGCTCTCCGTTAACGCCACCCGTGAGTACCAGTTATCGTTTAACTACCCTTACATAGTAAGAATACACGGCGCGAAAGGGGTAGAGTCCCCGGTGCACACTTGTACCACATGCGATTTTGGCCCCATCGAATTGAGACGGGCTATTATTAACAGCAAATTTACTTACTCTGTTTCGGCAGCCGACCCCTATTGTAAGAAACCCGTCTGAGGTATGCGCGGTTACAGATTTTTCGTGCTTTTGAATGGATTATAATTGATATTTATATTTTGCATTATGTATTTTGATTTTCTATTACTCGTTTGTCGACGACACTTGGACCTTGTCGCGCGTTTACAAACGAGTGACAAATTTCGAAACAAGTATATAGTAATATAATCGGTAACGAGGCGTTGGGGAAATCATAATAATATATTGTACTAACACTAATCGAAGCGGTCGGACCTATGACGGAATGTCGCCAAACCGCAACGCAATAATATTGGGTTTCCGCTTGTCGGCCGTACGATAATCCGGTGGAGTTGATGGACCGAGAACAACAGTATTCCGCAAAAAGTATTATACAACGCCGCGGTGCGGTAAGGTGTGGGCCAGCGCCATGCAACAAACGACCGTAGCCATTATTCCATTTGTGCAGAGTCACATCGAACACGGTATGACCGACCGAGAGCAACGCGCCTGTACTTATGTCCCTATTTTAATAAGTGCGGTGGCTAAGGTCTGGCGATTGTTTAAAGTTTACAGGGAAATAGGTTAAAATGATTCTTCTCGAGGCGCCGGGCTTCTTGGGTCCCGTCTAGTCAAGTATATGGTCGCAAAGAGTCATTTCCATCGGCCTAAAGAGGCCCAGGGCGAAAGAAAAACGCAAGACGAGTCAAGTAAAACCCTGCACCGTTACATCATGATATGAATATGGCAAGAATGTCACAGTTTTCAATGAATGGAAAAAATTGTAAAATATAATTTGATGTATTTTTATAAACTACATTTATAAATTACTTGGACAATCAACCAAACTAATATAATATATTCACAATTGAAACGCATTGATTCTTCTTTGCCCATATCATATATGGTTATAACCAACATAAGTGGCTTGAGTCATATCGGGGGTAAAGAAGGCAATAGTTTAATGTTGGCCCTGGTGGCATACCATGGATTTATTTTTTTTTTTTTTGAGGTGCAAAATTGTAAAAATCTCTGGGGGTGTTTTCCACCTGCCGAAATTGTTTAGCAGCTATAGCTTAGGCTTAGGACCTTGTGGACGTTTACCGAAACTGTTCAAAATCCGATTATAAACACACAAAGACCGAACAATGGCGACGGTGTCCTAAAAAAAAAAATGACGTTTTGTTTAAGTACGGTTATTGCGAGTATTGCAAACATTACACACTGTTTAAGTGTGACTGTGTGCACGAGACGATACGACTGGTGCGTTCTGTTCTGTTTACTGACGCGTGCACATGTATTGCGTTTGCCTAATTGTTATATAAATACAAAATTACGGTATTTTTTTTTATTCTCAAATTTCGTAACAACCGCAAACGACTTTGTATTATTAGAATCGAAATCCCAACGAACATACATTACATATAGGATTTGCAGGTGATATTTCACAAGCAATACATGATGTCTTAAAAAAGAGATTAAACTTAATGCGGTTTAATGGATTTTGAAAATCCTAAAAATTCTAGTTTATTTCCAACTCCGAGTAGAAACCATGTATCTGAGCACTGTCCCAATAAAACGGTTTTTGGATGCTATTAATTTGTTAAAACTGATTGGAATGTAATTTTTTTAAATTGAAATTCCAATGTCAAATTGAGAATGTACATGCACTGATGGATTTATCGGACCTTGGTACTAAATTTTGTTTGGCCTTCCAGGTTTGATGTGGGTAAATCATAAATGTAAAATTACATTTATATCAACGTTATTTTCCTATCGATATACATTTAAAAATGTTTGACTGTATAATCATGTAAAACATTAAATTATCAATTCTAACTAGGGAAAGTCACGTTTATCATCTTAAATTTAAAAATTCCAGCTAGTATTTAATGCGATTATTATTTCTTTATAGCTATTGCTGCTGTCCTAGTGATATTAAAATTATCTTGCCAACTCCAGGTATAGGTTGTAGATGCCGCAAGAACCTACTGATAAATAACTGATTAGGTTAGGGTAGATAATAGACCTAAAAAACCTAAAAGAGAATGCTACACCTTTATAAAAAAAATGGTATTTTTTTAAGGTTTGGTATGGAAAATTTCTCAGAAAAATCTTAATCTAACTGTGACTATTGTGTACATTTAAAGTTCTTCATAACAAAAAAAATCGAGTGTATTATTACATGCTCATTACTGAAATGTTTCATTTCCATAATGCGATATTCAACTAAAAACTACAATTTATTTAACGGAAATCGCGTTTAATTGAATCAAATTATCATTGGCGTTGACCCTATAACTTTGTTTTATCATCATTATAACGAAGAATAAAATATGATGCTGTTACTTTTTAAATCTAATTATTTATATATTTTGCAATAACATTGTTTAGGAGTTGAAATCATATGCACAAATAATAACAATTCGAGGTAATTATTTTAATATTAACGATAATAGAAAATTAATAACTTATTTATTGGCTATTTATTTGGTTTTTCTTATGTATGCGACTTGTTCGCCCAATTGATGATACACAAGAAATTATCGTAGTAATTATCGTGGCTTTTTTGTGTAATCTTGATCACTATCTTGGCACTAAGGTGTGCGTTTTAATATGGACAATCCGCGTTCATACACAAGTGGTGTCTGTCCTATATTATAATTATTATTTAACACGACGCAATGAGTACGGACGGTGCATTGCCATTGTAACGCGCTTATAACATTATTATGATGGACCCGGTTCTAATATTATTTTTACCACTATTATGTTGCCCCGGTCAGCCGTTTGAAAGCGGCAGTCCGACTTTCTCCGGTCTCCACTGTCGTTGGTCGTTGCCCCTAAAGACGAATAAAACATATTTTTTACTTCTTCTTCCCCGACCGGTCGGCCGCGGTAATATTATGATATTTTGGTGTTGTCTGCCGAAATATATACACGCCCTGTGAGTACCAGCACTGTTACCGTATCATGTTGACACGATAATAATTACCTACCGTGGCAATAGCGGTCGGACCGCCACCGCCGATTCGGTTAGATTGGTGCGCGACAACGGATTACTCAATATACTCTGATGTATAATACATGCAAATAAATAATAATAATATAGTTTTACCGACATGACAATAACAACGGGCGGTACAGCGGCGGTAACGTCTCGGCCGTCGGTCGCCAAGACTTCTTGTCCAAGATGCCAAGACAAAATCGATTTCGGACATCAGTCATCGCGCGTTCCCTTTCCTCCCCTCCCGGTGTACACGGGATAACGTCATAATAGTACAATATTATGCGACGGCCAACACAATCGCATTGCGTATCGAATATACCTAATATTATTATAGACTATAAGTTGTATTGTCTGCGTCGCAGGCGGTAAGCGAGCCTTATTGGTACACACACACACACACATAATATACACAACCGAGTATATAATATAGTATTGTTTACACCGTCTTAACGGGGTCAAGGGCTAGTGCGAAAATCAATAAGACCATAATATTGTATACAAAACGATAATATCAATTTTATCATAACGACAATGATGTCGCGACAGTTTTTTTTTTTTTTGGATTCGGCACGGCCCAAAAAAAGGAGGGCAAACAACGACTGGATTTGTTTCACTTCCCCGCGCGGACCCGAAGACAAGTGGCGGCGGCGACGGCGGCGTTGACCGGAAACGGTAGTGCGACCGGACGTTTGCGGGAAAGTGAAAGCGACAGCTGTTGCGAATACTGTTATTACTCAATACTCGTGTGCATGTGTGTGTCGTACAGCGTGATGTATACAAGGCGAGAGAAGTGAAACCGTGCGAATGTGCTGGAGACTTCGACGACGGGGGATGACAATAATAATAATAATAATTAAATAATCTTATGCGGTCGTTGTTTAATTATTACACGGTGTGACTTGGGAGGGAGAGATAGGAAGAGAGAGAGAGAGAACGGCGCCACGCGACCGGGATAAACGTTCCAAAGGAAATATAACTTACATATAACACGCTTGGCCAACAACGCTATTAAATAATAATAATAATAATAAAACAATATATTAAATAATAATAATTATCGGGTCTTGGTTTGGACGGCGTACAACACATATATTATTATATTGTAATCGTCTTAATGATCTTTGGCGCACTATGTCCGTATGGGTTTTTACTTTTCGGCTCCGTAGGAAGCTGGAAGTTACTTTCGAGATAACAAAACCGGCACGGGCCGTGACCCAGATATTATTATTATTATAAAACGGCATACGCGTTTTTCCTCAAATTGTTTTTCACGCTTATAATCGGGAAAACAATGCCCCTGTCCAATTCGGTATGTCATCTGTTACCGGACGAATGATAGTATTATTAATATTATGATCCTGGACATAATTAACAAGGCACTTTTTAAAAGATTACCTATTCGAAGTGGTAAGAATCAAAAGAGTAGGGGTGACTCACACAATTTTATAGTAGATCAAGTGAATAATTATATATTTTTGTACCTATGTGTTCTTGTGGATGATTTTTTCTCTAGTTTTCTTCAACATCTCTCTAAAAAAATTGACGAACAATTTTAAAACAATCTATTTTTTATCTCGTTCGTGATATGATGATATTTTTAATATAGTGTACTAAAGAGTACATATGTAATAATTAATTAATAACAAAGAATTGGTTATTTTAACGTAACTGTCTCGGATAAGATAATTAAATTAATTAAGGCCATGCAATTCACGTTATTTAATCCCGATTATTGTATCATATAGTACAACATATATTGTGTTAACACAGTACGAGTACGTTTATTTTAACAACGGTGTACTGATATAATATACAATCTATATTAAATATAGACTCGATAAACCCAGCCCAAGCGTTTGTTTATGATCTGATATGGTTTTTGAAGTTAATTGAGCGCGAAATCCTATAAGAAAATAATATACACTACTGTCGATGGGTATTTCATATGATAGGTATACAGCACAACTGTTGTTGGAAATACAACAAAATCTCGTGTTAGACTCTAACATTCTCGACGATCATGATAATATTGACGTTTAAGGTCAGCTTGGATGGGTGAGGAGATAGGTCTATGTTTGCACTTAAACGGTGTTGCCGCGACTGACGACACCGTTGTGACACTAACATAATGAACACAATACATCATTACTTAAGACGTGTACATTCTTATTGTGTGCTTTGTCAAAATGTATTTATTTACACGTTATTTATGTTTATTGCAGCCGAATACATTCACTCGTGTCGCAAGTCAGATGCACAACTCAACAGTTGCATAAAGGAAACGTTCAACCACCTCCGACCGTACCTCATCAACGGTAATACGCCTTGTCTATAAGATACATCACTGTGGACACCCATTGCCATTAGATATCGAAGGAATACACACTTATGCTCATATTATTTATTTGCCCCTTGCAGGTATCGATGAGCTGACCGTGCCGCCCATCGAGCCTTTGGTCATACCCAAAATGCAGATGGAGAATGGTCACGGAGCGGTCAGGGTGAGGGCTATACTGAGCAACATGACTATACACGGAGCCAGCAATTACACTGTGTTAAACGTCCGGTAAATTTATAAACTTTTATCATACCGCGATAACTAACCAATCGATTAAACCACTTGACAACTGTAGGACCCGTAGACTAAAAAACTGATATTAACGGATGGACTTTCGAGTTACAATTAAACGTCTATAGCTGACCCGAATCTGAAATGAAGTGTAGGGAGATATCTAATCTGGCATTGATCTTAATATGTAGTCTACTTCTGCAGTAAACCTAGATGCTAAAGATAGTCTATAGCCATTAACCAATGAAAGTTAAAGATATAATCAAAATTGCATTTAAAATTTTTGCAATTTTTGAAAATTAGTCATACATTTTTTCGATTGACAAAGAGCCGATGTATAAATAAAATTTCTAAAGCTTTGAACTAAAAAGTTATTCAAATACATAGAGTGTGTGTGTTGAACATAAACTATGTTGTTGCTCTTTGGGATGATTTGTCTTTTAAGAAGGGATAACTTTTTTTATCTCTAGCTACTTATAATGTTGATGACTAAGTTAATTTAAAACTGTTTTACAGGAGCGACATGAACAAGTATCGCATTGACTTGGGACTCTTCATCCCGCACATAGAAGCCACCGGTAACTACGACGTCAACGGCAATGTACTGTTATTGCCGGTCAGGAGCCGAGGAGAATTTTGGGCACAATTCGGTCAGTAAAACAAACTGTGGCTAATGAAGTGCAAATTTTCACGAATGTTTTTTTTATTATATATTGCAGAAAACGTAACGGCGCTGGCCAAATTGTACGGAGTCGAAGTGAAAAAAGAGGGCGTGTTGTTCATGAAGACCGAGAGGTTGGGCATCGGGTTCAAATTGGAAAAGTCGGATTTCAAAATCAAAGATTCCATCAACAGGCAAAACGTCATAGGTAAAAAAAAATTGTACACAGTTAGAGCGAGCAGCTTAGCTGGCGTCAAGAGCAACGGCACAATGTGCTTCAGTCATAGGGGAGAGGGTTTATAGCACAATTTCTTGAGGTCCGTGGACGTTGTGATAAGGTAGTGACGGACAACTTGATTGTGTTACAGGCGAAGCGATGAACGTGTTCTTGAACGAGAACTCGGCAGAGATAATCGAAGAGATGAAGCCCGCTGCGTCTCAAGCCATCGGCAAGCACTTCAAGAGTTTTTTGAATAACGCTTTCTTGCAGATACCGCTAAAGGTGTGGCTTAAGGACGCCGAATAGACCGGACCGAATAGACCTTACGAGTGGAGTACCTACTACAAGTGCGTTCGAACTAATCGCAAACACTCGCCAGCTCTCTAGACATTTGTTTGTCTTGTCATGTTTTTATTTTTGCCAATTCATATCTAATAAATTTATTAGGTCTCCCTCCTCCGCACAAAGTCAACCAGCGTCGTCCAGTTTAATTACCTCGACCAAGGTGTACCTATACTATACAGTGACCTAATTATATATTTTTTTAAATACATGCCTTTTTTTTTTAACGCATTATTATTACTATTATTGTTTTTATTTTTAACGTTCTTCCGAATGAACGTAGGTAGGTAAACCTAATCTAATGTTACTTTTAAGCGATTTCATTCTCATAATGTGTAATTTGTATTTTATATAATAATAATATGTATATGTATAGGATATTTATTTAAGTTACCGCACACAAAACTTTAATGTATTTAATGTAATATTTTCTGTTTTAATCGCACTATGGACGTTAGGCGTAGTACACTATGATAGTTCTGCCATTATGTTATGTAAATAGGTGCATACGAATGTAATTTGTTTTTCATGATAATCATATAAGTAACTATATAATATTAGTTTATACATACCTATAAAATATTTTAGCTGTAATAACGATAAATAATAATTATTATTATTATCATCATCTATACAACTTACTAATCGCTAGCCTTGTATTTTTTATTGTTTGTTTTTTTATTTTACCTATATCTATTATTATTATTATTATACTATTTTAATGCATATTATTTTTAACGTGCGCTGTCGGGTGTAGGTGCAATATTGTCTAAACGGCAAAAGAGTCCCTTATGCTTTTAGCTGGTCTTTTGCAACCATTTGTAGGTTGATGTTTTTTCAGCGGTCTTCATGTTTAAACTCAGAAACTTGTGCGTTCAAAGTTGTTTTTTTTCTTTTGACATGTTTTAAAATATATTATACTCATTAAAATTACTATAAAAACAAGCCGCACGACCACGCGGGTAACCAACGAACTTTGTTTGCAAGGTTGAACAATTAACCCTATATATTTTTTTTTGTTTTAGACTAAGATTAAAGTTTCGATATAAATAATATATATTAAACGAAAAATATTTTTGTAACAGTAAGTTATCGACTTAATCAAATATACTTAGGTCGTTTGAAAGTTACAAAAAGTAACAATAGTTTTAATTATTAATCTGCTGCAAGAGTTTTGTTTGGTTTTCAATTAATCATTTTTTATTTATTCGTATGGCATTATTAACACACATTAACAAATAACAATACAGTATTATCTATATAAATTAAAAATTGCGAATTAATTAAGAGATATGAGAATTATAAGATTCAACATTTAGAATAGAGTAATACAATAAAATAAAAGGTGAAGTATATAATATAATCTCTCCTAAATCCTCGCGGGAAAAATTGTTTACGCTGATTCAGGTTTTATCCGTCTGATGGTGTCAGCCAATCTTTTCCTAAATATTATTCCCAATCTGCTTTTTGGAAGTTCCAGCGAGTTAATGTGCCGAATTTCGACAAGAGAACAATGAACAACCACGACCTTAGCTTTAAACAAGGAGCTATATGATAGTTAAAAAATAAATAAACTGCAAATCAGGAGCAAGGTCAGGCGGGCACACTCTTCTATATACGAGTAGGTATTATAACCTGCAGACAGGTCAATGGCGAAAATTCACCATTGATCCGCCTTTTTAGATAATTATTATAACTATAGTAGCAAACTACACCTAAGTTCTGGATTCTGTTTAATACTTTATCGTACGTTGACTGGGTCATTACACTCTATCGTTTTGTTACTATACACATTTACGGTCATTCGCCTAAGTAACTCATGTTGCGGATCTCTAGATGTTATTGCAAACCGATCATATATTTGTATTTTAATTTCAACACCGATTGAAAACGATCAGAGGGAATGAGAATAACAAACTGTTTAACTTTTTTTCCGTTTTTTTTTTTTAATTAAAAAATACACTCGAGCTGTTGTCCTTATGATTTTATATTAATTCCCTCGGGAGCTCTTTTTCGAAAATAAAAAAAAAGGTTTTATGTTTGTTTGGTAAAACAATAGCTATGAAAAACAATCGAAAACACGTAATACTTAAGACTACTTTGACTAAGTCGATTATAAAGGATAAATTCCGCCGTGCGCTTCAGTTAAAACAGTACACGCTTATTTTTACACGTGGGTTATGTAATTTTAATCCTTTTTTTGGGGTCGATTTGTATTTTATTAAGTGTCAGATACAGGGACCAAAACCACCGTCAACCATGTCATCGTAGATTGTCGTGACAAATGTTTTGAAAACGAATAATAATAATAATAATAACAATTAATCACGAATGCGAAATTAATCAAGAATAAAGTTTATTAATTGTTTATACAGATTGACGACCCGTCCCGGAAGCGAATTCGTCAAGAAACCATCTCATGATGGCAGCGTTGGGCCTTCATGGCCCGTTAAGCTACATGATGATGATGAATTGTTTATATGGGATCTCTTTAAACGTTTACTGTACATGATTGGTTAAGTCCATTATTACATGTTATGATAATCGGTAATAACTAATAACTAATATACGTTATAAATTATTCAACTAATATTGTACAATCAGTGAAAACTTGTTTGCACACATTGTTATCTTATATTTGTAATTCGGATTAGATCTTTTTCCACTACTTAATCGATCGAGGGCTTTCGTTTTCCTTCAAAATGACCCTCGACTGTTTAATTTGGTACATGAAATGTTTTAAGAACTCCTAAACCTATACAATTTTACACTATAAGCCAGTTAGATCTAACGAATTCCTAATTATATTTTATAAAAATGTTTTTTATGGCACCTCCGCTGAACTAAACACGAAAAGTTGCAAAGCTAATGTACTGATGAACACTACACTTTGACGTTTAAATGTATTTTAAAGAACCTTTGAATTTCTCTGTATAGTTATTGTAAAATAAGCACACCATTTTTTAATCTGCCTGTTCATTACATTACAACTAAGTAAGCAGAAAGTCTTAAGCGTTTGAAAGTATCATTTATTTATTTACAATGGTGAAATTGTTTTGTAATAAAATGTTTAAATTTGTTGTAAATTCAATTAAATGATCCGCTTAATATGTAATAATAGGTGGTGTTAAATTTTAGTAATAATATATTATGTTATCATATATATTTATTTCCCAACTTTATACAAAGCGGGCAGTCACTATAATACAAATAATACCATTATCTAATGGCTAATGTTAATCTGAAAAACAAGTAATATATTTTAATCAAGAAAATAGTCGAATAGAAATATAAGTTACATAAAAAATATTATTGTGCTATTAGATGATTTGTTGACATAATATGGTACTGATCAAACGGTTTGTTGACACTTGATTAAAATTTCATTCTGTATCAATATATTTATTAAAAAAAACAAATATAGGTATACCCGCAATGAAATAACAGCTGTTGTTCAGTTTAATATTAAATTAAAAACTTTATTTATCGTAATAATGTAAGTTTAATAATACCCAGATGTTTTTATTAAAAAATCTAATAATATAATTTTTATAAAGACTAATTAATATGTATTCTGGAATAAAAATAAATAGTAATAAATATTTATTGGATATGTTTCTAAAGAGTTAACAAAATTCTCTCATATCAAAGTAGAATTATTTCATGTGAACACGAGAGAGATAATAAATAAACTTAATCAGAAAAGGGTGCATAATATATGAAGAGTGCGTATTATATCTTAAATATTTATTATTATGTTTTTTTAATTGAAAAACCTTGATTAGTTTTAAAGTTTGAATGTATTAATAAAAATAGCCCTAATTACAAAGAAAACATATTTTATTAAAACTGCTAGGTTCTCTGTAAATCTCTGCCTTAAAACGGCAAGTACTAATAAAGTATCAGCCCCCAGTAAAATAGTAAAATAGGTTTACAAAGAATTAGTTCTTATCTTTGAAGAAGACTTCAATGAGAAACTCTAAAAATAGAGAACATCTCGATAACAATATTTAAGTACCTACGTGTATTAAAATTAAATAGTAGTTATCTATAACTATTTAAAGTAAACTTACTGCACTATTCCTTTGGCTTAACAAACCGCTAGAATACAATTAGGTGCAATATTTTGATGGACCAACACAAACGTCAAATCGAGTATAAAACACTTAGGATTAAGTCTGATTAATAATAAACCGGTAACACATAACTAACGATCACTATTGATAAATATAATATCTGTCGATTCCCCCCTATCTTATGTTAATTACCTACTCCCTTCTTCGATTCTACCTATGGTATTAAAGAAAGCCAAGATTATTATAACGTACTACAATGATTGAGTATTTAAATTATCATATTTTGATTTTGATATTACAATAGGAAGAGGGCATATTTATTGAGAACTTTTCATTTTCAAAGATCAGATATACTTTACTCGTCGGTTCTAGTTTCAAATATACATTTATTGGCGCTTGGAGAATTTTATTACCGAAATTCGAGAGGAAGTCACTCATATAGTATAATATGTGTTGGTAACGTTAGAAATATTGATTTCAGATTCGTGTACTGGTCTTCAGCATTCAGACTATACTTTTCAGGAAGTATCAATAAAAACCACTTATTACAAATGTGTCAAATTATCGGACTTATAGTGTTGTTTTGTGTAAAATATTACACATGAATTTTTGAAAAATATCTTAGTTTTTCTACAGTTTACAATAGCAGTTAAAAAAAAATTAAGAAAACAGGTTCAACATAACGCTCAGCGGTTTTTTTTTTTTTTTATCAAATGAATAACATAACGTAAAATACACACGTTTAAATAGCCGGTTATCCGAAAAAACTAAACGCAATAATAGTGTTAAAGTTTTGGAATCTAACCTTTAGATAACATTATATCTGACAGCAGTCAGTTGTTTTAAAATCTTGTTGCCGTGCCATGTGAACTATAACCATTATACAATTAACAATTATTATCAGAATTATGCGCCCAGCGCCTATGTAGGTATTATAAATGGCAATCGTAATCGTTTTTCACTATTCGTATTAACATATTATTTTATAGTTCATTATTATTTACTTTTTGTATGATAAAAAAAAAAAAGGTAACTGTTCACACGATTTTGACTTATTATATCCGGTTAGTAGTCATCGCGGCTTATTAGCTTTACACATAATATCATAATACTATCCTAATCTAACCGGTCGATAATCCTCATACAACAGTTATTGAGTAAGTATACGATTGTTGTATTGCCTACACTCTTACGCGAGCATACATGTGGAAAATTCAATTAGGCGCTTTTATTATTATTATTCATAATATATTATTGTACGGTATCTACATAATATATTGTATCGTTAACACGTGGTAAGTGTAATGTTATTTTTAGTTTTTTTTTTTTAAATTTTTTTATTATAAAAACAAAAGGCTGAGAGATAAGAAGGCGGCCCCCCCCTCCACCTGTAAGACGATTGTCTTTACACACAATCTCTGTGCCGTTCGACGGACAGGATGTACCCGCCGCCTGTGAACTTTGGTCTTGTACTTGCACACAGTGTAAAACAAATCCCCACCGGGCCCCGGAGATAAGAGAATCACACGAAATAATTACACATACCTAACGGTTGGTAATATACCCAATACGGCCTATGATTGTGTGTATAGATCCCCATACTACCTCCACGGACTGCCATGATATGTGTACCTGTGTGTGTTTACTTGATAATATCGATTCGACACAACACAAAAAGTCGGTGTACGTTGATCTGTCACGTTAGCGAGCATACGCGCGCACACACACACAATATTGTATTATTATTAACACGGTGATTAGATTTCCGGCGGACAGCGAATTTTCCAATTGCCAAATTCGCCTTAATTTATTTGTTTTTCTAAATTCGCGAAGCCAATAGAACCGGACGGTCGATACTGACCGTGTACCGTATCGTTTCGAGAAGTTTTATTACGGTAGAAAGCAAAAAAAAAACATATTTGACAACACACAACAACGCTGGTTCGTCCCCGACCGATTGTCCGGTAAAATGTAGGTAAGTTATAATATTGTTTCATAAAAAACACGGCTCTGCGTCGAAACTAAAAGCGCTAACACTAGATTTTGATATGTGTTATGTACCATGCAGTTTGTTCGGGTCACGATTAGCCGCTTTTTATTTATGTTTTAACCCCAAAGAAAAAAATCGCAAACAATCAAGTGTTAAGGGAAAATGTTCAGACGTTTTTTTGTTTGGAAAGCTCTTATCACATAGAAGATAGACCTGCTTTTCTGTACTATACTGATTTTTTGTTTGCTATAACGTCGTTAGGTTCATCCGTGTTAACGAGTCGACGATTTGTTACCTAAGTATTTGAGGAGATTAAATATATGGGTTAACTTTATAACCGTATCGTGTGAACGTTTTTATTTAATCCAATTTCAATTTATAAACGTATAGCTTGAAATTTAAACATCCGACACAACCACTATAGTATATATAAATCATAACTGACCAACGAAAATTAAAAAAAGATGGACTTTCCAAATCCGAACTGACGAACCGATTGTTAGATCTTATAGGATTTAAATTTTGAAAAAAACGCAATAGCTGAGTTAATAATAACTTGTCCAGCTCATATTTCTAAAACTCTTCTAAGATGTGTTTTTATGGCTTGAAATTTTTTTTTTTTGTGAAAACCTGAACTGTTGTAGTTCACCATGTTGTAAATCAACCATTTTATTTAAAACAATTCAAGCGTTTTCCTAACAGCTGAAGTAGGTAGTTTATTTATTTAGATAGTAACGATTTTCTTTATCGTTGTAGGTAGTCGATTTACATTACATTTTTGTACGGCGGTGTGACAAGGACTTTTTGGGATAATTATTCCAAGATATAGTCGGACGGGGTGGGGGTAACCTTAACGACTAGCTCGAGGTATTAAATGATATTTTGACATCAATATCTTTGTGTTTTTAATCAGACCCAAGTCGATGGCTTAGTATATTGATGATTTTAGAGTTCAATTCCTTGAGTCAGTCGACTTATGAATTTTAGGATTAGCCCGTCTACCACACACTGCCACGGTATAGGCCTATAGATATGCCTTGTTTGCCTACGGGCCACGTATATGATAAGTACCTATACTGTTAATGTACATGATATGCGATGTAAGTATTTTTAATACGGTACGTGGGACTTACCGGTGTATTTGCTTATTGATTAAAACTGTCTCGGAAATGAGCGTCGACTCGTAACAAAATACCTTCTCAGGTTCCAATCAAAGGTAAAAATAATAGACGATAACGCGTGTCTGCTACCTTTGAATACGTCACAACTTACAAGTATGCATATTAGAAATGTAATGGTTTTTTTTTTTTTTTTCCCCGTTTAGATCAGCCAGACTTCAGGCTCTTCGACGAAGTCATGCGTTCGGTACGCGCCGTCCAAAGAATAACTCGCTGATCATCGCCGTCGTCCGGTTTCGTTTGACCAGAGTTAAATAGTTATATTATTCATTTAAAAAAAAAAAACTAATAAACACATTGTCGCTGTTTGCTGTGAATTTGGAAATCGCGCTTAACAGCCGCCAACGCCGCAGGTGAACTCCAGTAAACGGAAGGCCGCGTGCGAATATGCTACGCATATCACATTTTAGCAAACGACAGTGGCTTACGTTAATCGTGTTTAGTATTGCTGACTTTTGCAACGCCATCTGTGTATCCCTACAAGCTCCGTTTTATCCTCTGGAAGTAAGTAGCAAAGAGGTGCTAAGAAATGTTGGCTCGGCACGTCTTTGGGTGGCTCAAATCAACAGTCGACGTGTTAATCTCAAGAAACTGCTACACAAATTTGTTGTTGTATTTTACAGGCAGAAAAAAAAGGAGCCACAGCCACCGAGTATGGACTCGTTTTTGGCGTCTTCGAACTGGTCGTATTTATCATCAGTCCAATTTATGGCAAACACGTAAGCACGCTAACGATACCAGAGGAAAAACGTTTTACTTAAAGCATTTTGTTACTTTTCTAGTTGAATAGAATTGGCCCGAAGTACCTGTTCAACGGTGGCATATTCACGACAGGAATATGTGCAATTTTGTTTGGGTGAGACACTTAAAATGTTACTCGATAGTGTAATTCAATTACTCTGAAACCGACGCCCAGACGTTACATTAATGATTGGAGAAGGAAATTATTATAGTCTAATAACTCGATTAAGTTACTAATGTTAGAGTTGCATGAAAGGCAAATGGGAGAAACGGCTGATGAGTTTCAGGTTGTTTTACGAGGGTAAAGGAATTACAATGAAGTAGTTAAAAACTAAGAACTATGCCAACGATAGGCAAGAATAAAGAAAACCCTTATTCCACTTTGCTATTTTTGCGCGACCGACGTTTACTGTGCGGATTTGTTTTGTGATGGCTATTTTGCTATCATTTCATCCACTGCTGTCTGATTGTTGTTTTGACTCTTGACCGCATAATGTAAATAAAAACGATAATTATGTGCAATAATACATTATAAATAATAGTACTTTATTTAGTTTAATGCATTGTTGTAGCTATTTGTTGATCTCGAAGTGTTTGTTTTGTAGATATTCAAATTAAGTTGTTATCGTGGTACTCGCTTATTTATAATATTTGAATAAAAACGATAAGACTGAATTTGACTTTTTAAGACCAAAATAAAAATAACAGTAATCGTTAGTAATATATGTTAAGTTGTAAAAAAAAAGTTATAACCACTTGAAAACATTTATGACGCCGTATTTAAGTCCAAGTAATAAATCATAGTCTAAAATTAATTTTTTTTTTATCTACAATAGCTTCTTGGACAAGGTGGACGGTCACTACCCGTTCATCATATTGTCGTTTGTTATACGCATCATCGAGGCGATGGGTAACGCCGCTTTTTTGACGGCTAGTTTCGCCATCATTGCAATGGAGTTTCCAGACAATGTTGCCACCACATTTGTAAGCGCCTGGTACTCTTGTGATTTAAAAATCAAATTTAAACGAGGTTTTTGTTTTAGGCGTCCCTGGAAACCTTCTTTGGTCTCGGACTGATCGTCGGTCCCACAGTTGGAGGCGCCCTATACGGGGTAAGCTTGGATGAACTTTAATAAGAAACATAATAGATACTGAATAAAATACGTTCCATGTTAAAACCAGTTGTGCTATCTGACATTTTAACTTGTTATTACATTATTATAGTAATTTTATGAATATTTGGCTAGATCGGAGGCTACGTGACCCCTTTCGTCGTGCTCGGCTCTACGCTATTCCTCTCTGCTATCATGACAGCATTCGCGCTTCCGGATCACCCGAACAGAAGGAACGACGTCACTAGTGACGGTAAGGCATCAATACTCTATGTTGGATTGTACAGGAAAGGGAAACGCTACTTGATCAACGCCTGTATCGTCTTGGGTTTAAAATGTACAGGTCATAACCGGTATATTTTAAACCCAAGACGATACCGCGAGTAGATTAAATGATCAAAATATAGCGTTAGGCATTTTGAAAATTAGATGGTTTTTTTTTTGAAAGAATATTACGTGTTAAAGAATATTATGTGATTTTATTGACACGAAAAATGTTTTATTTCGATTTCACAGCCAGCTTACTTCAAGTTTTGAAAATCCCCGGTGTACTTTTGGCGGCTGCAAGTATTATTGTTACGTCCATGAGCATTGGGTTCTTGTCGGCCACCCTGGAACCTCATCTCAGACAGGTAAATCTTATACATTTTGACAGGCTCGCGACAGCCTGAAGATATTATAGACTCTATACCCACTGATCAAAAAGAGAAAATGCAATGGGATTTGTTTGGATATCAGTTATTGTGTATGATTCGATAATTGTGTGGTAATTTTTGTTCAGTTTAATCTGTCGCCAATGGTCCTAGGCCTCATGTTCGTCATCAACGGGGGTACGTACGCTTTAACGGCACCCTGGTGGGGATGGCTGTGTGACAAGGTGGTGCCCGCAAAAGTGGTCACGTTGCTCGGGTGTATCATACTAATGATTGGGTTCAGTCTCATCGGTCCAGTGCCTTTTTTGAACAGACCAACGTGAGTACCCTGAAGGTTCAACCGGTCTACTGCTTTATTTGATGCACATTCGTTTTATTTATAGAGATCTTTCGGTTACCATAATAGGACTGGTACTTCATGGAATGGGAATTGGCGCCCAACTCGTGGCGTCCTTTACCGATGCTTTGCGGACGGCTGTGTAAGTTTTTTTTTTTTAGTTAATTTTTAATTTAGTTGTAAATGCCATTTTCCCTGTTTGATTTATCGTCCTTCGATATGGAAAAATAACGGATTAGTCACCAATTACCAATAAGTAAACGTTATAAGGATGTTTTTATACTTTAAGTAGTAATAATACGTTTGTTCTAAGTACACATTGAACAGAGTGGTGGGTAACTAATTAATAATTATTCACATAATTCATACTTGCGTTATATATTATATATTTAAATATAACATATTGTTTTCAGTCAGTATGGGTTCTCCAACAGTTTGGAAACTTACGGGCTAATATCTGGCCTGTGGACTTCGACGTTCGCACTTGGCGCCTTCATTGGACCGTCTATAGCCGGTGTGTTGTACGACGTAGTAGGATTTGGCGCGGCTACAGTATTCGTTATAGTTCTATCTGCTTTAGTGGTAAGTACGGTTCTGATCCCATAGGTCAGTCCAAAAATCGGCTTAATTGATTGCAGTTAATTAAAATAATAATAGAATGATAAAAAATAAATAAAAATCGACGGAGGAAGGTACTCTTTTCATGTTTTTTTTAGACAAAATTTCGATACTAAATATTCAAGTTATTTTTATTGAAAAATCGCTAATAGACTTGAGATTTAAAAGCACAGTAATACGTACAAATTCACAACCGTTTAGCCTTAAAAAAATTGGCAAATCTTCTAAAACTAAATTTGTCAAATATTGCCTATATATTACCCCTTAACAAATAGTCGTACTCGTGTTATAATAAAATAGTTATTATCATCTAAAACGTAGCACAGTTATTAAATTTGGTATAAATGTATAGCGATAAACATATACTGAATTAGAATATTTAAACATTTTCCTATTTGAAATGCAAAAGAAAGCCGATAAATACTGTGATAGAAATTGCCTACACATTACGCCTTGTGAAACAAGTTGTATAATTTCTTCAAAATAGTTCATTATTGATTTATATTTTTGGGTTTTTTGATTTATGGATATAAATTATTATTAGTTTATACTTATTGTAGTTCTAATTTATATTATAGGTTTTATACGTTTTTTTTTTAGAAATTAAGTAAGATACGGGATGTGTATTTGTTATCATTGTTTAATAGTCGTTACTCAACTCCATTTATTTGTTGGTTATAAATTATCGGTACCACAAAGTCACTATATTTAACTGGTAATCAATTTGTTTTGTCTTCAGTCCTATTTTATTAGTGATATTATATACAATCAGTAATGACAAACTTCATACGTTCGTCGAGAGTTCAGGGTTAACTGTATGCAAATACATTTTGACATTATATCGTTTTCTATAAAAAAAATTTAAGAAATATGTAAATACAAGTTAATAGTTTAAACAATACGTGTAATACGAACACAATATATACGGATACTAAGTAAGACTTGTTAAAATATATATTTTTTTGAACATGACGCCAATATAATTATGAAAAATAACAGCCTGTAAAAAAAAAACAGTTTGTATTTACATTTTGTGTAAGTTGTAAACCTAAACATTGATGATATTTACGTCATGCTACTGCTAAACAGTTATTTATTAACACAGTTATTTATTTGCTAGACATTTATTTGATTTTTCGCTTTTTACAAATTTACACTTTACAATGTCATCGATCATAGTTCGGATTTGCTTAGAACAATAATAACTTTTGTATCAATCTATGTGTTATACAAGATTTAAATTTTTTACATTTGATATTTTCCTTACTTGTTTTTTATTATTACCCCGAACGCCCCAACAATAAATTTTGAAAAATATGCAATAGGTTGCAAATAAAACCTTGAAATAAAATACCGAATACGTCAAAAGTTTAGATTTTTTTTTTAAACTAAATAAGACAAATGACAGATGGCTGCTTAATTTAACATTGACTACTACTTCCTCAAAACAAACGTCTATTGCACAAAGCATTCCACCGAATGACCCTAAACACTAGAAAAAAAAACTTTAGACTAGTTGAAGTAATATTTTTGTAGCTGTAATAATAACAAGAATATATGAATGAAACATTAATTGAGGAATGTCATTTGTTCACTTTTAATTTATTTCAAGAGTTAAACCTTAGAATTGTGTTTCTGTTACAAACTAAGAAGTGTCAAATCTCGAAATAAAGGGTTTTATTTCAGTACAAATAAATCCGTTTTCTTACCCAGATGATGACTAGAGGTAAAACAGGATACCGACCATTATGGACTTTATTGCCTTAATAAAAATGCTCTTCATGCAACAAAACACATTGTTGGATCAAATTGTGTTTTAAGCCAGAATTTTCGTAATTGCTGTAGTCTCATTTTACCTGAGTTTTCTCTAACTTTTTTTTTTTGGCAAGTCTTTGTAACTGTCTCCGAGGTCTTACTCAGTTGTATTTTTTACTGTAATGTTATTGTACTGAAATTAAACGAATAATAGGGGATGCCTATTATTAGGAATGGCGAAACTTTGTTATTAGAGTCTGTTGAAAGTACAATTTGCCTCTTAGTGATGAGGTTATGTACAATTTTTGTGATTTGATCGTTTACAGGGAGTGGCCGTGGCGCTGTTCCTGATGTTTTCTCGGCCGCCGAGATTGATCAAGGACGTTCATAATTTGGAAGAACTCATCGATCCCATCACCAAGTCTATGATGGAAAACGGTTCGGCCGCTATGCCAACGGCCAACGGCGGCAACAGGAGCGGTTACAACGGGCTGGTATCGGTAGCACTGTCGTGCCCTGTCCCCACGGAGAGGCCTCCCGGCATGGAAGGCATTATAGCGTGCAACAGCTACAAGAACCGTCTGGGCACTTGGAACCGAAAAGAGAGCGAGCTGATCATCGGCAGCAACATGAGCAGCAGTTACGCCGAAGAGACCAGAGGTCTGCTGGGCCCGTGATCGGTTTCTATACACAATTATGTTATAGCTGGCCCCCCCTTGACTTTTGAACAATATTTGTTTTTAAAAAGCGTTTATTTTATTATACTATATAATTATACATTTTATACGCGTATGCCCTCCCCGCATCCGCATCCCTCCCCACCCAAAAATGGTTATTATTATTTTGTTTTATAATTCGTGTTAAGTGCAAATCATAACTCATATTATTAACGGGCGTATACGGTAAAATTAAGCTCATTTTATTTGTATAAAAAAAAAATTATTGTTATATTTGAAACCAATTTTTTTTTATAATAACGCGCGTGGCGTTTTGTATCGGGGCATAATATTTTTAGCCTTGACGAAATATCTTATTTATACACTATTATTATTTTTTTTTTTTATGTACGTTTTTACTTCCAGCCGAATACTTGTTCGGTAAACTATTTTCTGAATCTCTAATAAAAAAATATTTTTAATTTTCATCGATTTTTAAAAAAATAAAACAAAATGTTCTTTACTGTTGATCGTATAAATATATATATAATGTACAAATTTACCACTTATTCTATAGAAATTTAAAACTTTTTTTACATTAATTTTATGCGTTTGCGGTTTGCTTATTAGATGTTTGATTTCCTGTTAATAAACTGTTAAACCTTATTTCTGCACATTTTATAAATTATACTTATATATGTATGTATACATAACATACTAGCTAGTGCACCCGACTTCGCCCGTTTAGGCATAATTCCTTATTCAACTTTAATAAAAAAAGGTAAGTAAATATTATGACTTGCAGGACAACTATTCTACAGCTCAGTAGCGCGTGGCCGTGAAATGGGTTGCCCTGGAAGAGTGATCGATGTATGATAATGATCACAGTCCAAGTTTGAGTAGCTACCGAATTTGAGTTCAACAACATTGAACATATGGTACCGTTTTTACTATTTTAGGGGTGAATTCAATGTTATACCTACCTCTATCACACTTGAAGGGCTGCGGGGAAAAAACATCAATGTCAGTTTTATTAAATTGTTGGTAATTCCGTTTTTAAAGTTTAACAACTTACAAAAAGACATTGCAGCAAGGGTTTGAGCGAGAGAAAAACATATGTTGTCGGTAAACTACATATATTTGAGTGAAAGACAAAAAATACATTTTACTCATACAAAAAGTGAAAAATAAAATAAAATCTCTGAAAAGTCATTGACCTTGATTAGTATTTTCCATCACAGTTTCTCCAAAGCGTCAATCGGAGGGCCATCGAGGTACTCCACCTCTTCTTCAGTGCTGTTTGTGTCATCACACGCAAGTGTATCGTAGAATGCTTGAGCTTCAGGATTTGTCAAAAACTGCTTCAGGCGTAGTTAATAGGTCATCAAGCTTTGCTTTTTTTAGTGAATGGGGGCCTTAGTAAGAAAAGCGGAGAGTCGTATCTTTATTGTTTTCTTATTTTTTACCTGCTTTGAGGTAAGTGTGATAACAGACGACCGCGTGGATCTTGATGAGTCTTTCCCGTCACACGTTTTCTTCTCCTTTTATTTTTGGGCAGGCAATGATCTTTCTATTCAAAACCGATTCGTAGTTCGATTCCTTTGGAAACAAGCTAAAAGATGGCACTAATGTCTCATTTTCAAAAAAAATGTACATTGATGTTTTTTCCCCGCAGCCCTTCACTTGGTTTCACCCGGTTTTAACTTAAACTAATAAAGGATAGTTAATAACAGGACCGAGCTGTATTACTATGCTGCTTTACCCAGAGGTAAGTATTGTTAACATGTTTAACGTTGTGTTACTGTAATTCCTTACCAAATTTCGTTCTAAAAATATCACTAATAACTTTCCTAACTATTTAATTTGATTAAAAAAAAATTGAAACTTGAGCTTCACAATAATATTAGTATTTATTAATCTGTCGTACAGTTCTTTATTTCACAATAGATAGCTTTTTGGTCGGGTTTAGGATGAAAAACGAAGTTTACAAGGTTTTACACTACAGGCTTTCCTGGAACGAGGAAGTTGCTCTGCTTAACTTTGTCGTGTTCGCCAATTTGCTAGGTACTATGTTGAGAAGAGCTTTTTACTCTTCTCTACTGTCTCAACTGTTGGGCCTTAGAAGACCTGGAATTTAATTTAAATTTTATATATAAAGTTCTATTAGGTTTCATTTGATCTGTATTCTAGTTACTAATAGTTGAATTATCTGTTATGCAAATTGGACCTTTTTCTGTTGGACTTGGTCAGGGCAGAAGGGTGATTTGCGGATAATAACAAATTTTGTGCTGTGTCACTGGAAATGATATTATACATAAATGAACATAGGCTGTAGCTCTGAAGATGTACTCAGTACTCTGCAGCTAATCCAATACTATACGTTAGCGAAAAACTGAACACGTGGATAGAACTGTAAGTCGTACACAAATCTCAAAACAATATATTGAGTACCTATACATTTGTATAATTTATATACTCAATATCCACGTGTTGACTAGGTTGGTAGCAGAGTCCATCCTCAGAGCTACAGCCTATATTCGTTGTTTAACTATTGCAGGTTTTTACACAGCAGACAATGAAACTTAGCTTTGAAGATAACATCACCTATGTTTGATCAGTCTGAGCCGTCAGCGAAAACAAGTTTGTATGTTAAATCGTACGAATATTTTTCTACGGTAATTTATGAAAACCTTAATCACATAACAGTTGAGCTTTTGAGAGAAAAGTAATGGTTGATTTTTAACTATACATTATTTGTGTTTGTGGCGCGTGCGTTTGAATATAACGCATTGATAATTACATTGTGCTATAAATACCTAACACAAACCACTTAAACTTTATTAGGCGAATGCGTTGTTGTACTTAAATAACAATATCTACTGTACTTAAGTACTTGGAAACAGCCGAACACAAGCACTTCCGTAAAGGCTAAATAAAAGGTTATCGTCGTCAAAAGTACTTTGTTTCCCAGCGCTGAATAATATTTAGTTAGATATTTACATGCGCAAAATGAAAATGCTGTGTCGGTACAGAAAAGGATAAAATACAATATAACGGATATAACTATAATGTATAATATGAATATTATGTTGTGTCCTGTGGTTTGCTGTAACCATTTGTTAAAGTTTTTTTTTTTGAAAAAATTACAATGTAACCAAACATTGGCGTTTTATCAGTTTGGCGTTAAGCGTAACTCAATAGAAATCTAGTAAACTTATTTATCCAAACTTGTTTTGCAATTATTTTATCAACAGTAACCGTTTTAACAAGTTATTGTTTACGGACGCTTATCGTCAAATCAATACAGGCTGAAAACACCTAACTAAAGATAGGTAGCCATTACAATACTAATAAGTAATACTAAGAATGACAGAATGAAATAGGTGGTTGTGTACACGGGTGATATTATTTATTGTAAATGATAGGAAAAATGTAAATACAACTATCAATTTAGAATATTTCATCATTCTATGGTAATAATATTTGTTTTATTAGTGAAGCCTAAATTTGTGTGTGTGACAATTTTTAATAAAATTAAAAGTTATTGACTATAAATATAAAATGTACAGTTAATTTTCAATTACTTATATTGTACAATATTATACAACACGGTGACTTCACCGTCGAATTTGAAATGACAAATGTCTTTAGGTATGACAGACAACATAATATTGTTGAGTTTAATAAATGGTTTTGTCATCGACACGACAAAACGTTCGAATACAATTACTATTATTGATACATATTGCACGCGGAATCAAACGTTAAAAAGTCTTGTGCAATCATAGTAATTAATAATACAATATAAACGGTTACAATAATTGACATTTGCTTTTTCATCCGTAATCCTTATAAATATTATTATTATCTAACAACATCTGTTATTAACATTAACCAAGGTCACGGAAACCGGCATGAAAACTTGCACAACTTACACGTACACGTGTGGATGATATAATTGCAGATAGAGATGAATATAATAAGCCATTCAAGCCGAATTTACAGCTTGAATATAATGTTCAAAAAGAAGATTGATCGATTAAAGTGATGCGTATAGTCACGTGTACGGTGTACCTAATTACTCATTTAGCAAATGATCAAGGCACGTGTATAATATGGTTATCGCCGGTTTTAGTTTTTTAAAAAGACGGATTATGAAATAGTACTTAGTCTCGCCATTTTAATGACAGGAAATAGCCTTGTCAATGTATCCTGTAGTGGATCCTTCTTTTAACTGTGGAAGACGTGAAATATTTCTAGAAACAAATCGCACGACTTATAGTTGAGGTTACGTTTGGGAATTTTGCTTGCTTGTAAAAATTATGTATTTTTTAAATTTATACCTATTACATTAATTATACTAATATAAACTACTAAGTTTATACAGTTAATATTTTCAGTCGTTTTAGTGAAAAATTGCCTATACAATGCGCCTTAATAAATGGTAGTGAAGGGGCCCATTAACATTTAACGTTGGTACGTTCAATTCTCGAATAAGATACTATGATATGTAACCCCAGTTAGTAATATCCTATTAGTGAGTTAGAAAAAGTACAAAGCAAATGAAAATACATCAAGTATCGAGACTGATAAAATTCATAAACGAAATTGGATTAAAACATTTTTTTTTTATAAATCACGCAATAGTTAATTATTATTATAGTCGTAATATTCGCGAAGCTATTGTCGACTAATAACCTTGTCCTTGATAAATAATAATTATTAACGATATAGAAAATGTTACACAGTGACACAATAGATAATATTATAATAAAGTCACACTTAAAGATATAATAAGATTTAATTGGACACGTAACGTCTTACAGTGGTGGCCGGAGCTACTACTAGACGCCTACTCTTGCGGCTGTTTATCAAGGGAGAACATATAGACAATATTGGACCAAAACAGATAATCGATTTTGATCATATCAACTTGTTTTCTGATTATTGTAATATTATATTATCTTTAAGTTATGTTTTTTTAACGTAGACATTTTTTTTAAATTGCAAGCTACTACTTTAAAAAAAAATTTAATAATACGGTGAACAATTTAGCCAAATTGGAAAACGTTCCTTTCCCATGTAATCCTGAAAAATAAAATCTACCAGCTGTCCGTTTCATGGGACATTTAAGGATATAACATACACACCAACCAAATAACGTTTTGGCACTTTTCAATACACATGTAGTTTGTCAGGTGTCAGATGTCGAGTAATTGCCATATGACTAATATCGAGATGTTTTGCCATTACTGTTGTGTTATTTTCTTTCATCTGGTCAATGTTTTTACAACTGGAGAGCAGACGACTTAACCCGGATGGACTTATGTGAAACGCGATGTTCGCACTTTTAGAGAGCGTTTTGATTTTTGGATTGACCTTCTGCGTTCTTTCAAAGTACACGTTATAGTTATACGAAGTTGACCTCTAAACGAAATGCAGTGGCCGTATTCGTTTGAAATCTGTATAATACAAATTTGTTACAATCAGTTAAACGTACGACCATGTAATAAGTATTATGAAAAATAATTGCACCTAACTTAACCTAACCGTTAAGAATCGTTACACAACTGCCA